ACACCAGACAAACCAGTAGCTGTGTACATGAGGAAAGACCCATGCTATCTGGGTGTAGCAACATACAATATAGAAAACAGAATAGAAGGTGGGCCATTCCGGTAGAACCCTACTTCCTGCAGATAAGGGAATCAGTTATGTCTCAAATGGGGAAGTGAATTGAAATTACATTCTTCCCTGAAAAGCAAACAGCTATTTGCACACCAAATACATCACAAATTACCTGACCAAGTACATATATTATCAAAATACACCACCACCACTATGATTTGTAACAATGAAAATGTCTGAAGACCTCAAGAGGTGAGGTGAGATGAAATTGGGTTTAACGTCGTGCTGGAGAATATTTCGCTCATATGACGACGTGCATGTGTGTGTATGTGTATGTGCGGCTGCTTGTACTAGCCCACACTTAAGCTGGTTTTATAGTGCTAGCCCACTGAGATACCATGCCGCAGTAAAGCATGAATACCCCACTCAGACACATTATACTGACTCCGAGCCGACCAATCCTTGTTGTACCCATTAATGCCGAGAGCCAGGCAGGGACCAACAGAGTACCATATTTTAACTTCTTTTGGTATGACGCGGTCGGGGATCGAACCCGCGAACACCTCAAGAGCCAACCTGTGAGTCAAGTAATACTAATAGTGTATCACATGAGCGAGTGGTATTTAGACGTTGTGAACTATGCGACAGCTACATCAAGACTACCTGCAACTGCATCTACAACCACACAAACCTATGGTCAGTGATGTGGTAATCAAATATATAAGGCTTGACCAGGTAATCCAGGGATTGATACTACGAGCAATGATTCACAGTTTACAGTAACTTGCCACCCAATCCACCAGGTAGCTATTTCAGCCAGCATTAGAACATGTACTGATGAGGTATGGGGATCATCTTCCATGACAAACATAGTTACAAAAAACGGATTACAAGAAATAATGAAACTGCTTAACGGAAATTATCTAGAGACAATATGGCAATCAACAGGACATCTCAAGTCATATTGTCACGCCAAAGTTGGGCCACTGCCAACAGTGCATGTATGATCAAAAATTCTTCATGTACAGTTTTAAAATGGCTCAAATTAAATGTAACAGACCCATGAAGATCTGGGTTAGAAATGGTCTTCAGCAACCCATGCTTGTCGTAAGAGGCGACTAATGGGATCGGGAGGTCAGGCTCGCTGGCTTGGTTGACACATGCCCTTGTATCCCAACTGCGTAGATCAATGCTCATGATATGTTAATCACTGGATTGTTTGGTCCAGATTCAGTTATTTACAGACCGCCGCCATATAGCTAGAATATTGCTGAGAGCTATGTTAAACAACAAACCAACCAATCAAATCAAACAAGTCAAAGACTAGAGTATATGGAGTATACACTTGATAGACATCTGCTATACAAGTAAAGACCTCTGACAGAATGCATCACATATCTTGTATTTTCTTCACCAATTATCGGTTCCCAGTGGGTTGGAGTTAATTGAATGAATGGCAGAGCAAGGGTATGACAAAGCTTACCGGTATTCCTAATCCAGAGGTGGGGCCAAGCTGTTCCCTATATCATCCCTGATTAGGCAAGTTTCACTCACACTACACGTCCCATATCTCCTAATTAGCAGCAAGGTGGCCAAAACACAACTGACTTGCTATAAATCATGCTGATTACACAAAACACAAGATACCAAAATAGCAATATTCACTTACATTCTCTCAAATCTGCTGACAGGCAGCTCTGGGTTACACCAGAATATTTATGAAACTGTACGTTCCAGTGAGTGACCAGCGGTCAGTCAGTCAGAACACAACAGAACTGACCAGGCAGCAAGGCAGCCAACTAACAAGGCTTGTCCAGTAGAACAGGAGGCTAGTCTGGCCTGACCAGAGAAAGAATGCTTTCAAGAGGCCAGAGTAATGATGAAGATTGATGACGTGGGTCCGGAGGATACACATACCAGGAAGGGGTGAAATCAATGTGTGTGATACTGTAATCATTACAAACATCCTCATAACAACATAAGATACATGTATGTCTTTAGTCAGAGTTAACTGTGGTAATGGTTTGTCTTGGGTCAACCGGTCATTCTGACTGGCCATACACCTATGCCTCCACTCATACATACAATAACACACTGCACACTTAGATAACTACATAATTGAACCAAACTATGACCTCATTTTGAGGAGACTTATCTGAAATGTACATGACCATAAATATCTTATGACAACAATCCATCCTGTTGAAAGTTTACATTACAAGAGCTAGATATTTGATTCTCTTTGAACTTGCCTGGGCTCTAAGTGATTCAGCCTTAGGCAATTACAACGAAACACTTGTAAGAACAATAATGAATTTTGGTATACTAGACATAGTAGTGTGTACATAATTAGGTCACAAGATCAAATGCCTGAGGCTTACAATAATCCTGTTTATAGTGTGCACTCTAATGTAATAGCTAAGTTTAGATGCATACATGTATATTTCTTCCATTGGAGAGAAAATAAGTCTTGTCAGATCATTTACAGTTATTTAGTTTTGTTGGGTTCTTGTTTCAAACTGACCCAAATACTGACAAATCTTAGAAACACAAGAAGGTCAATCAAATGAGGTTTAAAAGTAAAGGTACATAAACATCAACGTGTTCTTATTCAATTAAGGGTTAAAGTGTAACATAAAGCGATAAATCAAAAGAATACATTCTCCACCCAATGTGAAATTCTCAGGAATATGATATCACGCCCTCAAGTTGGAACACATCTGGTCTACTCAAAGATGGGAACTATTTACATTACAACATCATCTGAGTGTGCACAATCTCTTCATAGAGTCAACCCAGGTCTACACAGCATGAGGGATTAGGCTCAAATGTCAAAACAAACCCACAGGGCCATCGAACAGCTAAGTCAAGCCTTCAGTATCATGTATCTATCTTTACATTTCAGTACTTTGTAGAAGTACATCAGGCTTCTTGTTTAGTTACCATCATATGAATTGTAAATTTCAACCTGGATGGTTTATCAGTTTGCACAGTAGCTTTGTTCTTCCTAAGACTAGGTAGGTTATTTCAGTTCAGGACAAAAGGGGTTGTATCTGCTTAAACATAAACAATGTCAGGAAACTACAAAGGGGCAGGACAGGGCTTGTATCCAGTCAATGAAAATGCCTATTCAGCAAACTAACAACAAAGTGACAACAAAATCTGATTCAAAGATGAGGTACTGATAATTCATAAGCCAGATCCGCATCCAAATGACTTCAAACATTACATCTTTCCAAAAATGTAATTTACTCTGCAAATATTACCTGCAATTGTCAAAGAATTGCAATTTTATTTCCTTATACATCATTTCCCTTCCAATTCAACACCGACAATAAGCATGTGTAATTAAACTAAACCTGCTTATTATGCCTATTACCATTCAAAACTTAGCATGAACATGATGAAAGTCAAGCTCAAGATTTTGGAATTTTCTTGACACAGATACAACAGTAGCAAATTTAAACAGCCCCATTAAATTTCAAACTATACAAATACTACATGCATGATCAGGTGAGGATGAAAAGATTCAAATGTTATGGGCACAGAATAATACTTTCACGCATGAATATTTACAAAGTGAATGATATCCCTACATGTCTCTATTGCAAAATGTGAATATGATACACAGGGAAATTGGTGCACCAAGTGCAATCCTTAGCTGATAACAAATACACTAATATGAAACTACTACAAATGCATGAATTAGAAAGGCCAAGATACCAGTGTTTAAACTAAAGATTACTTCCGTACAGATCCAGCAGACTTCCTGAACAAATTGCAGCCTGGTAATGTTAGCACCACTGTTGATGAGGGACAGTGACACAACTTTCATCGCCATATCATAGTATCAGAACATTTAAGATAACCTTATCCACAGTATAGGAAAAGACTGACTGAGTAAGGTTTTACGCCGTTTTAGCAATATTCCAGCAATATCACGGCGGGGGACACCAGAAATGGGTTTCACAAATTGTACCCATGTGGGGAATCGAACCCGGGCCTTCGGCGTGACGAGCGAACGCTTTAACCACTAGGCTACCCCACCGCCCCGTATAGGAAAAGAACAAGGAGGGGGATAGGGTCCTCGAGGACTTATATAGAATTTGAAGTTTGTGACCACATAAAAATATTTTTTAACATTAGGGTCATGATAATGGCCTCTTGGATTCCATACCAAATTCTGAAAACTAATCAATGAAAATTCATTGTAAACATTTATAATGATAGAATACCACCTAGAATTGTGAACATTTACTATCATGTACAGAACAAGTAACAGATTCAGTAAATGGCTGACGTTTCAGCTTGACACAAATACAGCTTCCACTCAAGGTGTGGTTGTGATGATAAATCTATTTCCTGTGTGGGAAGATAATCATTGAGTTGTATTCCTGTCTATAATATTCACAATAAACACACAATACAATACATTCAAACTTGTAATGACTGTCCCAGTGTTATGATATGTGTTTTTGACAGATCTGACGTGCACCATTGTTTACAATGTTTCTGATGTTCAAGTGAGAGCCCCCTGTTGATGTCTGCTGGATGGGGGTCATTCTAGGTCTAGGTTTACCAAGGATCAGGTGGACTGTATAGCTGAAACATCATGTACATCCTACTAACTAAATATTTCTTAGATGCTCATGAAAGTGCTGTTATGTGGAATATGTCTGCAATCCACTGTCTGAAGGATGTGATTTTTTCACAAATTATCGTTTGCCTCATTTTCGTGTGACTTGTCATTGGCACAGAATTATCATACTGGTGTGGTTGTATTAGTCATAGGGTTAGCATATATTAGGTGTTTGTGTATAAAACATATAGACAAAGTCTTTATGTGCATGAAACAAAAGAATGGAGAAGGAGGGCACGAATTGCCCTAAAAAATTATGAAAGCCGATCCCACGGTTTGCGAACATTGAAATAAATTTCCACATTCTCACCCTCCGAGAGCTCAAGATCGAGTTCTGCCAACTTCTCTCTGACATCTTCGGGCAGTAGGGTAATATCCACTTCTGTATCAGCCATAGTTGTTTTTACTGAGCGACTAAAACAAACGTTGTGTCTTCTACTTTACATCTTCGAATTATGATTGATCCCCGTCGCCATTTTGGGTACTCCACCACACCTAAGTCTCGCGATTTCGAACGAGATCTGACAAGCCGGTGTAATTCTTTTACAGCAACCTAGTGAAATTCTGACACCGTCGCTCACCGTTTAGATCAATCGTTTATTTTCATAAAGTCAGATATCCTTTTCGTGAACTTATACAAGATTGCCATTACATATCAAATCACATTCATTACAAAAATATCTATAAAATGTGCAGCTACCCATAATGTCGTTTTGAAAGTTGGAATGAAAACCGCCTTACGTGTAGCCAGGGATACTCTCTTATAGAGTCTCCCTGGTGTAGCCGGACTATTGCTAAGTGTGGCGTTAAACAACAATCACTGGGAGGGAAAAGTCAAGATTCAGTTAATTGAAGATGTGTGTGTGGTAATTAAATGACAAATAACGTTCACACAAATGTCTCTACCGCTACATAAATTCCAAACCCGTGAAAATTAGAATCGGTTAGAATTGGTTTTCAGTAACACCAGGGATACTCTACAACAGGCCCCCTTACAAAGTCTCCCTGGTAACACATACTTGTCATAAGAGGCGACATACATCATCGGGCGGTCAGGATCGCCGACTTAGTTGACAAATGCCATCGTATCCCAATTGCTCACGCCTTTGATCACTGGATTGTCTGGTCCAGATTCGATGATTGATATTATAGTTCTAATATAGTTCTTGTTAAACAACGAACAAACAAACATAAATTCCAACTGCGAATTATACACGTTTTGGCATCCTGTTTGTATTGGGGTAAACAATCTGACAACATACAGCATGTTTATCCATGAGATTTATCACAGGTTGTTGTGTAATAAACAACCATAAGGGCCGCGCGGTTCCACTGTTTACTGCTGATGACACCTGATTATATTGCGTAATTGATTGATGTGACAACAGGTACATGTATAATAAAGATCAACCAAGCGTGACCGAGCGTCGACGGAAGTGTGGTATGAACGTGGTTGTTGTTGTTGTTGTTGTTGTTGTTGTTGTTGTTGTTGTTGTTGGTGGTGGTGGTGGTAATGACGAAAGCGTCCTCCCACTTCTTCCCGGAAGGATGTTCCAGTTTATATACCTTGTGATCAATTTGAAACAGCACATTTAGTGGTGTCAGAAGTAGAAAGTTGGAGTTTAAATATGTGTAAATATAACTTCTTGGAGAGGCATTCAGAAGTTGCGACATACCAAAAGACGTTAAAATATGGTACTTGTTGGTCCCTGCCTGGCGCTCGGCATTAATGGGTACAACAAGGATTGGTCGGCTCGGAGTCAGTATGATGTGTCTGAGTGGGGTATTCATGCTTCACTGCGGCATGGTATCTCAGTGGGCTAGCACTATAAAACCAGCTTAAGTCTGGGCTAGTACAAGCAGCCACAGATACACATACACGCGCATGCACGTCGTCATATGAGCGAAATATTCTCCAGCACGACGTTAAACCCGATTTCACCCCACCTCACCTCATTTAGAAGTTGGAGCATTAAAGGAAGGATAACAACAGATGGATAAACGTCGCTCTCACTGTAATAAACAAGTTGCTCACCCATATACCGTTATCGTTGCATGTGTAGTAATGCTAGTCAAAAATATGCAACGAAATAAATATGCTAATAAATTGGTGCATAGGTGTGATGATTGACGTTGTAGTGGACTAAATATTGAGTCTTTGATGCAGCATTCACTTCGGGTAGAGTGTTTATAATGATAGAATGGATTTTGTCATAGACCAATGAGTGAACGGTGAATTTACAAACACAGTGGAATTTGTTTATTACGCACTCGCCTGGTACCGACCTATTTGTCCGGATTGTAAAGCTGTCCGGATTAGACAACTTTTGTCCGTTTCCGTGTTCACTGCCACGGTGAATTACTTCCCTTCGTTAAGGACAGCCAACAACTAGAATCGTTCTTTTTTCTTTATACTCAATATATTATTTATACTTTCATTGGAAAAAGTCTGTTAACATGAATTGCTTCTGCCTCTGTAAATTTTCACGTAATACAATGTTTTCAGTCATTAACCATTGTGAACAGAAGTAAGAGAGATGTATATATAACGGACTGTTATTTCAGTCAGCTACCTCCAGATCACAAAGCATTGTTCGCATAGCAAGTTGATTGTCGGGACAGTTATTTTAGTCTGTAATCCGTAATTGAGAGAGTCTGGATTATAAAGCACGCTTTAGTAAAGAACAATTTTCAGAGAGTGGTCCGGATTATGGGGAAAACCGGATTACACAGAGTCCGGATTTCATTGTATGTGACATTCCTTTTATGGGCAATAAAAAGAACTCTTTGACATTCAGAATTACGAAATAGTGGAATGGAATCATTTCCAGCTCTGTGTGCCTGTATGTCCATGTCGTCTTATCCGTTCGCCTTCAGCAGATACACCATTGGCTCATGATGACCGTATTTCACAAGGAGCAGGATTCCTTTTCACCGCTGTGGTGCCCGACGTGAAATGTGAAATTCTTCTCAGGTTGTGTCATTTTGCCTTGAAATAACTCGTCATCGCCAGAAACAAGGGAGGACTCGTGTGGCTAGAGAGACACAACATGTTTAATCGCTGGTCACCAGGCTTGAGGGCTGACCAGGCGCGGTCAAGAAAAAGATTGGAGGTAGGAAATGGACAGTAAGAATGAAATAGCCCGACGGACATTTCTCTGGTAACCTTAGCAGCCAAGCGCGGGATGTTGAATATTATCTTGAAACCAGGAAATGACACCCTTCCACGTCATTGTCATGACAGTTTTACTTATATATTACAGTTTGATTTCATTTTGTCCGTCCTAGGCGATTAATATTACAGCGGTGAAGTCTTGACCAGACGACCGCCAAATATGGCAATATTGTCTCACCTGGTGAGCCTTTGTAGTTCATTTGATAAACAACGTTGTTTGTACTCCAGACAGGAAACCGTAAAGAAATTGCGTCGTATATCAAATATCAACAATCTTAATTAAGACATCCTTAATTTTCATTCTTATCAACAATAGAAAACGGGAAAACGAATATTGTTCATAATCAGATGTAAATATTCACGCCTGAGTATTGTACATCCATGACAGTTTTGTCTGAACGAACATGACACAAGTAATAATCTACAGAGATAATAAGTCAGACGCCTGTATGGTTATCTTATGACAAGGTCATGAGATTGTATGGTGTAGTTATGAAGTAAGGGCTGAGATGGATACAGTGTTGAGTGGGTCCACAAAAGACTTTTTGTATCCAAAATAGTTTGTATACTGGGACTCTCTATTATCGCAGGCTCTCTATTATCGCGGCACGCGAAAACATCGGGAAAGCAGAAACACCACGCCCTGCATCGGCTGTTTACATATGCAAATTACGTAAAATATATTCATCGCTCTTAAAAATGTCATTTATTTCATTTGGAATGTCATGTCTAATCGTAGAAATAGTAAAGCATTCATCTTTTCAGTAACTTCTAGAACATTTTGAAACTAGTATGACCCCTACTGCCATTACATCTATTATGAATCAAAACTTACTTCGTCAAGAGTAATCCTGCGACAACTATAAGGTCATTTGCATATTTTCCGTGCTAAAAATATAACAGGAAGTGACGTATTATGCAACTTCACTCTACACACGGCAGCAACTTGTATGGTACGTTTTAAGGCGGACAAACAATATATTTTAACGTTATTGTTACCTTGTGTCCAAATGCATATAAGTTTCAGATGTTTGGGTTAAAAACATGATGATATTATTAATGTAAATGAAATTCCTATTTTTTAATGATCAAACTATTTAGATTCGTTATTTGTCTTAGTAAACATTTCACAGTGTCATCTGCTTGTACCGCGTGCCATAGTAAGAAAATAGCAATACCGCGATAATAGAGAGTGCTTCAATTTCCGGATGAAACGTTTCAATCGGAATTGCTGCAATGGTATTAAACGAGTTGCGGCTATGTGTCACATTATTTGTGACAGAAATGAAGATTAAACATCAGTCAACTAAAAATATATATAAAATGCTAAATGTCAGTAGCCGTTCATAATCCCGATGGCGACAACATTAACTACCGCAATAATAGAGGGTCCCATGATACCTGTTGGGTTTTGTAAAAGGTGTTTTTGTACCCTGAAAATAATTTGGGGTCATCACAGCCATGATTGACCAGTGATTGATCATGGTCAGAAACACAAAAACACATGAATATTAATATTGTGAAGGTCCATGTGATTTTAAGTGCAAGCAGAAACTTCTTTTAAAAAAATTACAAAGTAATTATTGATCATGATACGGAAGTGACACAATCTATACTGCCATACACATATTCATATCAAACCACATGAAAATCTTTTGATTGTAAATCTCTCAGAGCAGATTCCAAAAGAAAAGCTAGTTGTAGACATTGGTAAACATATTATCTACCAGTAATAGCAGTTCATTTTGCAGTATTTGACAAAATGCTGGGGGTGGATAGTGTCAGAGTAATGTTCCAAGTGTATTGCCATCTATTGATGCAAACAACAGCTGATTAGTGTATCATACCTTTGACCGGTGTATCGTTTCACCCCTAATATGAATTCCAGTTCATTTAATTTCATAGAACCCATTATGGATTATTAGTGTAAGAGTATTATTTGAAATTATACTGTGAAATTAAATGCTCTTGTTACTGATTCCATTGATTCCCTTCCCTGCAGGATGAAGGCCTACATGAACAGCTAGAGGAGAGGTTTCGTAAGACACTTTACTATGGCGAACTACCAGATGATGATGACTGCCCTTCTCTGCCTCTAACAAGTAAGGGACATGAAATGTACTCAGATCTCTTGTTTGAGATTGGGTAGCTGCCAGATAATGAACTCCACTTAAAGCAATATTCCATCTACATATGACTAGCCTGTAAATAATCAGTCCTGGAGCAGACAATCCGGTGACTGACATTGTTAGCAATAGGGCCTGTAAGTCTTGTGAGGTGCTACTTCCAGTACTAAGCTGGCTCCCGGCTCCCTTTACGCGCACCAACTTGATATTGCAAGACAGGGCCCAGCTTACTTCCGGTACCAGATTTCTGTTGACAAACATATATTCAAGAACCAGTTCTGGTTTCAAATTGCATGACCGCCAGATATGACTTTACTAGACTGGACTAATTGTACAACCATGCTTGGCTCACAGCTGTTGACAGTCATAACAGTTGGCTAATTTGGGGATGGTTTGTTATTCCTGCAAGTATTATCGGAGACCATTCAAAAAGGGGTGAAATGTTGTTTGTCACCGGAAATACTAAGGTCTCACAAAGTCCTGTGACCTACTTACGGGCCCAATGGTCAGCCCTATCAGGGTATGATGATGACACGCTGTCAGTCGAGTGACCAAGACTGACCACCTGGTCCATTGGGCCACATAATTGGTGGGGACCAATTCTAACTCGAAATGTCAATGAGTGAGATCATGATGACAAGAATGTTAGATACAGTAAATACTAAGGCTGTAACAATTCACTCACATATTCGATGAATCGAACCATAACCCTTCATGAATTCAATTCGTTATTCCTGATCACCAGAGCCGAAAATTTAACGAATATTTACGATTTTTTTAAGGGAGCATGTTTTACTTGAACCCTATGTCCTTTTCCAAAGTGAGTAATGCAAGAATAGAACATGTACTAACCTTGCAGTAGCGTAAGTCATGTTAGTTTGCCAAGGCCGCACTTGGTACTGTTGACTATAACTATTACATACCAAATTTGAGTGTCATGAGTGTTATTGCTGTGACAAATTAAAACTGTCAACATGGGTGTTCCATACTGTACATCAATCACTTAACTACAATATTGTATTCGTGAATAATTATTTGTATTCGTTACCCAATATTCATGATACGTATCATATTCGCCACATAGTGTATTCGTTGCAGCCCTAGTACAATGTAAATACTGAAACTACTTTTGTAGATCACCCGTGTAGATGCTTGCCGTAAGAAGCCACTAACAGGTTCAAATGGTCAGGCTCACTGACTTGGTTGACACATGTCATTGTATCCCAATTGCGTAGATCTATGCTTATTACTGTTGATCACTGGATTGTCTGGTCCAGACTAGATTATTTACAGACGGTGCCATATAGCTGGAATGTTGCTGAGTGTGACATTCAGGGCTCCAGATAACTTTTGGGGGTGCGAGTGTACTTACACATCATATTGCAAGTGGAGGTGTACTGAGAATTTTGAAGGAGTACTGACATGTTTTTGTGTGAGTTGGTGATGAGGTTTGTCTGGACGATTCATCGATTACTATTTTCAACCATGTATTTGTATTTGAAGACACGTGAGAAATAACTGAGCGACCGTGTGATGCGCGAAATGTCAGGTCCGACTGGATATAAATAGGAACAGTGTAGTTTCTAGCCAATCGAAAAATAGTGACGCATATCGTTGCATGGCAACGCAAGTGATTCCTACTGTCGGGGTTTCCTCATGTGTCAAATCGTGTTTCGCAAAAGAAACTTGACAAGTATTTATCCGAAATAGATTTCCATTTGCACGATACGCACGGAAATTAAATTTTAGACGTACAAAGGTATTTATGTGCGTACACGATATGCTTGAAATCTTATATTATGTCGTACTTAATTGATTTTGAGGCGTACATTACGCCTGTACGCCCCTTATCTGTAGCCCTGGACATTAAACAACAAACAAACAAAACTTCTGTGGGTTTATGAAGCTGCACATAGACACAAATAAAAACAACAGATTGATCATTCAGATTGGGCACGAATTGTAAGTGATTTATTGATTAGAATAATTAGATCCTGTATTGGCTCCTTATATTGCTTGTTACATTCATTATACCTTTAAAATAAAATACATTTATTACTCTGTTTTCTGAATCAAAGCATTATCATCTCACCAGGATTATCTACCACAATTCACTACATTTTATGAATGAATGTTGCTTCACTTTCATGGCTGTCCTTGTGGTACATATTTCAACAAATTTGTTTGACATTCTTTATCCAGTATGCGATTGTAGAAATCAGGCAGAATTGTGTGATGTCTACTTTCAGACTTGGCTGTTGAGTTCTTCCAAGATGCAACTCCCCGTGGACTGGGTCAAGCAAACATGGTGTCAGCTTCAGCACTGGCCAGGTGACTAGATTGCTGTAGATCACTCTTAGAACATATTATTGAACAGATTGGTGATAGTTGCGGTCAGATTATCTGTTACATTAAAGATTATTTGTGTAGCATATACAGAGTTTCTGATTTGTGCTTGGGTTCAAATCACCATCCTATGTTAGGTGCCTCTCCCACATGACACTGCACGGTAAAGATGTTTCTGTAGGATGAGGGGTGGTGGGGTAGCCTAGTGGTTAAAGTGTTCACTCATCATGCTGAATGCTTGGGTTCGATTCCCCACATGGGTACAATTTGTGAAGCCCATTTCTGGTGTCTCCAGCCGTAATGTTGCTGAAATATTGCTAAAAGCGTCGTAAGACCATACTCACTCTGTAGGATGAAACCACACCCTGCTACTCCCATCAATAGAAGATGCTCGTTTTGTCATTTGGCCTGTGATCTTACAATGTTTGAATATTTTGTGTAATGTCTACAAGGTTGTAATATTTTGTTTCAGCGATGCCTGTGTGTCTCCAGGGTCCCTCGTAACCAGCATGATCTATGCCACTCGTTTGAGCCAAAGAAATCCTGACTATCTTCAGAAAATGTCTTCCTCTGACCTCTTCTTCATTTCAGTGGTAAGTCCTGCCTTTCAAACTGGGACTATTGTGACAATTGTAACACATATATGTGAATTAAAAGCATAGTATGCTTTAACTGAAAATTAGTATGTGATCATTATCTTTGATTGATCAGTTACTCTCCAGCACAGATTTATTGTCATCTGTCCATAATTGTGCCCATAATTGTTGTGATTGCTTGTGGTGAAAAGTGGTTTTTTATCTCAATTATTTGTTGAAAATGTTTAGTCATTCTTTTGATTGGTTGGGGGAACTCATGCTGAGGACCCAGAATTCCTTTGTGGAGACCGTGAAGCTTATTCTTGATACCCTCCATCATGACACTGATGTGTATTTTTGAATGATGTGTAAACAGCACACACTTTTTGTAAATACAGTATTCTAAATTAACATGTGACCACTAACCTGCGACCTGTAATATTCAGAAAGAACCAGTCACATAGTATGTGACTTTAGTCTCTAGTCTGAAGACAAAGTCTTGTAAGATTCTGGTTGATCTAGTTAGATCTATAACAGTAAAATCTACTTAAAACGATACTAAGAGCTGAGTTCAGGCTAGTTGACGCTAAAGGTTGCTAAAGGTTTTTAGCGTCTGAAAGGTCATGTTCTTTTCTGGTCTGCCATGGATATCATTAGGTACATGGAAATCTGTAGCAGATCATGTTTTTACCAATGTGAGAAAAACAGTGTTTCTTGTGGTCAGTGGGCCTCTAACAGTTTAAATTTGTAAGCTTATCCTATCTCACGGTATGCACTTCTCTCTCTTGATTCGACACTGAGTGGAACAATGTAAACTTTTTTCCCTTGGCCTCTCTTGTCCATCCGCCCAAGCACTCCATGCTACCCTCATTATAAGACAGCTTCCCAGTTGTCATGCAAAGCATGCGGCATGCTCCACTAGCTGCCCACGTAACTATCTCCGAATCATCATTTTCTTTCTTGTCGCACATGAGTGTGAACGTGTTTTGCTTTGCTCAACGTTTTCAACTTAGCTACAACATGGGGAAGTTGACCAGCCAAAAAGAGGAAGAAATGCTCCAGGTGTAAATGCTCCAGTGTTCTCCGCGAGTGATCCACATGCGTATTGTGTTGACTGTGTGGGACAGTGTAAATGGGACTCTCGTTGCGATAAATGCAAGGATCTTACCTTTGAGGCGTTTGGTGACTACACTTGGGCTTGCGCTCATCGTGTTGCTGACAGAGCTCGTTCTGCCGCTTCACTTGACAGACCCAGTCCCTCCAAGAAAGGAAAGTTTAAGCGTCCTACTTTGTCTGCTCGGTGGTCACAGTCCCCTCCCTCGAATAAAGAGGATTTCATGAGAGCATCATCAGATTCTTAATTATCGGAAGATCTTCGGAATTTGTTGGGCTCTCAACATTCCAGCCCGAGCCCTTCGTCTTCAACCACGTCCCGGTTAGTGGTTGTCGAGACTGCTGGCAACCTGGCTTATCTGTTTCGGACAAGAATCAGCTGATCTCTACGCCTGACTACACAGAAGCCGTTCTTGCTCTCGTCGTTCGTCCAGTAGTGAGAGGAACCAGTCTACCTCGCCTCAACGCCTGTCAGTGGTTACTTCGCCGTCTTCTTCCCATTCGGCGAAAAGAAGTGTTGTTTCTTGCGTCCAGCTACCTCGGTCTTCTGCTTCGCCGAAGCCTGCCAGATCGAATCACAGTTCGCCCGATCACGCTTTGCCTGTCCGCTCCCCTCCACCTCGACTTTCGCTGGACTGTCCACCTTCCCCAGAATTAGACCGGCTCTCTACAAAACAGCTTTCACCGAAATGGCATTACATGAATCAACGTTCACCGGAACGGCATTCCACAAACCAGCTTTCTACGATCGCTTTTCGCCAGATCGTACATCTCTTGGTGATTCGCCGAACTCAGTTGGCGCTCCTAGTTTTTCTTCTTCGTCGAGGAAACGTGGTTCACTGAACCATTTGGATCAAACCCCTACCAATATTCGGATTTTCTTGCCAAAACAACCTGCTCGAAATCTCGTTTCGCCCACATCTATAAGATCGGTTTTACGGCGAATCCCCAGTGTTGTCTCGTACATCTTCCAACACTGAAGATTCCCAGCCTACTGGTTCATCAGAGGTTACCTTACTTGTCAGGGATGTCTCCCAGACACTTACAACGCATTCACCTGGTCGAACTTAAATACGTCATCGACCTGCTTCATCAGATCGTCCTGTTTTCCCCGTCATGGTTTGCCGAACTTATCCAAGTATTATCACTGAACCGTTCCTGCAGGCTGGTTCACCGTGACATCGCCGTATTGTTTTTACAGCAAGGAATGGCTCGTCTCGTTCGTCCGAACCACATTCCTGTACTAGTTTGGCAGACCGATCTGAACCTCGTCATCGAACTAGTTCGTCAGGCCGAACCGATTCGCCGCACCAGAACCAGATCACAGTACCGTTCCAGATCTTACCTCGCCGATCCAGATCACTGAACCGACCCCGGTCACCGAACCGTACCAGATCCAACAGCATTCGCCGATCTCACAGCGTTCGCCATTATTTTCTGTCGCATGATGTTACTTCCAACATGACATTTCTTCAGAACGCACCCTGAGGTTCGGCGAATCTGTACCTATGCTGACGTTCGGACAACAGCCGCCTTTAAGATACAGCAATAATGTTGGTTCATTCGACACACATGATCACTTGGTTCACCAACCATCTACGGCTATCCGGCGTAAAATCATACTCACTCACTCACTCATCGATCCAGAGACTCCACTTTATCGATACATTGTTCGACACCTGTCAGAGGATGATGTTCGCCCTTCAGGACAGGTGCATCATGACCCCGCAATGCATTCCTCCAGTGCCATCTTAGTGGCAGCTGCTAGGCTTTCTGACATCAGCCCAAGCCCCAACTACCAGAGGGTAGTTTCAGCTTCAGCCGTGCTAGACGAGCAGAATGTTGTCCTTCGTGACGACTCATCATTGTTCCTCAACGCATCCCTCATGGGTTGGGGGCTCACTTTCTTCATCATCAGACAGCTGGGCTGTGGTCGTCCGCAGAACGGGACTTGCACATCAACGAACTCCAGTTCTTGGCGGTTCTTCTCGCCATTTGACATTGGGTGATGGAACTTCGGGGGTCTTCCCTGCTGATTCAGACAGACTACTCCACGGTCGTCTGGTACATCAACCATCTCGGGTTGACAGGTTCGGCGAACCATCTTCAGCTGGCTCTTCGGTTCTTACATCTAATCGACTCCCTCGCCATCGATGCTCAAGCCAGACACATTCCCGTAGTCAGGATTGTCATCGCAGATGCGCTGTCCTGCTCCGATCGGCCGTCTCCCTAGGAGTGGCAATTAAAGCCACAGACCTTTCGGGAACTGGTCTTCCCTTAATCAAGGCCCCAAGTCGACCTATTCGCCACGCGGTTCAACCATCAGCTCCCGAAGTTTGTCTCGCCGATACCAGATCAACTAGCGTGGGATCTCGACGCTCTGGCGATTTCGTGGGAGGGGCTCAATGCTTATGCTGAATTTCTTCAGCATTTGCGGTCGTCTAAGAAGCTCAAGGGCTCCACTTTGGCCACTTACCTTGCTGCGATCAACTCGGTCCTGGCTACCACCACAGGTTTCGACAGTTCCTGAGCTTCAGTTTTTGCTCCGGTCTTTCAAGTTCACCGATCAGTCTAAGAAGTTTAGACCTCCTGCATGGGATTTATCTGTGCTGCTGCATCATTTGGCCTTGGCGAACTAAGAACCCTTGGCTCAGAAGGACTTTGAGAAGATCTCCTTCAAGACCTATTTCCTTGTGGCCTTGGCTACAGCTGCTCGAAATTCTGAACTCCACGCATTGGATGTTAACTGAGTCCAGTTCGAATGGAAGAAGCATGGCAAAGTCTTCCTCGGTCTCCGTTGGGATTTCGTAGTGAAGAATCAGTTGCTGGGACAACCCGATCATACTTTTACCATCCCACCGTTGTCCACGATCCTTGGGTCGCATGACAGTGAAGACCTGCAGCTTTGCCCTGATCGCTGCTCCTAGCCCTCTCCATCTTCTGGATGAAAGCTTCGGGCAATCCACATGAGCTTCAAATCCACGGGCATTAGCATCTACGATGGCTCTGCATGGTAACTGCTCTCTCCACGCCATTATAGAAGGATTCTTCTGGCGATCTGACTCGGTCTTCTCCTCCCACTACCTTCGGGACCTCTCAGTCAAGGACGTCCATGTCCTGTACCAGTTTGGACCCATTGTTCTCGCACAACAGCGGACAGTCCCACGCGGTTGCTGTTTCCCTGTATTTTCCTGAATATAAGTCTGAACCTGATGTCTGCCTTATGTTTTGATTGCCTATGGGTTAGAACTACTTCACTTAGTTTTATACTAAGACATGGAGATACTACCGCCTCGGTGGTTGGATGAATCTGGAGCTCGATTCTGTAATACAATGTGGAAGGGTTCGACATTTCACCTTTCCTGACCTCTACTTTTCAAAGCAATTACGTCAGTGAAGTGTGACACTCCCGAATTCCAGTGGATTTCGTTGCGTTCCGACTCCGAAGTTGCCAGGCTCATCCTTTGACTAAGCTTATGTAAAGGAGTAAGGGTCAATTTGATGTTGACTGGAACTGAACGTTAAAACTGCGAGTTTTCCGAGTTGTGCTTCTCTTTCACCCGCCCCTGGTCGGTGTCTGTGTTGGTCTTCTCCAAGCAGGGGCTGGCCCAGTTATTGTCTATGACTTTAATTTACAGGGGTACCTTGAAAATCGTGGCGAAGTGGCATCCTTTCTCGGCCGAACACCACATCGCTCAGGAGCACCCATCTCCCTGGGAGATGTTATGCTTAGTAAGCCAAGGAGTTCAGAGGAACTCGTCACAAGCATAGGAGTTGCACTAGCCTCCCTTGTGCATCCCTACCTACGGTTGTTTCCAGTCTACACATTCCTACTATTCGCACTGACAAGACACAGGCTATCTGCGTCCTGCCGTCTGACCGTGGGATAAGTGCATACCGTGAGATAGGATAAGTTTAAAATTTTGGAAATTTTAAATATAAATTGTATATTTATATACTAATTCCCAACCTCCCCGCTACGCTGATTCTCCAAGATTGATATTCCATTTGCTCCAAGAATGAGAATGATGATTCGGAGATAGTCACGTGGGCAGCTAGTGGTGCATGCCGCATGCTTTGCATGACAACTAGGAAGCTGTCTTATAATGAGGGTAGCATGGAGTGCTTGGGCGGATTGACAAGAGAGGCCAAGGGAAAAAGTTTACATCGTTCCACTCAGTGTCGAATCAAGAGAGAGAAATGCATACCATGAGATAGGATAAGTATATAAATATACAATTTATATTTAAAATTTCCAAATGTGAAAAATATTTATTCAAATACACAAACAATCTGCAGGACCCCAGGTTCCACTGTAATTTCTTACACTGATGTTACTTCAACTTGTGTCCAAACTGATAAACATGTACAAGTTAAAGTGTAGACTCATTGTCTTCCTGCCCTTCCTGTCCAGATGATGGCCTCCAAGTATATGTATGATGAAGGTGTGGATGAAGAGGTGTTCAACGATGAGTGGGCAGAAGCAGCTAACATGGAACTTGATGAAGTCAATCAAATGGAGCGAGATTTCCTCTCAGCAATGGTAAGGAACACCTATTATGTTTTGGATACTTGTGCAGTAAACGAATAGGAACAAGTAGAATTAAATCTCTTAGATTTGCACATAATCTCCAGCCATTTACAGCGATATCCTGAAACAAGATATGCCAAAGGTGACACAGATCAATCATAAGATTTTGTCTTTTCTTTGAATATTTGTACCTCTCTGACTTGTCACCTGTTAGAGTTATCTCCGCACAAGAGAGACATATTGTCATGGTGATGTGTTATGTACATTCAAGTCAGTGGCTAAAATTCAATGGTCAATCAGAATTATTTCTTTTTCATATTTACTGGCTTTACAGATGATCCATATTGAGTCCCATTACTGTGGGACAGAGCATTGTCTTCTTTTTAAACTGCTTTTCTTGTTTGTAGGACTGGCAGCTGTTCGTCTCACAGTCTGAATTCCTCCGATCTGTTCATGATATCGAAAGAAGGTAAATTTTGAACATATGCATGTTTTGTATTATGGTTTGTGCATATCTTCCAGCAGTGGTTTAAACCATTAAAGATGATGCCCAGATAGTGTTGTACCAGTAATAAGAAACAAGATCAAGCTACTCTGTAATTGAGGAACCCATGTTGTTTGATTGTTTGCTTATAAATAAACTCTTGCCCGGATAATGGTGTCCACATGGACATGCTTTCAGAACACTGTTTTCAGTCAGATTATTGATTAAGAGTTGGCACACCCAAATTCCAGAGGTTTCACTTACATATCTGAATGAGAGCTTTATGACACATTTGAAACTGGTACATATTGAATCAATGATATCTGCAGTCTTCAACAAAAGTATGGCAATTTAGAGCAAGGTTACTAGTGTAGGGGAGGTAACTCTTTGATAGTTATCTCCCTTCATTTGAATAGCAGTGGATGCAATTTTCAGCATGATTGTTGTGATTTCAGAATTGCATGGACTCAAGGCTGCGATCGAGGATGGCTCTCCTATACTGATTTCGATGTTCTATTCCATGACAAACTTACCAAACGTCTCTGGGACTGCATAGCAAAGGAATGGCTTCTGGTAAGATATGTATTGAGTTTGAAAACATATTGGGAAAGCCCCAGTGCAATTCATAAGTTAGTTTTAGTGCTGAAAAGTGTGGTCCAAGTCTAGTGAAATTTTGGAAGGAGAACTTGGTTTGTCTCAAAATATTAATTTACATGTGTGATGTTTAGTACAATTTCCTCTAAGGTCAAATCAAATTACATCTTCACAAAACATTTGCATGCCAAGTTTGGTTTTGTTTCCAAAATGTCATTTTTACGTCATACCTACACCACCACTAGTGCCATTTGTGATCAAGAATTGTGTGTTAGGAAAGCTCTCATGTTATGAATGCTTCAAGGGTTTTATAGTACACTTACCTATCACCCAAGACTCCCCTCCCACAGTAAACTGGCCTGATATAGGGTGCATTTTTGAAAGAAGCACTAAATGTCACTCACTCAAGTCAATGTTTCTCCCTTTACAGGTGATCACTGTGAGCTCTGCTGCCTATGTGGCCAGCTTCCTCACCATGGTGGGATCAACTGCGCTGGCCATGCAACTCTCAACCTCAATGGCCGGCTGTGCTATACTCAGACCACCTCCCATTGACCAGCCTCACCCTGATCGTCCAAATATGTCACTGCCCGTCGGCCCTGCCGGAAATGTGTTTGGTGAAATGGAGTCTGCTGAACCGAGCCTTGAAGTGTCCCACGTCCTGGGTGAAGGTCTTGATGCCAATTTCGAATTAAGGTCCAATTTCTCTCAGTCTCCAAGAAATGAATCGGGCGAAGCCAGAGAGACAGAAGGTCGTAATCTGCTGGAAAAGGTTCTACCTCAACTCTGGGCTGTGGTTGCTTTCAAGGACAGATTTGTTCAGTTGATGTGTGCGTTCAGTGCTGGACTGAAGCAGAGGGGATCGGAGAATTTACGGACAATCCCCAGAAAATGTGTGTCCAGCAGAGGAAACAAACATCGTTTGAATGCTGACAACATTGCCAGCCCAACAATCAACTTTGATGAAATGGAACGTCTCCGAATGCCACCAAAGCTGAAGCACCAGTGCCACGTCTGTCCTCACTGCCATGGAAACGACCAATCCCAAAACAAGCAATTCTGCCCGGTGACTCATTTGACCAATGAAGATGATGATGCTAGTGCTATGGACTTGACCCGTCTGAAATCCGACCTAGATATTGAACCTTGGTGTTGCTATGGCAACCGTCCTCCAGATGGTTCCGATCTGAACTTAGAAATATTACAGTATCCTGACATCATGCGGGGATTTTCGACCGGTGTCCCTATTGCTGCTTAGTGCTAGTAAATGTATTGGTCTAACAGACTTGGTAAACAATGCTATGTTCAGTAACACTTTGTTCAATACGTTGTTTATCGTTGAGTCTTATGTACTGATAGTTTATGTTCTTACTGTTTTATACACAAATATTTTTGACGTGTGTTTTGTTTAGATTGTTAATTTGTTCAAAACAAACGGTTCTTTTTAATGTTCTGCTGCTCAAGTGCAGTAGAAGTTTTTAAATACTATTTTGTAGACTGAAGGACAGATTATGTCTTATCTTTTCCGGGCTGTTACTTTCTGAAACCCTTCAGTAACTTATATATTTTCAAATGAGAACTGTTACTGGAAACTGTGAACACTTTGAGGTTGACGTTTTTGTTAAATTGCCGTAAAAGAAAAACCAAAGTTATATTTTTACGTAACATTACACAAATCTATTTTTAAAATGCCAACTTTGTAACACCTTTTTGTGTAAGAAGAGTAAGTCTGAAGTCAAATGTCAGAATAAATCATCACCTTGATTTCAAACATCAAGGTGTGGATCACACGTTTTAGACTGTTGTTTGTAGAAGGAGTTGCTCTGTGACAATGTTCACGATCAGTAGATCAATTTTCTGTTCCCACTGTGATGTTGCTGGAATATTGGTAAAAGCATCATAAAACCATTCTCACTTGGAGAACCACATAACTCAGACAGGTTTGCATGAGTCTTGGAGTGAATGAAGTCAGACAGTGTTTAAGAGTCACCTTAAGCCTCCAAGCCAGCCACTGGTTGTGGTGGTTTCGAAATGCCCCTGGTAGAGTCTGTGAGTGCACACCATATCTCCATCAGTGTTAGGGCACCTGGCATTTCTTCCTGGAGTAGCTCAGAGGAAGTCAGGAGAGGGTCTTCAAAAGCATATACAGGTTGTCATGGAAACAAAATTGGAGAAGAAGAAACTGAACTATTATTTCCTTACTGAACATTTAGCATATCTTTCACATCAACATGTTTATATTCTCTTCAAAAAAACACTATACAGGCTGTTTTGGAGTTTACTTACTGAGTGCATATAACTGATTCAAACATGACATCATTGCTCATTTACAGTGGTTAAAAATCATCACTTTTCAAATTTCCATGATTATCCAGAAAGTGTTTGATATTGCTGGAATAGTAAAACCACAGTCAGTCATCATTGCTCAATTACAGTAAAATCATCACTTTACAAATTTCCAAACATGATTATCCAGGAAGTGTTTGTAAAACCATAGAGTAAAAATGTCAGTATCTGGTGTGACTACCATGATCATAACTAACAGCTTGGCAGCGGTGACCCCTAGAAGAAAGGAGATGCTGAATGCTGTCTTGAGGAATGTTTTGATACCCTTGCTGAAGTTCTGTGTGCAGCTCTTGTAGTGTCTGAGGTCGATCAAAAGTATCCCATAGATGTTCAATGGGGGACAAATCCGGTGATCAAGAAGGCCAAGGTAACACCTGAACATTGTTTTGCTGGAGGAAGTCCTGTCAAACATGGGCAAGTGAGGTCAAGCATTGTCATGCTCCAAAGATCAACCCCTGACGTTGATGAAGGTTATGATGTTGAACTGGTCTTCTGGCAAAAAGTCTGACTTCCCATAGCCAATTGTCGCACTGTCTGGTCGGAGATTCAGTGCAGTCCAGGGATTTGGATTGTTGTGGATGCTGCGGCCGTGGTGTTTGAACAAAGATGTCTCAACCGAATGAAGCGATCCTTGCTGGTGGTGGTAACTCTAGGTCGACCTGATCATGGTCTGTCATTAAACCCTCCCAGTATTGTTGTATCAGGTCCATTTTATTGTTGTATCAGGGTTTTTTCAAACATTTTGTCGTTACCAACCATTCCCCCACATGTGGGGATTCAGCATGGATTGGTTTGTTTTCAAACATTTTCCTAAAATTCAAATGTTTCCCACTTATAGTTTCTTTTTTAGAAGAGTATATTTCTTTTTCAAGCTTGGCTCTGAACATGAGGCAGATAGACCATTTCAAATTTACCTTACAAAATCTTGTGGAAAAGTCAAATAGTTAACTTCCAGCTTAATGAATTTACAATTTTATCCAAATTGGTCCTTTGAAAGATTTACAAAATATAGGAGAGGTTCATAAACAATGGTTGGACCTTTAATTGTGCCTTTATTGAAAAAAGACATATCCCGTCTAACATTGACTGGTTCCAGAATAAGTTCAATTTTGTACTTCGGAATCCTCTAAAGTGCTAAACTATACAATATATAATGTGAGGGATGGGCCGTTTCTAGATATGTGTGTCTCTGTTGTCAGTACACACGAAACTTGTGTGATTGGAAGAATGATGGTGAACCCAAAGTATATAATAAAGCCTGCAGGATGTTAATTCATCTCACAAATAAAATTAATCACCTAAAATATATGTGCTTTAATTTGATCAATACTAAAGTATGAACAACTTTAGTGCCAAAGTTATGACATTTCCAGACAGCCAACTAACATTTTGGAGTTTTGGTAACCTTCCAGCAACCATTGTAATGAGATTTCTCAAAATACGGTCACTGCACCACTTGACTACCAATTCCAAGTGACCCATGAACATCAGGGCTAGAATTGGTCTTCAGTGACTTGTAAGAGGGGACTAACGGGATCGGATGGTCAGGCTCGGTGATAGATGCATGCTCATGGTGTTGATCACTGGATTGTCTGGTCCAGACTCGATTATTTACAGACCACCGCCATATAACTTGAATATTGCTGAGTGCTGCCTAAAACTAAACTCACTCACTCAGTTCCAAGTTTATTGTTCTGTATGTGGTATTTGGGGGCTTGCAATAGGTCGACAGTCATGCAACTGGATTGGGTGTTAGAGTCAGTGACTGTGTTAATAGTGGGTCATCCATGGGTACTGTGTGTCACTGGTTTATCTTGTCCCGACCATAATTTAAAGTGTCACATGATATACAGCTATCAGGAATGTTTGTGACACTGTATTAAAAGTATAAACAGATGATAGAATGTTATTGAAAAGTGAGTGACTTTTGTTTTATGCCACACTCAGCAATATTCCAGCTATATCGCAGCGTCTGTACATAATCGAGTCTGGACCAGACAATCCAGTGATCAACAGCATGAGCATCGATCTACGCAACTGGGATACAATGACATGTGTCAACCAAGTCAGCAAGCCTGACCACCCGATCCCGTTAGTCGCCTCTCACAACAAGCATGGGTTACTGAAGATCAATTCTAACCGGGATCTGTTTTGAAAACATGACTGACAGAGCTGATTGAAGAGTTGAACACAAAGAACTCTTTCCTATTTCAAGAATGTCGCCTTGATATGATGTGGCCAGTTAAGCATCTTCTAAACCAAATGATGTATGATCCGGTTTGAGAGTGCTGGTATTGAGTTTGTCAGTGTATGATGACAGCCCACAGGTAGGGCACACCTGTCACCCAGGTTCTTGCCTATGTAATTTATACATAAACCAAATATTGATTGTCCACAGTCATGGTAACACAATTCCCACATCCTGGGTACCATACCCAGAATGGAACCAAACGTGTAAAGATATTACCAGAACAGTTAGAATTGATTTTCAGCAACCTATGCTTGTCAGAAAGGGTGACTAACGGGAGGTCAGACTTGGTTGACACATGTCATCGTATCCCATCTGCGTAGATCGATGCTCATGCTGTTAATCACTGGTTTGTCTAGTCGAGACTCGAATATATATAGACCACAACCATATAGCTGGAATATTGCTGAGTGCAGAGTTAAAAAACGACAAAGAAATATTACCAGAGCATATCCCAGTAAGAAATGTTTCCTTAAAGGCAAAGGTTATTGTCACTGGCAAACAGGGTCACTGTTAAACCTTTTCTGGTGCAAATGAAATGTTATTACATGGAAAGACTAGGGTTTCAAGGCATGATATGATCAACAGTCAATAAGAACAGCGCACCCAGCATATGCAAATGAGCCACAACATATCAGTAGGTTCAGTAGCAAATGTGTCAATTTGTGCATTGCACAAGGCCTGGCATCTTAGTCTTATTAAGAGGTATAAACGTTGATGAAACTCCAGAGGAATATCATTCCCTATCCCAGGAAGGATTTGACGGAGATCCTACAGCGTTGTTGGAAGATTCGAATCACGTAAACGTCTCTCCTTTTCATCCCATACGTTTTCATTTATGTGCAAAATCAGGGGATCTTGCCGACCAGGGTAGACACTTGTTCTGCCGTCAGATCATTGTGAACAGAACTCTTTTCTACTCGTGCTCCCCATCGCAAGTTTCGTCTGCTCCACCATCGACGTCGACATTGATGTTTTGATCTAAGAATTGGCCGTCGGGCTGAACGTTTTGCGCGGTAGTCGCGTAGACGTCGTTGAACTGATGGCGCTAACACACCTACTGTTGATGCCAAGTATGGTACGGACTGTTAAGGTTGCTGTCTAGAGCCTGTGTCAGAGGTGCATGGTTCGAATCCATCGGTCTTCGCCTCGGGTAGCTCTACGTGGACGGCCTATAAGTTGATTGTTTTGCTGAAAACGTTGCAATAAGTGCCAAATGGTGTTACTATGAACGTTGCAGCGACGAGCAACGTCACACTACGAGGTACTAGACTGAAGCATACCTTTAGCTCTCCATCTGTCATTTTCCCCGAGGCGTCACAAGTCAACTTGCTCCAGAAAAATGAATAGAGGTGTTTTTCTGACTTCAGAACATCTTTAGCTTGCATTGAGCGGAATCGTTAAGCGCCAGGTTATCAGCCCATTTAAAGTGGTAATTGCTGGTATTTTTTCTCGAACATGTCATGTTTCTTGCCAACGTCGTGCACTTCGAACATCAAATGCTTGCTGCTATCTTACGACCATTGTAATACACTCTTTCTCTGGTTCAATTTCATACAATCCTCCACAAGATTAGATTGAAATATTCCCATGTCATAATACTGTTTGCTTCTGATTATACGGTGGGGTAGCCTATGGTTAAAGCGTTGGCTCGACGCCGAAGAGCGCTGGGGTGTGTTTGTTCATGTCCCAGGCCGTGATATTGCTGGAATATCACGGCGTAAAAAGAAGAGAAAATATACAAGTGACGATTATACATGCAAACGTGTGTTTGTTCATTCAGTTTCTCTTTTTAAAATATCTTGGACATCGATATACATGCAGTTACTATTTCTACCAATGTTTATCGTCTTTGGTGCTATTAATGGAATACAATCCTTTTGATTTGAGCAAAATTAAAGGAATACTCAACATTATGTCAATGGCAGGTGTGTGTTTGCTGTATAGTTACACCACGAACCTGCAGTCACTATTTATAGACTCGGCACTGTAAACCTGGTTCTTCGTGGTAGATGCTACTTGATCTGAGAGTTCCAATCACGTGATGCTACAACCTTGACTTCGTTGAGGGTGAAGTGTTTAATAAAAACAAATTACTACCACGAACCACAGTCTTTCACCAAAGTCGCACGTTCAAAGAAAAACATGACGCAAATATGTGTGGCCATGTTACTATCACTCGTCATACAGCTTGCAGATGGACATGAAAATACTGATAATGTTATTGACCTAATCGCACGGACAGAGGAAGAAATCAGAAGCCTGAAAGCTGAAGTTCAACACGTCGAGACTAAAGTCGCCACCAAGATGCGCATGTTGAATTTGATGTTGCGTGCTGACCTGAAGGAGAAGTTAGTACCTACTTACATACACAGTCAGGTTGAAGCTTCCTGGACACAGATACTACGACAGAAGTCCATTGACTCCATGGTCAACAGTCACGTGATGTCCCACATAAGACATCTGAAGTTGGAACACCAACAGATGAAGACACAGATAAACAGCCTCTCCAGGCAACTGCGGGCTGCCATGAAGACCGAAGACTCTCGTCCACCTGACACGTCCGTCCAGACAGAACCTTCAAGTGACCACCATGTAAATCAGGTGAGACGCCCATACTGTGCTAAAACACTGTATCTTGTTCTAGATTTGACATTGAAGTGGCGCTTGTTGCTCAATTGCGAATATTTCCTTTTATCATTTGCATTCATATTCCACAAGTACAATAATGTATATGCGTATAATGTATATATCCATGTTCATCCTTCTTAAGAAGAGGGGCGGTGGGGTAGCCTAGTGGTTAAAGCGTTGGCTCGTCACGCCGAAGACCCGGGTTCGAATCCCCACATGGGTACAATGTGTGAAGCCCATTTCTGGTGTCCCCCGCCGTGATGTTGCTGGAATATTGCTAAAAGCGGCGTAAAACCAAACTCAATCAGTCAGTCTTAAGAAGAATAGGCTTGAAAACTTCACTGAGATTTAATTATATGAGCTTATTTCATTTACTATCATTAAAACAAGGACGAATAGAGACATCTTCTGAGGACATAATGACAATACTGATTGTTTTATCACAAGACAACGTTCCAGGGTGTGTGTGCGTGTGCGTGAGTGTACGGAGATGGGGGTTGGCTTCCTATTACTACCTGGTGTTGTCATCATCGTGTGTTTTGTCACCTCTCTACCCCTCCTTGACTCAGACTGGATAAGTCGAGTCATTTCGCCCTGTGGGGTTCTTCTACATTCTTCCTGCAAAGTGTTGGCGCGTGCAAGAGACGGTGTGTGGGAATGTTGACGCTGACGTGCACGTCTGCCGAGATCAACACACGGATGACCTATCGGGTTCAGATTTGGAGATCTGTGCAGGTGTGGTGCCTCTTATTCTACCACTTCTTGGACGATTAGATCTTAGGTTGAATTGAGGCTGCATAGAAATCCCATAAAGGTGATGAGGTGCTCTGGTCTACGCTGACATGTCCGGCAACTGCAGAATGAGTCTTCCATTCTTCAAGATGTCGTATGAAGATGTTGCGATTGGCATCATCCAGTCTTGGTATATCCCCACTTCGTATAAGCGGACAAAGGTGACTTACGTGTGACCTTTTAAAGTCATTGTCATTGCATGTGACTGTCACAACTTTCTCGTGCCCTCATCCTTTCATATCTTTTCCATGACATTGTCGTGTTGTCTTATACAACCATTGCGTTTGTGTATTACACCAGTTAACTAACATTGTTTCGTGAATAAACACAATCAACATTCTCATTATCGCCTATGCGAATCTTAAGCATATATGACCGCCTCCGTGGTGTAGTGGTTAGAGCGTCTGCCCGGAGAGCGGAAGGTCGCGGGTTCGATCCCCGACCGCGTCATACCAAAAGACGTTAAAATATGGTACTTGTTGGTCCCTGCCTGGCGCTCGGCATTAATGGGTGCAACAAGGACTGGTCGGCTCGGAGGCTGTATAATGTGTCTGAGTGGGGTATTCATGCTTCACTGCGGCATGGTATCTCAGTGGGCTAGCACTATAAAACCAGCTTCAGTCTGGGCTAGTAAAAGCAGCCGCACATGCACATACACATGTACACATACACACGCATGCACGTCGTCATCTGAGCGAAATATTTTAACTCCATTTCACCTCACCTCACCTTAAGCATATATATGCATGTACATGTATGTACTTATTTTTGAGAGCGTACTATGCAAAACGTGGCGGAACAATTGTCTAAGTTTACCTTTCTCCCGACATTTTGAACTGCACAATATTGTATCCTTCAGACTGACCTGAACCAAACAGACACCCTCATTTCAAGCCTGCAACAGGATGTGAGGACGTTGACAGATCAGGTGGCCAAGTTGAGCCACAGCTGTCAGACACTGAAAGAGAGAATCTGGAGTCACGTGTGGACAAGATAAGAATGAACATTAGCCATCTTGAAACAGAGACGGATAACCTGAGGGTTGCGTTTGATAGGCTGAATGAGAGTCACGTGACGAACATAGAGATTGTGAGAAACTTTCATCACGAATACATCAAGACGCCCGAGAAAGAGACTCGGGGACATCAGGTGAACGTTGTCACGCCAGATCTTGGGTCGACGTCTCCTTCTGTGTCCTCCTCCACGCCAGTGCGTGCAACACCGCCTGCACCACGGCCAACATCACATAGCAGAGGACACATGGCGAGGATATTGGTTTCACAGCTTTATTCTAACATCACAAAACACGCGACACAAATAAACATACAGAACCACTCCATGACGTCTTATCCCTACCTGGACACAAGACATGTCTGGTCCATGGTTTCTGATCCCATCTCCAGGAGGCTGATATACTCCAAGTACACCCCAGACGGTATATTTTCCTCCCCACTGGACGCTCTAGGTACACCAATAACGCTTAAGGCAGAAGTCGCGTCATACGGACTGACTATAGACGTCAAAAGGCGACTTATCTTTTACACAGGAGGTTCAAAATCAACTATCAGCCGTATGTCAGTATGGGGTAGGAAACATAGGCGTATTGTGTACATGAAGAACGCAAAAGCCTACGGATCAAACAGCGCATTGGGTATAGCTGTCGATACAAGGAGGAAAATGATATATTTCGGTAAATATGACGGATTATGGTCGATTAGTTATAATGGGGAGAATCTCCGCAGACTAAAGACCGGGAAAGACCTACTTGGTGTGACGGTGGATGGTGTCAGTAATATTCTGTATTTCGGTGAAGGGAAGAAGGTGATGAGGATGTCTCTGTCTACTAACGCCATCACCGACATCAAGGAAGTTAACGGCTTCATTTTCAACATCGTCTTCTACAACGGCAGCCTCTACACTGTCACATTTAGCGACGGTGGTGTCGATATTATACACCTGAACAACGATGGCGATGTTCATTTCGATCTTGAGAAGATGCGATACGAACGGAATGTCATCTGTCTCCTACCATAATGTGCTTGTGTCATCCATGTGTGTACACGAATGGGGGAAACGCTAGACAATACAGACAATGTTAGTAGAGTGTAGCATGGAGTGTACAGTATAGAACTAAAACAGTGAATGCTCACGATTATAGGTGGACATTTCCACTCTCTCTGCGTGGAAATCGTGCATTTCAGTTTTTCTCGATCGACAACCTTCCAGAAACTGTCCTGAAAGTCAGCGATATAACTGTATGTATGGATTCCAGGAATAAAGTTTTCCATTAAGTATGTAGCAATGGATCATAGCGTACAAAGCTGGAAAGATCTCGCCTTTTGTTTGAATTGAACCTCAGAACGTGAAACGTGTAAGATATTTTACGAATGCTTATATGGGTCATGATAAAACCTGTACCCAATCGAACACACTATATCGGGAGAATACGGATACGTTAAATATCAAATATAACTTCAAACCGAAACATGAGTCTCATGAACCTATTCAGACAATGACCTACTTTTCAGCCGAACCGAATTTTCTCGTGTGAAAGTGAAAAGAACAAACAACTATGGTTACACTGAATTCCAATTCTTTGTTGCATAAGAAAATGGTATTTACAAGTTAATTTTAATTTCAAACTTCAATAACATCGTATTTCTGTATTTTATCCGAGGTGTAGGCAGCATGACTGCCCCCGTTTGATGAGGTCGTAAAATGATTCACAATTCATCTGGCCCACTGGTTACATCTGTTATGCGTTTTTTTTGCGCTTATCCAGTGTAGTCTTGTAACGGACAATGTGATTGATATAATATCAAGTCCGTACCAGACCGCCAAACATTTCTGGCGGCAGAGCCTCGTTTTGAGATTTCCACGATTTCCGTTTGTACGACAGAGCACGCTGCGCGACGTGTTTGCAAGGATTAAAAGGAGCGTAGTGTTGCAATATGCAAGTGGTTATAGATGTATCAGATAATACTGATTCATATTTATGTTTCCATTTGAATGAATGTTTCGAAATTCTGGACTGGTTATTGTACTAAGTTGCGCAATAGGACGGAACCCAGTCAACAGGAAACGAGACTGTTGTGTAATCAATGTTTTGACTTATAATAATGAAGGCGGCGTTTTAGCGTGCTAAATAAAAAGGCCCCAAGAGAAATAAAGTAAACTACATGAAAAACGTGTTTAATCTTGACTTACAATTAGAAATGAAGAGGGTTTTTTTTTAATTATTGAGACATGTTGTCAAATGATCTGGGAACTGTTTCAGTCCCTTCAATCCGACATCAGACAGTGATGAAGGTCCAGCTGCCTGGCCTGATAGGGATACAAAGCTACTACCTCGGTGAGTTTAGTTTTACGCCGAACTCAGCAATATTCCAGCTATATGGCGGAAATAATCTGTAAATAATCGAGTCTGGACCAGGCAATCCAGTGATCAACAGCATGAGCATCGAGCTGCGCAATTGGGAACCGATGACATGTGTTAACCAAGTCAGCGAGCCTGACCACCCGATCCCGTTAGTCGCCTCTTACGGTAATGCATTGACAACTTGGCAGTTTACAGACTGTTGTGCACTTGCAAGAAATGAACTCAAGAACAGCAACTGGAGCAAGAGATCCTGTTATCCGGTAAATCTCTATGTGAACATTTTATTCCACCCATCCATGACCATCTGTTGCCCGTGGAGTTGGATATTCAGCTTCCAGACAGTTGTTCCATATTGCAGCTTAATAGTTTGCTCTCAGGGTGTGGATAGATACACAATCAAAGCAGGGTGGCAATTGTCCTGACTCAACTGCCCCCTTTTTCACTTCAAATAAGTGGTAGCACAATTGATTGACATCCCTTATTGAAGTACCTGAGACATACAGGCGGTATGTGAATTCTTGAAGTGAGTCCATTCATTCCCAAGTTGTTGGAAAGCCTTGAATGCATTGACTTTCTCTCTGCCACCAAAAGAATTGACAGTATCACATCCAGTGTATGCATGTAGTCCAGCTGAATATCCAACTCCACGGACAACAGATGGTCATGAATGAGTGGAATAAAATGGTCACATAGATATTTGCTGCACTCTTTGAAATTGAAGAGTTGTCTTCAGAATAAATGAAATGATGAGTTTTCAAAAATGCTCTTTGAACTCATAGTTTTGACGCTTACAAAATCAGGAAAAAATATGATTTAAGGGTATAAAATAACACAACTTGATATTAATTAAATCTTTTTGATCATGTTAGCACCATTTTACCTCCCTTTTTTCATTTCCAACCTATTTGCTGAATATTACCCATGTTTAAAGCTTGGAATTGACATTTTTTTAAATGTTGAGTTTTTGGCGGCCATCTTGGATTTAGCCTCGTTCTGAGTTTGAGTTACCAAACCAATCATTTTCGATATGTAGAGACCACAACCACTTCAAAAAACATAAAAGTGTTTGGTCCCTCTAAGTGGTACCGAAAAATCGTCTGGCTCATGGCCTAATTCTGCCCCATAATCCCAATGGGGCTCAGTGATGTCATCAATTCAAACGAAGGCTACCATAAACCCCTAAATACTAGTAGATCCATAGGCTGAAGCTTGGGGAAACACTCAACTCATTTCCGTGATTTCTTTATGCGGTTTAGATTTAACACACATAGATGCCAACATTGATGGAAATGTCCGAACCAAATTACTGTGTCACCTCATGAGAACACACGAAAATATTAATTAAGCAGTTAAAAAGAAAACAAATCAATGTTAATGATGTCAGTTTATCTTTATAAATACAATTTTAGCGCTAAACTGTTTATATGTTACTTGTTGTCCTATGAATAGTACATTGAGTCAGAGGTATGTCAACGACGCACCTGTTCATATTTACTTTACTAACAGTTACCTCCCTTTAGTTAGAATATCCAAAACGAGAGTCGCTATTACTTGAGGTGTTATACAGGTTACCTGTATGATTGTCGGTGACCTAGAGATCCAACATATATGGTCCAGATGGATTCTCTAACCACAATATGGTTCCTTTTAGGCTTGTTTAGTGCAAGTAAGTAGTTTTCTTGCGATATATTTGTTTGTTTGAATTATTGTTTCAGGTGTTCATGGTTTTACCTGCGAATGTTTACCTGTGCAGGAGACACCAAAATGGCGGCCTGATCAGTTTTAAGATTCTCTTTTCAAATGAGAACGACAGACTGAAACTCAAACCTTTGATTTCATTGCGATTTCCAGATTGACGAGTGTTTAATGTGTGTGACGTGTCCAGTTATAATCAATATAGAGTATGGTGATATAAATTATAACCAACACATGTAATATCCACTAGCGAACACTTCCGGTATTTCCGTAGATTGGTCAGTGTATGTGCACATAACAGCAATAACTCCACAAACTGCTGCATTGTGTGCATAAAAGTAACAATTCTTGATGATTGGTTAACATTTGGTGAGATTTGTTTAGGTGTGATTGCTACGCTACGTACATAATACCATATACATAATATACTCACTATTTCCCGCTGTGGATGATGGTGTATGTAGATACAAAATACTCATAGTGTTGGCTGAAGGATGGCTCAGGGTTAGTTATAGGTGGAGAGAGGGCCTAGATGTATTAGCCTAATGGATTCTATACCATCCACGCTTTCTGGAATTTGTACCTACCAAAAATGGTGAACTTATACCTAAACTGCTAAAGTTCCTGTCAGATTCATATTCAGTTTGATTTATCATGTTTATTCTTTAGGTCTCTGAATATCATTTAGAAGTGACACACATAAAGAAGAGACTTTTATTTTATATAATAAAGAAGTTGCATGACGTCCATAAAACTCTCTTTGTTTTTGTCATACATTAATTCACTGTTTTATACAGAAATTTGAAGACATATACCCATTTGTTTTTATATTTGTTGCTCAAAACAATCTCAGTCTTAACTAAAAACCTGTGGTATTAACATGATCACTGTTTTGAAGTAGATACTTCTCAGACAAGATTGGACCCGTGAAGGTCAGGGTTAGAATATTGATCTTCAGTAACCCATATGCTTGTCGTAAGAGGCGACTAACGGGATCGGATGGTCAGGCTCACTGACTTGGTTGACACATGTCATTGGTTCCCAATTGTGCAGATCCATGCGCATGCTGTTGATTACTAGATTGTCTGTTTCAGACTCGATTATTTACAGACCGCCACCATTTAGCTGGAATATTGCTGAGTGCGGCGTAAAACTAAATCCCACTCACTCACTCAGACAAGATTGGAAGTATAAAAAGGATTTTCTGAAATTTAGCTATTGTGTCTTAGCATTGGGGTGTCAACAGTGTAAAATGTTAGCCAAAATTTATTGCTGCAGATAACATAGAACTGATAGAAGGGAAGAATGTTTGAAATCAGTTGTTTTAGTGTTTTTCAGTTGTTTACTTCTTGTTTCAAGCTCTAGTGCTTGTGCAAACATCAAATGTCAGAATGTACATAAGTTTTGATAACTGAAATACATCTAAAATTTTAAGAATTTCATATTTCCATTGATTTCAGAAAGAAAATGTTAATTGACATGATTGGTTGAAAGATGCTTGAAAAAGTGTTCTGTTGGAAAATGTCAGAAAGATTGTTGCTTTGCCTACTGATGTACCTTGAAACACTGTTCATTATTTGCAGTTAGAATGTGCTTTTTATATTTTCTCTGAACATGCCCAAACTTCTGTGTTCTTGAGGCTGAAATGACTTTTGTACATGATCCCAACTTAGGATGTTTGGTGCCTGTTGACTTAAAATGGTATCTGCAGGACTGGCCTCAAGTCATTACTTTCTGTAGCTGTTTGGTTTCTGACCCTTGGAAAGTTTGACCTTCTCATACACCATGTACACCTGTAACCTTTTATCTTTGGCAATCTTGTCCAGTTGTAGCTGTGAATAGAGCCATGGGTGCTTTAAAATGTTTAATTGTGGCTGTCTGCATTAATCTTGTAAAGGGGAATACACCATAACTTGTTTTAGAGAGTGGTCAAGTGCCACATATACCATATTTGGTATTACACCTTCTCAGGAAAGAACACATTCTAGTACTTTGGTTCCATCAGGAATTTGAACCCACATGCTGGCTACATATCCAGACATGTGTAATGTCTCCTGACTGTTCTGCTCTACCATGGTTATCTGTGCAACATGTGTGATAAATATATCAATACTCCTATGAAGTCAGGTGAACTTCAGAGCCTTGTAGCTTATTTGTTACCCCTGACATATGAATGGTTATATGAAAGAAGAGCTAGTCAAGTAACTTCATATACCCAGCAATTCTCAGATAAATTTACAATGAAAGAAATAGCCATACAGTGATGCAAGAATTATTGAGAATTGATAATTATTTCCTAATGTTAGTTGTGCCGACAGGGCACATTGGTAATATTTCATCATCTGTGGCATTACAATATTTACCATGCTACTAAATTAAGCACTGTTTCGATCCCTGTGAGTGTCAGCATGTCTGTACAGTGATCCCTGTGAGTGTGAGCATGTCTGTACAGTGTTTTGTGATCCCCAGGTCTGGCCCTTGAGTGTTACGTGTGTGAGAATCAGGCAGACAACCGAGACAAGTGTGTGAAGACGACCATCCAGTGTCGAGAGAACCAGGACACGTGTATGACCAGGGTGCACTGGCACGGTAGGTGGTACAACTCAGTTGGGAAACAGCCCACTGGCATGGCAAATTTTAATAATTAATTTGATAATTCAAACAACCATACTGTTTAGCCTCCTGAAAGATATGAATAATTAGTATCATCCATTTCCCATTTGCATGTATGCCATATTGATCTGGCTTGGACATAGAGTAGAATTTCTGTTTAGCTTCGAGGCATGAGGGTCATGCTAGAAAATGAATTGTCTTTGACCTTATACAGCAAGAAATGGGTACCCGGTGGGAGAAGACTATTAACCTTCTAGCGCCTCACAGGGAGATTTGGTTATCCAGGGTAATGATAATCAGATTGTGTGCTTTGAGCATCCTTCGTGCGCTTTGAGCAGGATATGAAGCCTGGAGAGGCGCATTATACATATTCTTAATTAGCATGAGTCAGGATAAGTATAAAATATCAATTTTACCCAGAAAATTACATATTTATTATTACTGAGTAAATGACTTGTCAGCAATGAACAAATTCACTGGATCCATGTTGAGAAGCACTTATTTGTGTGGCCAGTTAGTGTATATGTGTGAGTGAGGGTTGTTGCCTCCTGTTTCCAGCGCCGGACTTCTGGACACCTCGCAGTGTAAAGGTTCACCATGTCTTCAAGAGCTGCAACTCCTCCAACTTCTGTGCCCGGGAGCAGCTGTCTTGGCCTGACATGCTTGCCTGGACATGCATGAGAGACTGGTACAAGGGACTACACAACGGTAAGTTCCACGCACAATCAGGACCATGACTGTTTCCAAATGATCTTCAATTACTACACAACAGTAAGTTCCACTTCAATCAGGACCATTACTGTTTTCAAATGATCTTTAACTACTACACAACGGTAAGTTCCATGTACAATCAGGACCATGACTGTTTCCAAATGATCTTCAATTACTACACAACAGTAAGTTCCACGCACAATCAGGACCATGACTGTTTCCAAATGATCTTCAATTCAAACATATCAAATATCAGTTATGGAGGATATTTCATGTGTCTAGTGAAACCGTGAAGATTCGGGCTAGAATTTGTCTTCAGTAACCCATGCTTGTCGTAAGAGGCGACTAACGGGATCGAGTGGTCAAGCCCGCTGACTTGGTTAACACATGTCATCGTATCCCAGTTGTGTAGATCAATGTTCATGCTGTTGATCACTGGATTGTCTGGTCCAGAATCGATTCTTTACAATCTGCCACCATGTAACTGGAATATTGCTGAGTGTGGCATTAAGCAACAATCAATAAATAAGTCATGTGTCAAGTGAAATATGGCGTATATGTCATCAAGTAATGTAAAAACATGATATTTTCATTAACGTCATAGCTATGAGTGAAAATAAGGTTCTACATGTTCTTCACATCACTGTTAATATACACAGGAGATGTGAGAGATCGTTCAAGGCCTGGACAACCCAGGAAGACAACGGCCCGTGATGATCGCAGCCTGGCATCGCCTGGTAAAGGCGAGAACCCTTTGCCACAAGTTCGGTTTGAAGCCTGTGGTTACCCTACAGACAATTATCCACCAGAACCGTCCAGAAATCGCCTGAGGGCACTTGGTATGAGGTTCAGAAGAGTCATCAAACGTCCTGCTCTGTCTGATCTCCTTAAGAGGCGGCGTCTGGAGTGGTGTATGGCCCGTCGGGCAGTGGAACCTGAGGACATGGAGGAGGGTCCACTGGTCAAATGAGAGCAGGTTCCTTCTCCATGTTACAGATGGTCAATGGGAGTGTGGGGGCATAAAAACACTGCTTACGTGCCCAGGAATATCCACCCTACTGTTCCTCATGGTGGAGGATCGGGTTATGATCTGGGTTTGTCTTTCACACTACTGTAAACTTCAAATGGTGACTGTCCTAGGACATCTTAATGGTCAGCAGTACATCCGGGATATTCTCCATCCAGTTGTCGTGCCTCACTTTGACAACCATCCGTTGGCTACTCACCTGATATTCATGGACGACAACGCCAGGCCGCGATCGCTCACGTGCTGTGACCGCGACATCTCCAGAATGAGGCTATCATGGCATTTCCTTGGCCAGCAATGAGCCTCGATTTGAATCCTTTGGAGCACATCTGGGACTTTCTTGGACTTTGTGTGAGGTTGAGAGAACCTCTCCAGAATCTTGCACAGCTGGAAGCTGCTTTGCATGAAGAATGGCGGCAATTGCCACTTGATCGTATCAGAAGGTTTACCAGTAGCATGAGGAGAAGGATTCAAGCTGTCATCCAAGCACGGGGATACACTCGATACTGATGCCAGACGATCAGATGTTAGCATGTGACATTCCTTGTGCATCATTTCTTGTAATAGTCAGCCATTGACAATGCTACGACCATACTTGTTCAGTGACTATTTTTGTCAAAAATCAATAGTGACCAAATCACATTGGTTACGCTATTAAAACAACACGAATTGGAATCATTGTCTTGTTTTTCATTTGCCAATAGATCGTATGTTTCACAATAGCTAAGGTTCCACTATCTTTGCAATAGTGAGAAAGTTACAGCAAGTTTTGTTTCTCATCATCCAGAAAATAGGGGGGGGTGCTTAATTAAGTTCCAGGTGTATATATAGATGATAATCAGGAATTGCATTCATCTTTCCAGACAAATGACCAAGAAATTTATAAGTTATCATGGTAACATCAACAATGGTGTGTAGCGCGGAACTGCTGAATAATGAGATTCTATGAGATGAAACTGTTGAGATGTGTACAGTTGTTGAGACTGAGATTGTTGAGTCTGGTAATAACATATATTGTTTTTGTTTCAGTTGGATGCATCAAGCATAAAAGCCAGTGCTACACTTCTCGTTGTTTCCATGGTGATACATCTGACGTTTAAATTGACAGACACACACAATATCTTGCCATCATTCCTACATATTGCATGATTAAATAAGATAGTTTATGGACGTTTTTCAAAATCATTTTTATGGACTCATTTGACCATTCCTTGAAACAATTAGTCTGAATCAGAGAAAAATAAAAGTCAACCACTGACACAATACTGACACTGCTATTTTTCAACCATAATCTCAAAATCATCAATATCTGATGGCTTACTTCACTCTGTAAAGAATGGTTTCACCTCAGGTGAATGTCATTACTTGATATAATTCATACCATAAAGAAAGGTTTCATGTCATTACTTGATTCACTTCACTCTGTAAAGAAATGCTTCACCTCAGGTGAATGTAATTACATGTACTTGATTTACTTCACTCTGTAAAGAAAGGTTTCACCTTAGGTGAATGTCATTACTTGATTTACTTCACTCTGTAAAGAAAGGTTTCACCTCAGGTGAATGTCATTACTTGATATAATTCATACCATAAAAAAAGGTTTCATGTCATTACTTGATTCACTTCACTCTGTAAAGAAATGCTTCACTTCAGGTGAATGTAATTACATGTACTTGATTTACTTCACTCTGTAAAGAAAGGTTTCACCTCAGGTGAATGTCATTACTTGATTTACTTCACTCTGTAAAGAAAGGTTTCACCTCAGGTGATTGTCCTTATTTGATTTACTTCACTCTGTAAAGAAAGGTTTCACCCCAGGTGAATGTCATTACTTGATTTACTTCACTCTGTAAAGAAAAGTTTCACCCCAGGTGAATGTCATTACTTGATTTACTTCACTCTGTAAAGAAAGGTTTCACCTCAGGTGAATGTCATTACTTGATTTACTTCACTCTGTAAAGAAAGGTTTCACCTCAGGTGAATGTCATTACTTGATTTACTTCACTCTGTAAAGAAAGGTTTCACCTCAGGTGAATGTCATTACTTGATTACTTCACTCTGTAAAGAATGGTTTCACCTCAGGTGAATGTCATTACTTGATTTACTTCACTCTGTAAAGAAAAGTTTCACCTCAGGTGAATGCCATTACGTCTCTCCATAAAGAATGGTTTCACCTCAGGTGGATGTCATTACTTGATTTATTCCCCTGGCAAAAGGTGAATATCATCTTTTACTTCATTTTGTAGGTAGGTTTCACATCAGGTGAATGTCATTACTTGATTTTCTCCACTCTGAAGAGAAGGGTTTCACTTTAGGTGAATGCCATCACTACATTTTACTTCAGTTCAGACTTATGACAATTTTGACACCTGATTTATAAGCATGTATGCATTAAATCAAACTTTCGACATGTAGGAGTATGTGTATGATAACCAGATATCCCCCCTGTCTACACAATGTATGGACATAAATAATGCATCTCATTTCATATCTTCATGTTTGCATTCCAGTACACGTCAAGGTGACAATTTCTCCTTGTTGCACCTCTACTGGGTGTGGCTTCTTTGTAAATACCCATACTGTATATTCTGCATAATGTTAATTGCAAAAAAAATAAAGTTAATTTCCATTTACTCATTTACACATTTCCAGAATTACAAAAGTTGAAGTATTTTATATCTTGATCAATGTTGTTGATACTTATTAATGTGAATAATATTTTTATACAGGGATTGTATATCATGTATATTAGTGATCAGTCTTGTACATAGATTTTAGATTTTGTATTTGTAATCATTTTAATTTCATTATCATGATTGTTAGAATGTACATAGTTAAAGACATAAACATGTGCTCTCGATAGGCTACTTACTGGACCAAATAGAAAAAACAATGACTTGATATTCTGGACAATGGATTATTGCATAGGTTGTTTTGTAAAAAGACATATTTACCATTGTTGGTAAATAGAGGCAAAATATGTTTGACAAATAGTGTGCCTCTAATTATAATTAAATTACTGTAATAGTCATGTTGTATATCACTGTAATGGTTCTGAAATCCAGTACCAAGTGACCATGTAATCAGCACAGGAAACTTGTTGATGTTGAGCACATTTTAACACACATGTATACAGGCAAAAGGAACAGCCATATGCTTGTACATACAGTACCAAGTTTTCTACATTTTATCCTAGTAACATTTTTATGTACATCAATGAATGTTTTATGAAATATACATTTTTAATAAACATTTTGAATATACAATGTGAAATCTCTTTTAGTTTTGTCATTTTGTTAACTCGGTAGTGCAGATCCTAAGCACATTGCATGTCATGTCAAGAAAAATGTGATACAGTAAAGTCATAAAGCATTTCTGGAGTTTGTTTGGAGTCACAGTTGCAAATTACTATTCATATTGCAATTACACCGTTTTTCTGAATACTTGGTTTCCTTGGTGTATTACTTTCTTGTTTTAAGAACATGTCTCTGCTGTTGATGGCTTTGATGTCTGGTTTAACCACTGAGTTTCAGTGATCACACTGAGTATTTCGAATTGCTGTTTTACTGTATACACTCATAGAAATGTGTAATTCGACACCTATCTCATGAGAGGTGCAAGTAGTGAGATAGGATAAGTATATAAATATTCAATTTATAGTTAAAATTTTCAAATTGCCCTTACTTGATAAGTATTGTACTCATAACAGAGAACTTCCAGCACACTTTAAATTCTACCAGAGCACAATGGCATAGTGCTGTATAGTAACTCACAGACAACCCATTGTTTGTGGACCATTCTACCAGAGCACAATGTCATAGAGCACTGACAACCCATTGTTTGTGGACCATAGTCCTTAGTGCTGTATAGTAACTCACAGACAACCCATTGTTTGTGGACCATTCTACCAGAGCACAATGTCATAGTGCTGTATAGTAACTCACAGACAACCCATTGTTTGTGGACCATTCTACCAGAGCACAAAGTGCATAGTGCTGTATAGTAACTCACAGACAACCCATTGTTTGTGGACCATTCTACCAGAGCACAATATCATAGTGCTGTATAGTAACTCACAGACAACCCATTGTTTGTGGACCATTCTACCAGAGCACAATGTCATAGTGCTGTATAGTAACTCACAGACAACCCATTGTTTGTGGACCATTCTACCAGAGCACAATGTCATAGTGTTGTATAGTAACTCACAGACAACCCATTGTTTGTGGACCATTCTACCAGAGCACAATGTCATAGTGCTGTATAGTAACTCACAGACAACCCATTGTTTGTGGACCATTCTACCAGAGCACAATGTCATAGTGCTGTATAGTAACTCACAGACAACCCATTGTTTGTGGACCATTCTACCAGAGCACAATGTCATAGTGCTGTACTGTAACATACAGACAACCGATTGTTTGTGGACCATTCTACCAGAGCACAATGCCATAGTGCTGTATAGTAACTCACAGACATTCCCTTGTTTGTGGACCATTCTACCGGATCACAATGCCATAGTGCTGTATAGTATCTCACAGACAACCCCTTCTTTGTGGACCATTCTACCAGAGCACAATGCCATAGTGCTGTATAGTAACTCACAGACAACCCCTTGTTTGTGGACCATTCTACCAGAGCACAATGCCATAGTGCTGTATAGTAACTCACAGACAACCCCTTCTTTGTGGACCATTCTACCAGAGCACAATGCCATAGTGCTGTATAGTAACTCACAGACAACCCATTGTTTGTGGACCATTCTACCAGAGCACAATGCCATAGTGCTGTATAGTAACTCACAGACAACCCATTGTTTGTGGACCATTCTACCAGAGCACAATGCCATAGTGCTGTATAGTAACTCACAGACAACCCATTGTTTGTGGACCATTCTACCAGAGCACAATGCCATAGTGCTGTATAGTAACTCACAGACAACCCATTGTTTGTAGACCATTCTACCAGAGCACAATGCCATAGTGCTGTATTGTAACTACCAGAGCACAATGCCATAGTGCTGTATTGTAACTCACAGACAACTAAATTGTTTGTTGACCATTCTGCACAGACAACCCATTGTTTGTGGACCATTCTACCAGAGCACAATCTCATAGTGCTGTATAGTAACTCACAGACAACCCATTGTAGACCATTCTACCAGAGCACAATGTCATAGTGCTGTATAGTAACTCACAGACAACCCATTGTTTGTAGACCATTCTACCAGAGCACAATGCCATAGTGCTGTATAGTAACTCACAGACAACCCATTGTTTGTGGACCATTCTACCAGAGCACAATGCCATAGTGCTGTATAGTATCTCACAGACATCCCCTTGTTTGTGGACCATTAGATCTGTGGCAAACCTTAGTGACTTAACTTCCCTCTGCAGTAACACTGTAAATGTCTCTAGTAGAATAAATGTTTATATACAGATTACAAGGTAGAGTGAGGGTAACACATCACTACAAGTTTAGTAGAATGACATACAACTATTACTGATTCACCCCATTAGAAAAATGCTCACATGACAACCTGTGCTAGAAAACCACAGGTATGATGGGGTGCATTATATTGTCCTTCTGTTACAATAACATTCAGATGACCCCAACAATCTTGAATGTAGACATAATGGTGCATGTGAAGTGATATTTGCAAAGGTGAACATACATTAAGGTGGACACACCTTATTTTATGAAAACAAGTCTTTATGTGTTTAGTTTAAAAACTGTTTTTCCTTCAAGTATTCATCAGTATTGATAAGTTTTTTTTCATTTACATGTTCAATGTATGCTGATGGAAATGAGTCAGATTTTAACCTGAAGTTTGACTTTAAGTGTATCAAGTGTACAGAGTCACTATTTACATAAACAGATAAACACCTAAATGATCTGGTTGGCTGCCAACACCTTCCACCAGTAGGCTGTATCTTCCAGGCCATACATGTACAGACATGGTTTTGTATGAAAATCAGTGTTTTTTTCAAATGAGCAATTATCATACAGTTAACATGGATTCCAGTCCTTTTGTCGTTGAGTCAAAGGATCATGTGGGTCAGAAAAAAATGGTTTTCCATCGTGGTCACAACGAGAAGTTTTATGTACGTGTTGAAAACCTATCACTTACAGGGGGTGCTTAATTAAGTTCTTTGTGTATAGAATGTGGTGCTGTGACAATTCTAACACCTGAAAACTGACTTCCAGTCAACAAACTAAACATCAGTGCAAGTGAATGCTGTTTTAGGGCAATCCCTGATATATCTTTGACTCACTCAGTTCCAGTATGAAAGGAAAACAAAACAAGAAGATTTATACAAAGATGATTTATTCATAGTGATATCACTTCTCCGATGCAGTAACGGAATAGATAAACACTCCATCAGTTCCAACTACGAAGCTATTTTAAGATAGCAGTACTGTGTACATACATACATTATACTTCTCCTTGGCCAACTAGAGGCTCGGTCTAACATGGCGACAGCCTCTGTGAGCTTTCTGCCCTCCTTCAGCCTTGGTAACACTCGGGAGGTACAGAATCTGAAGATTGGGCTTAGCCATTTACTACACTTCACTCCTGTTGCCTTCTCTGCATCAAAATTCCAGAATAACTGGCAACTATATCAAGAATCATTATAAACGTTTTCTAATTTGAAACAGATTTGATAAAATTATTCTGAGGACAAAGCTGAAACCCAATCTTCAGCAAAGCTTGTTTGTGGTTTTATTGACAAATATTTAAATCCTTGTCTTCTGGCCGCATGCGTATTATATATATATCATACATCTAATATGTAATATTGTATGTTTCACAAAATTGGGAGACATTTTTGAGTTACCTATTGCAGTGGTTTTGTAAGATCGAAAAGGTACTGTATATGCATAATGTGTTAAAGTTTTTTCAACATTGGATATGCCCAATTTCACACATCTGTTATTATGTCTGAACCACAATTCGGTTAACCATTATTATCACGATATTTGGGAAGCATTACATGGAAATATCTACTGCAATAGTATTTCCCTCACCACTCATAAATGTCAGTAAAATTCACTATCCCTATTATGACCTATATTGTAATAAATATCTCTGTAACCTTCATCATCATGGAAGTAGGTCACGTTGACCTAAATCAACAGAACTGGTCATTTTAACCCAACTTCCAATGAAATAAATCAAGTTGACCCTTAAAGCATGGAATCCGGTCACTCTAAAAAATGATCACACTGACCCTACTACCTAAGAACTGCCATGGTGACAGTGTTCACAAGGAAGTAGGTCAAGCTGACCTAGTTAACTGGCCTCCACATTCTGCTGACTGCATCATTGTCTGCCCTTGCCAACCACTAATTAATAACTACAATTTTGTGGTATAAATAAATGCCTTCTAACTGCAGTAAGTAGTAGTGTATAATATATACTTTACTTTGAACAGGTCGCTTGTGGCATCACCACTATTAAATGGCACAGAGAAGATACAAACTTTAAATAAAACTTAACTTTGGGGTTAAAAGTCATCAATCTAGATTTTGTTCTGACAGATAATCTCAAAACATCAGATCCAAACTGAGTTAAAAATACATTCACCCTACCCAAAGTCACATGTGGTGGTTTTGAGTGTGGCAAAGATGTGAATATTTAGTTGAAGAAATACCCACAAAAGTGCACTGAAAACGATGTTTGTCTAGGTGGAGAGGCATGCAACTGATAACTCTAATAAAATAATCCTGCTACAATAAACTCAGGACAATAACTCAACCATGCCATGAGAACACAATGCTATAAAGAACCAACAACAATTAAGTTAATATAGAGCTATACACAGCTATATCATAAAACGGCTCACTACTGTAAAATCATGATCACGTGATCACATACTGTGGTCACATGATCGATGATACCATTGCACTTCAACGAAGTCGGTGCCATCCATTACATAAATACACTAGATGCAAATATTCATCAGTAACAAGAAATCCATTTAAAGCAATGCTACAACCTTGAAACATGTAAATATAGATGTATATATAATATATTACAGAAGCAAGCTCGGCTGCCTATATGGTGTAGTGTACGTAAGATGACCTCTCAACTTTGACCTGCATTACGAATAAGGCCACAACGATTTCAAACTAATTATCCCAATTGAATGAAATGCCATGAACACGAAGACCACTACTGAAGGTCAGGGTCAGTGTTTTGCGTTTGCATTGTGGGTAGTAGCCACAGTATTGTAGATTAAGGTCACGAGTGCGATACACATTAGTATCACTCAATCGATATATAAACATATTTATACATAGACAGAACCTACCAAAGCACCTAACATGAGGCTGTACATTACAGACAATATCAATGTAATGTATAAATCAAGTCAATTTCACTACAGAAATGCCTACAGTAAATATATGTCCGGGCCACAGATACTGACCTGTACACATTGTTATTGCCTGGTAGTCTTTTCACACTGACGTGTGTCAATTTCAGTCCATCAAGAGTGTCTCCCATAGAATGAGTTTAATAGCACCAATACATTGTGGAGACATAGCAGACGAGGTACATTAAGGTCAAACTCATTATAAGACTTTCAGCATACATTTCAAACATCTCCACAACAGTTTGCCCTTTTGTGGTTGTCCTTGACCTTCTTTCCATATCTACACGACAACAAATGACATATATTTCACTTTCTACATGAGACAACAATATACAGAGAACTTATTCACACAAGAAGCTGGCATAGCCTTAATCTATATGTAGAATACCCAGTAACAAACAAACACAAGTCTAACACTGGTTTTTTTAACTTACAAGATTTGAAATATGTTACCTAGCCAAAAATTCACCTACGAGTTTAAGTTAAATTGACCATACAGTACAAATATATATACGAAGTATATAAACTGACAGTTAGCACTTTAATTGACAAAAGGCAACGGATGGATAATATATTATACAATTTCGAGAAGGGCAGTTCCTTATCGGTTATCTGCCCTTTGGCAGTTTCTTTGGGAGATTTAACCCTTTATACATGTTACTTGCATAACAGAATAGCACTTTTAGGGTTAAAAAGCTTAAATGCTTGATCATATACAACAATATTAGCCAAACTGGGGTGTTACAGCAAAATCAGCAAGGGTTCCCAAATTGTTAAAAACTTTAAACAACTTCTAGTATGTGTGAAAAATATCTACACAATTTCAACATGAATATTTCACCATATAATATGCAAACAAATACATAATACATGATGCATTATCCCCCTTGGTTCATGGTCGAATCTGAACACTTCCGGCAAGGTTTTGGCCATGATATTTCAGCATGTCTTAGCAGGAAATTATATACTTGCATCAACATCTCGTTAACCCTTTCTGTTCACAGCAAAAGGAGTTAAAGTGAGAAAAACAAACCAAGGGGACACAAGATTCTTTGAATAAAGTTCATTTACTAAGATTTTAAAATCTGCATGTGCAATTCACCTGCACAACCAAGCCTGCATCCTTCATGTGCTAATTGCCCTTGCACAACCTGTTCTTCATCAGTAAACAAGCCTAACAAAGCAGTCATGTAACAACCAAGCGATGGTAATATCAAATAAATTTCCCTCCAATGGCAATGAAAGACGAGTAGCAAGGCGAGTACACAGCTCGTGCTAGAGAATCTTGGAACCAGCTGTTATCCAATCAGATCCTACGACTTGATCTTGCTTTGACCAATCATGATCTTTGTTACAAAGTTGACGATGGCTGAAGCGGGTTGTTCGGGATCCAGCTCAGCGAACAAATGACATGAATTGTCAGACACTCCACCCTGTTTCCTTGCTACAAAGCCGAAGATCCTGAAGACACAAAATGGTATGCAAAACTGTTATTCAAAGATTGCTGCAATTATTGTCATAGAGTGCATAATTTGGGGTTCAATATTCAAGTTGCATGAGGATATCAGGAATGGTCCTCTCTTAATTTACAACTGGGTGATTGATTGAACCTCAAGTGTGCTGAGACAATCATTTAACCAGATGACTTTCTCACAGCCACATATTGTAGATTTGGAATATTAGCTCAGATATATAGATTATCTGTGAAATAACAATATTAAGTCAAGTAGGACAGAGAATCCAGAGTAGGTTATTCCTTATATTGTCATACTATGTGTTCACATGATGGCATGTCCCTCTGGCCCTCTATGACTCTATGGAACAGTCATATCATACTTAGTGAGAATTGGGGAAACTTATTTAATCTGTATATGTGTCCCAATGGGTAACATAAACAGTGTTTCACCTTTAATATATTTTGTCCACTTAAAGCAAGCAGATTTAAATAATAAAACTATCAGCTGATATGAAACATTCCAATATGACTGACTGAGTTTGGTTTTACGCCGCTTTTAGCAATATTCCAGCAAACATCACGGCGTGGGACACCAGAAATGGGCTTCACACATTGTACCCATGTGGGGATTCGAACCCGGGTCTTCGGCATGACGAACCAACGCTTTAACCATTAGGCTACCCCACCGGCCCCATTCCAATATGAAAGAATGGCAGAGTTATATAAGAACACATCATAAGTTGGTACACATCGACATTTGCTGTAAACAAAAACACAGACTACAGAAGTGAATGGGATACAATTTCATTTTGCATCAGCTATATACCAGCCATACAGTGATGGTACCAAGTTCATGTATACGCTCAAGCTGAGCACTACAAGTCAATTTGGTAGGTAATGAATAGGTTGTTTCCTTATCTTGACACAATGGTCTGCACTGAAGCGTTTAATGAAAATATTTGAAAGAACATTTTAGAGCCCAGAAGTAAACTCACTTGACTTCTGCTTGCATCCCAGATACATCTGTTTCCCGCTTCCACCTACAACAAAAGGAACAGGTCAGACACAGTTGTTACACACAAAATTCCATTTAGAAATCAAGTCAGTCCAAGTAATACACACATTAACCACTTTGGTGAAATCTGTGAGTATGGTTTGGTGCCGACAATAACAGACAAGAGACCAGTAGTATCTGGGATATGAATGCACAATTATGGAGGCACCTCACCACTGCCATGTCCTACACTATCACATATAGTTGCTGCTGCTGCTGCCGCAAGAGACCAGTAGTATCTGGGATATTAATGCACAATTATGGAGGCACCTCATCACTGCCATGTCCTACACTATCACATATAGTTGCTGCTGCTGCCGCAAGAGACCAGTAGTATCTGGGATATGAATGCACAATTATGGAGGCACCTCATCACTGCCATGTCCTACACTATCACATATAGTTGCTGCTGCTGCCGCTGTAGTGTACTTACTTCCTGCCATCAGGGTCCATGCCACAGAAGGTAACAGCTGAAACTGGGTAGTGACGACGGAAGAACAATCTGGAGGGAAGAGATCGAGTCCAGAAGTAAGAGACAGGAATCAAATGTTTTAAAATTTGATAAACCAGCTTGTTTAGTGTAATGAGGAAACATCTGGCAGATTTAGAGTTTCTGTTCTACACTACACTAGCATCCAAATATACAGCAACATTTAGTTAGACCACCAAAGCTATCTTGACTAGTTTCATTCTGCCCTGAACTACAAAGCATCAAGACCAACTAATCCACGTATATGATGCTGGTATGTTTTACATCGATATTGTATACTTTGTATGCATTGTCCTTTGTTAAACGCTTTATCAAGCTGCTTTGTCTCATAGTTAACAGCATTGTTGACAGGTAATCGGAGTGAGTTATATTATTGAAAGGTGAGGAGAAGCCTTACTTCCTGTTGTTGTCCGTGAGTGTGATGCCCTGATTGGACACCTTAAAGTGCACGACTGTGGTGACAGGGCTGGGGGTGGACTCCGTGGTGACCTTGAGAGCCCGAGCTATGGCCTGAGGTCCAGTGAGAGATTCCATGTCCACCGTGTTGATGAAGATCACATTGCATGCTGTCAACACCAACACAGTCACATTAAGTCCTCGGCTTGCAAAATGGTAGTTGTACAGGCACAAATTCACATTTACATCCCCCTTCCAGTGAAAATGCCCATAAGCCAAAAGTTATTCATTTTAGTGATACTATATCCCAAAACTAATTACGACACTTTATGTGGCAGTGAAATTTATATGCATGAAAGAAGTAGCCAACAGATATTGGAAATCACTGTCAGTGCATTGCTGAATGATTGATGAGTGAGTTGGGTTCAGAGCCACTTTCTACAGCTTCATTACAGCATGTCAGATTAATGTGAGACAAAAGGTCAGAATCATGTCACAACTTGTATAGCCTTAGGCTGGACATCAATGGCTGGGGATGAACTGGCCATACACACACACAATATAAAGGTTGACTGGTTGACCTACAGATATGAGGTAAACATTCAGAGATAATGTGTAAAATATCGGTCCCGATCCACAAAGCGTTCATAACGTTACGACCTGTCATAACTATATAGTTTATCATAGGCTTACGAACATCATAGCGCTACAAACACTTGTGGATCTAGCCCATAATCAGTAGTAGATGATGTTCACTAGAACACAAGCTGAAACGTACCCGCACCCTGTGCTAACAGAGCAGCAGCAGAACTTGGCATTTCTGTGCTGCGAGGGCTTTCCGCACTCTGCACCTCACCCAGGTAATCTGTGGACGAAGATGTTGCTTATCAGTCATGGTTGAGACCAGATGCTATTTCAATGTTATGGGTATAGAACAGCTGATACCATCAGTGTGTATGGTATCATAGGTATATCAGTTTATTGAGGTTCATTTTTTCTATGACATGTATTGCAATAATATTTTAAATGCTCTGTATATCAGGTGATTTGAAATAGCGATTTTTATCACATGCTTAATGTTATATACCTGCCAAACACCATTGATTTCAAGATATGGAGTGAATTCTCAGTTACCTCCCGTATGAGAAGCACATTCCTACACTTCCATCAACACCATCTGGGACTTAAAAATGGTGGCATGGTTCACGAGTATCTTGTATAGTTCTGTTTATGAATTTCAATTAACATAATGTCTCTGATTGCTTCTGAATTCAAAATTTGTAATCACACAATTAATCGTGATATGTCTTGCAATATGGCCTTGTTTACTGCCATCGCCTCCGTGGTGTAGTGGTTAGAGCGTCCGCCCGGAAAGCGGAAGGTCGCGGGTTCCATCCCCGACCGCGTCATACCAAAAGAAGTTAAAATATGGTACTTGTTGGTCCCTGCCTGGCGTTTGGCATTAATGGGTACAACAAGGACTGGTCGGCTCGGAGTATAATGTGTCTGAGTGGGGTATTCATGCTTCACTGCGGCATGGTATCTCAGTGGGCTAGCACTATAAAACCAGCTTAAGTCTGGGCTAGTACAAGCAGCCGCACATACACATACACACGCATGCACATCGTCACATGAGCGAAATATTCTCAAGCACGACATTAAACCCAATTTCACCTCACCTCACCTTGTTTATTGCCATACCTTCCCCAGTATCTACTAATACTATAACATGTGCCACTCACCTGCATCTGGTAGATTGAGTTTACAGGGCAGAGCCAGGGGGGTTATCGAGTGTTGGTACACCAGGGCTGCCAGGCTGCCTGCAGAAAACACACACATACTGTCAACCTCCACCGGCTTTTTTTTCACTTGTATCATCACATGATAGACAACAGACTCTGTGCTGATATAATTAAGGTGATCAATGGGTGATAATTGACCTGCATTAGGAATCTAATACGGCAGGGGTGGAAATAACCCATTGCCCACGTCCGAGTCCAGTGTTATTTTCTGTTGGGCAAGCAAATTTGTATATCACACTGTACCGGTGTCCAGTTGACTTTCCGGTGTTAATTATGTTGTTTATTTTAACAAATCAACAAGAAAACAGCCGGTATAGTGGAAAAATTATCAGGGCAAGTGATTTTACATGTGCCACTGTTTCAAAGTACATTAGCATATTTTAAAGTTATTTCCATCACTGTACGGAACAATAATCCTTGTAAGCCATTTCAAACAGTAAGAGATTTTTATGACTTACACACATAACCCTCCAATATCATTGCAATAGGTAGTAGAGCACAAATCTTACCAAAGACTGGCTCATTGCTGCATCCCCGTAGACGAACACCCTTGGGTGTGGGCTCAATGAGGAAGTGCCTCACGAGGTCAGCTTGAGGATCGCCGGAAGACTTGGTCTGGACGTTGGGAGGGACAGTGGCCACCTTCAGCGCGCCAGGCCAAAGGCTCCTGGGAAGGAATTGCTGTCACGGATCACAAATGTTCCTGGTTGCTTGTCCTTCAGTAGGACAATAGCTGCAACACAGAACAGGAACATGATGCTTATTGGTGGATGGGCTTCCTGCAGTTCATAGAGGAATTTCACAAAGCTGATCTACATAATCATTTACATCATGTTACATGGAGTGTCACAGCCTCACATACCTTCTTCTCTGGTGATGTTGGGCTTGTACCAGTACTTTGAGGTGTCCTTCACAAATCTGGCAGTGTTATTTACCATATCAACATCTGAAAAGTAAAACCATCATGTATTAATACAAACATATTAGATAGTAACAGAGAAAAACATGGGCCACTTTTACAAACAACTTATCAGAGTGAGTGAGTGAGTTTAGTTGCACTCAGCAATATTCCAGCTAGATATGGCGGTGGTCTGTAAATAATCGAGTCTTGATCAGACAATCCAGTGATCAACAGCATGAGCTGTGACCTGCACAATTGGGAACCGATGACATGTGTCAATCAAGCCACTGAGCCTGACCACCTGATCCCGTTAGTCGTCTCTTACGACAAGCATGGGTTACTGAAAGTTCATTCTAACCTGGACCTTCACGGTGAGTGAGCGAGTGAGTGAGTGAGTTCAGTTTTACGCCACTTTTAGCAATATTCCAGTGATATCATGGCATGGGACACCAGACATGTATCTTATCAGAGTTCTAAATGGGTGATTTAAAGGTACAACATGAAGATGATTTTAATGTAAACTTAACTCCTGATGTGTTGTAGTTATGTGTGATTGTTCATGTGTTACCTGCAAGTGAGGACAGACTGCCTCGTCGTGACATGCCGAAGTACACACTGGGGGAGCTTTGTCCAGTCATGGAGTGAGGGCCTGGGGAGAGGGCACCGGTAGACATGATGTGCGCGGCACTCAGCTGCTGACGCAGGGTGTTCAGGCTGCTGTTGGGGGAAGGGGGGCTGAAACAATGACAGGGGACAGGTTATGTATGCTTCCCTCACAGTGGTCTTCACCATCATAGGTTGTGAACAAGAGAGACAATTCCACACCTATACAACTTGAATGCACTCAGTTGTAAAATTGTCTATCCACAGAGTTATCTTCCTTGCTCAAACATCTCAATGCCATTTTAAGAAGTAACTGCTGACGTTCTCTAGATTCTTCATTTAGTCATCAATACATTGGTTTTATACACAGAGTTATTATATTCTTGACCTGTATCACAGACAAGACTGAAGGACAGAAACATTGGTATGTCATTCATGGAATTACCGTTATGGAATGCTAAAATTGTTTAAAACTGAACATGCAATTTTTCTCATTTATCTAGGAATTAATAACATATAACCTTTATACTATGGACAAACATATGATGGTAGCTATATTTCTTACCTCCCAGCTGAAGAGGGGCTTCGAGGGGAGATAAGCATGTGAGGACTGGTATCGATCTTCAGAGTCCCATCATTGGTGTTCGAGAACTGCTGGTGCTGCTGAAACTGCTGACTTTGCACATTTTGGAAATGCTGCTGTTGCATCTGTTGCTGTTGCTGCTGCTGCTGCTGTTGTTGCTGCAACTGGAACTGTTGTTGTTGTTGTTGCTGCTGTTGTAGCTGCTGTTGCTGATGTTGTTGGGTCATCGAGTGTATTTGCTGATGGCTAAGAGTTCCGGTAGGGCTGACAAGGCCACCTGATCCCACCACAAAACATAATTCATTAGTGGGAATTAACAACTGTCAGCGTGCACACTATACATACAAACACATGTTTGAACACTTGAGCTTTATAACATTTTATTCACCAAAAGTCCATCACCCATAGGAAAGATTTGAAACTAATACCCTCAAAAAGTTAGTGTATACTGGTCAAGGTTAGTATGTGCAAATTCCCAATATTTCAAACATACACAAGCATCATCATCATCAGAAAAATTCCAACTGTACATTACACATGTGGTACCTATTAAACTGAAATATGTACCAGTAACAACAGTAACAACTACCTTAACATTACAATACAAATGCAACAAAGCTAATAGATAAATATTACTAAAGTTCTCTACTTAAGCAAAGCATTGAGTAACATTCACCATAAATCAGCTTACTTCCCTACATAATTCTGTCTATATACTACTGTATATGATACTGTACAACAGTATTCTGTCAGTGTGCAAGATTTACAACCTGCATACACAAGCCATTGCTCGAGGCATCAGCTGGAGGCAAAGGGGTCTCACAGCCAACTTGACACACACAAACTTTTCTGAGTCATACCACATATCTCCATGACAGATTGTGCATGATTTTTACACCATTTACACAACTTCCTGTTTTTTGAAAAATAGAAGAAACAATATATTTTATTCTACTGCTGTGGATATCATCTACCCGAGTATGTTAGAACCTTATCCTAAATCAGTTCACCTGTATTTCAGTACTTGATGATCTCAGCGTGTGCAAAACATCTTAACCTTTCATTTGAATTGATTTTATTGCTTCAAGTACTTAAAGTCCAAAACCTTTTGGAAATACAGAAATAAGCATTAACCCCACAAATCTACCAAGTCTACCTGCAATGTCCCCTAGTGCGGCATCTTCTGGGATAGAAGCGTACATTGGGTCAGAACTGCGAAACACCGGAGCCCGTGCTCCGTGTCGCGTGTGAGTGACCTCTCTGTCTGACATGCCAGCAGTCGGGGTGACGGGGGACGCTACCCCTGGGGTCGTGGGGGCTGAGAGAGAGAGGCAGGAGAGAGGCAAGATGCAGTTAAATCCGCTCAAGCAAAAAAGGAAAAAAAAACTACATGCAAAATTGATGGTAACTACAAGTTTAGTCTACACTGGACACTTCAGAGCACTCTGGTACTTTCAAAATGTGTGGCTAGTATTTTCCCTCTTTGAAGACATAATGACTTCTGGGAAACCTGTGTAAACAACAGTCACATAGTGTGTCAGATTTTGTTGCTCACAGGGGAGGGGGGGGGGGGGAGAAAGAGAAAAGATGTTTTCAATGACTGTGAAGTGTCCACAACATTTCATTATGCACAAAAGCCAGTAATCTATATACATATGCTTTACAATCAATACATAATTTCCTATGATCAAATGAAACATTCAGCGTAATATAGTTCAACATAATGATGAACTCATATGATAATTCTTTTTATTTACTATATTTTCAACAGGTTCTAAGACGCAGAAATCTTCACAAACACAATCAAATAATGAAATGGTTAATGTTTACATATTGTTGATTAGTGGAGATTTCAGCATGTTCAGTATGGGTACTGAATATATATGGCAGATAACACATAAAACAGCAGTGTTTACAGTAATTTTCAAGAGCATAATTCATAGCACTATCAAGTTGAGAGCAACAACTAAGCCCCTACTGTTATTTGATGAATAATGAAGATAAGTGTTGTTCATCATTATCATGAGTGGTCATTAGCATAAAACACAAATATGTCGGAATGAGTTGTGAAGGTTTTAGCAATCAGACTGGTCAGTACGTAATAGTTAACATGGCTTTTATGCATCTGAAATAAAACACTATTAGTGATATTAAGTGATGATCATGCACCGTGAGCCTGTATTGTTGGTTTCCATTCAAACATCAGTATCACTGTATATATGTATAAATTGTATATTCCTGATTCTGTAATCAACAACAAATAATATTCTACTGCAATAAACACAATTACTAAATTTCCATTTCTACAAATCAACCCTAACATTCATTTTGTTTCTACGCAAGAAAGAAAATAACATACCAAAAAGAAGAGTAACTTCATGCATTAAAAATGCAGAACATATTTTCCAGAAGAATACAGAAAGAACACTCAGCAAATGGAAGACCAACACAACAGAGAAACCAGCACCATAGGAAATATTAGTCAACTAAACCAGGCAGGTCAATCCCATCATGCAGTAGGAGGGTACACAGACTACACAACAACGAATGCTTGACAGGAAGACACATATAACTCTCCAGATATTACACATGCAACTGTTCCAAGTGGCAAATGTTAAGTACTTTCAGTGTTCACAATCACCATGCCTGATTAGGGGTGAAGTCGGGACAAAATGCACGGTCAAAAACTCAGCTTTGTTAGTTTTTACCTGAATTTGAATAAGGAGTCCTTGGTGAAACTGGGAATGGAGGGGTAACTAGAAACAAGCAAAACACAAATAACTGTAACATGCAGTTAACTAAATCTAGACTGATTCTCACAAATCAACACAAACCATGTTATTGTCTCAAAATCAGCTTCAACATTTGAGTTGCTAGGACACGTAATCAACCCCTGTGACTGTTAGATTCGGAAACACTGCCTTTGTCGTTATCAACCTTCATGCTCAATGCTTCCGAGGCAGAATATAATGTTTGCAACAGCACATGCATACATGCTTCACACCAGTGAAAATACTCATGCATTGAAGTCAAACTAATCATATACACACCAAAAACCCACACAAACAAATAACTAAGAACTCAATGAGAAAATGTACTTTTATTATTAATCTAGACGATGAACAGACTGTAATAACAGTTTAATCATTACATAGTGTTGTTCAAGGCAAAAGCTAGTTGTGTCGGCTTTCAGAACAAGGAATTCAAGACATCAATAAGTGATGGTGGATAAAACATATTCAATGATTCTGTTTTGTTATTTTGTTTTTTGGGGGGAAGACAGGGGGAGGTGAATAATTGCCTTGAAATACACTAATCTACAACTAGAAATTAAAATATTCATTCATATTAGTTTAGTTTGGCATGTTGGAGGATGTGTTATACTCCCGCTATATAAAACACATCTCCACACACCAAGCATACCCTTGTCTTCAGTTGTAGCCAGTATACTCCTTAATAGTTGCTGAAGACCTCTAGTTTGGTCCTTTGAGGCCTACACAATCCAACTATATTGAGCTGGCCTCAGGTCCATTTCATTCCATAATATATGTGACCAAATAGTATAGACACAGGGGGTGTCAAGCCCTCCGGTGTGGGGATGTGGCACTGACTAACGTACCTGGTGATGTTGGAAAGCCGGGTGTGGTGGGTCGTCCCAGAGTTCCGGTGTGGCTTTCTGGCTCCAGAGTCTGCACTCCAGGCCCAATGGGGCGGAGCATGATCCTGTCCTCTTCCACCTCTCGGACCTGTTTTGGAGGTGGCCCTTGTTCCGTCCTATTGATCTGGCTCTGGAAACAGTAGCTTTCACACTGATGAATATGTTACAAAATATCCTTAGATTTAAGTCAAGATAAGTCTTCATTTGATACCATATCAACTTTGCGCAATAATCAGAGAAATTAAGCCAGTATTATGAATCAGTTTCTTTTCATCATCTTGTTTATAAAAACTTGTTCAGTTTAACCATTTTTCATAGAACCCATTTAATCATTTCCTGCTTAACCATATTTCAATGTTTCATGAATTGCAAAAGACACAGACAAATCGCACAAGCATCATCATTGAAAATCTCAAACTTTTAAATTTCAGGCTGTCAAAATACAAGAAAAGTTTTCCAAGTGGATTTCAGAAAGAAAAATAATTCCTGTTCATACATAACATACCATTTATTACATATTACTATTTGTTACATATTTGAGTAACAAAAGCTTAAGCGGTTTAATGGTCAAAGGTTTATGGAAAGGTGAGCAAGGACATAAGTGTTTGGGGAGAAACTGATCTGACAGGATAGGGTGTATTCACAGAAAGCAGTCATGTGCAAGACTCCAAATAGTACATTCAAATGATACAATATACATAGATACACAACACCGACCCACACCAAGCAATGAATACACATCTATATATATCCAACTGTACCTTACCACTCAACTGAACAGAGCTGATACTAGTTACATCACTACCTGAAGGAAGTCTAGCAGAAGAACAGCTTCTTCAAACTTGGATCTTGTTTCACTAATATCTTCAGTATTTGACTGATTGGAGACAAATGTTCTATCATGATACGAGGGACTACTGGGACCCAGACACTGTGTGGATGTGTCTGCAGACACTGGACTTCCATAGTCAGATGTACCAATCGGCACGAAATAGTGTGATGACTGATCATCTATCTGGGCCAGTTCAGCAGACAACAGACCAACAGATGATTCAGATGAACATGGAGGGTAACCAGGGTCACTGACAGGCAGACGACGAGCTTGCATGTCTTGTCAAGTCTGTATTGCCGGCAGACATAATCCCTGGGTCAAGGTCAAATGAGTCGTTTGACATACAACCACACACATCAGATGTGTAACAAGAAAACTTATAATTAAAAGCCGAATCTCCAACATCATTTTTGTCCGATTTGAAATTGATACCGGGAATCTACAAATGCCTCTTCAACAGAGAGGCCAGAAAACTCCTTCAGCAGCACATTAGGAACAAAGTTGGCAGGTGTGTCAGACACATCTACAGATGCTTGAGGACAGTATGGATACTCAACAAGGAAGGTGTCCGACTCTGCAGCAGAAGCAGGAGACTGACTACATTGTAATGCCTCACAAAGCATGTTAGCTGTAACAAAGTCCAGTTCTACATCAGACAACATGTCTGTAGATGCAGACGTCAGACATGCATCTGGTGGTAAACACAGAGCCGTCATCACTTCCAAACCTTCCAGAGAGGACTCTGAATCTGTGGCTTTCATCTTCTAGTGAATGTTACATCCTTTTAGGAAACATTCTCAGAATCCATGCTTCTTCCATGCATGGTATAAATGCCTCCTCAGAACATCATAACACACCCTACAACTGTTTCTGTACCACCGTCTATACCCATTCCACTGTATAAAGAGATTGTGCAATTTACATTCTTGTAACGGTGCCTAGAGAGCAAATATCAAATCTAATAGCTCATAATTTCTTCACACATGTGTCAGCATAATGAATGTATTTGATCTCTTAATCAGGATCTGCTTCTCTTTCCTACATGGTAAGGTTAAATCTTTCACACAGAATAATACAACAAATGAAAAATAAGTAATATATTTGTTAGCTACCTACATGACTTGTCCTGCCTACAGACTGAACTCAAGTATATCAAATATTGTAACCATACACTTATATAAACTACTCTCTGTACAGAATTTACAAACTTTAAACAGCAAAGGAAGTGGTTTAATGTCATTACAATCAGTCAGCCCCCAGGCAGTTATATTCAAAACAGATGAAACTTTTCTTTATTTTCAACAAGAATCTCATTGTTTAAACTGCTCTGACCTGAAAATGTGAGCCAGATTTCAATGTCTAAACATTTCCCCCCAAACAATTCCAGCTACATAAACACTCCCAACGACAAGATCCAAATGTAACACGCCAAAATCTACATCACCCACAAGAAATTGCCTACCTTTTTTCTCCTCACCCACTATCATCTTTCCACTCGCACCTTCTCTATTGGACCTGCTATATTAATTTCACATTGCAAACCTTCCCCCCAAACTGTGACCCTTCATGACCTAGATCCTATTGAGAACCAAGCCACATTGCCATTTGTAAACTGGTATCATAAATACAGAGATGGTTGGTAATTACATTGCTATTATACTATGGGAAGTGCAAACTTGGCATGGCTGTATACACTATAACTGACTCACTGACTGGAAAATGAACTGAACAGCGGTCAGTTTACCATGTACTGCAGACTTCACACAAGTTGGGATGATAACAGCAAAACTATTGAAAATGCCAACATAGGAATTGCTCAATAATTGAACTATCAAAAGAAGAAAACTGAAATTACATTCAAATCACATGCAACTGTCTGTCCAATGGTCCTGATCATACACAAGATATGTTATTTAGTTTAAGACAGAATGATTCCACAGAAATATGCAGAACAAGCCTGAAACTGACACAACCTTACTTTCAAATACAGTAAACTATGGTTATAATATATTTCCACCAAGTTATTGGAGTGAGTGAGTGAGAGGGACACCAGAAATGGGCTTCACATATTATACCCATGTGGAGAATCGAACCCAGGACCACTTAGGCTGCTCTACCGCCCCTTTGAGCAACCAAAGACAGAAGTTTGTTAAGTTTGTTAGAATCACAGTACTATATACAGAACAATCCTGATACATACACCTCCCCTCAAATGTACAGGACAGGTCAGACCTGCTCTTTGACCACCTGGCTGATAACACCTGCCTGTGACTACTTCGAGCATCAGCAGGACTGGCTGCAGTAAGTACTACCAGAAATGTACTACAATAATGCATGAAAACATTGAAGAGAGCCATGGAACTGTATTTGATTAAAGGCTGTTTCCCAGGTCAGAAACAGCTGCCTGGTTCCCATTACCATTGCTCCTGGCAAGACAAACAGGAGTCTGCTTAGTTACTGCAGACCCAAGCCAAGCTCAGACAACCTACCACTACTTGTCACATGGTGAAACTGATCAATCGCAGTCTTTCATGATGTGGCTTAGTGCCAGTGCTCAGAATAAACTTCATTAACAAAACATATACTTTAAAAAAACTGACCTCCAAAAAGCATTCTTGGTTTGTTGAAAAAAATAAATAAATGAACAAGCAGAACTGTGGTTGTTTTCAAAGACATGTCAAAGTGCTACATCCTTCCCCATCTGAAGTAGTTCTTGTATTAATTGAATGAACTGACTGAGTAAGAAACCAGAGACAGTTCTCCAACGTTAAAGAATATTCCACATGTTGTGATAAGTTAGGTACACTGATCCATGTAGCAAATAAATGAAAAACACCTCACTTTTGTAAGACCCTCTTTACAACTGCCCCCACAGCTGGAGTGTCCAAACCACCAATCAATATTCACAATGACAGATAGCAATAAACCACATACATTTATCAGGGGTTGATATATGTCTTTATAACAATCTGAATAGAGTCTTGCACAATCCAAAGTATCACTCACAGCAAACAGATAAGCCAGTATACTGACTGAGTTCATGAAACGCAGGAAACGACCAATCAACATGCAGGTTGATAATTAGCAATTTGCATCAATCAGAATAAATGGCAATAGTCCATGCTAGTTAGGGAACTGCGTTTAAAGACCCTACAGTTACTGTTATTATATTTTGATGATCACACTTGTCAGAGAGCTTATTTCAAACAGTGTGAAGCACATTCCTGTCAGTTATCTCTTGTCATTCAACTATCACTGCTGGGACATGCCATTTAACGATATAATGTTCCCAAGCATACAATATACTGACTGTTTCAAGATTAATACTTCGCATCCTCATGCAATATAGATAACAAATATAGTTATGTCATTAAATACACTGTTGTAAGAATTCCCTAAACATGCTGAATTGGTGGGGACTGCAGAGTATAGTGACAACATCTAAATCTGGGGAATTGGAGTAGAAAGTGTTACGACTATTTAGTACATACCTTGCAGTAACAGGATAAGCAAACTGACTTTATTACTCTTTCAACACAATACTGTAGGCAATGTTTAATCATTTCATTACTTTTTTTTACAGTTATATGGCAATCTCAAGAAACACAAACTGTTTTAATGAATATAAAATCTTATATTCGCTCTGAATAAATTCTGCCAAGACAGAGACGTAAGGCACAAGCATTTCAGCTGTTAATGTTATAATTGGCAAGAGGTGTTGTGCACACACAATATGAATTTGGTATCATGTTTAAAATTTAGACCGTCAGCTAACATTGAGGAGATCTTTAAAAACATTACTGTGACAAGTTTCAGTATTACAATACTGAAAATGGGTCATCAATTCTCAAAAATAGAACTATAGTATATCATTTTTCAGCTGAAATGCTTCTGTGAGAAGGGCTAGGAGGGTTACAGACAATACATACATAGATATTAACATTATCCCAGACAGGGGAGGCACTCCGGGGCAGCATGCTGCGTGACGACGACGACGATGACATCGTGTTGCTGGTGTAGGTCTTATTACTCACGCTGCTTTGGGATTCCATCTGTCGCGTCTCATGCCGCACAAATACCTCGTCCTGTTTCTGCTGTGAGAACTGCTGTGGTACCGATGCCTTAATGGACTCCTCAGCAGCCATGAGGGACCGTTCCAGTTCCTCAAGGCGAGATGCGGTACTGATGCCATCGATTTTGTCCTTGGATACTTTCTCTTGTGTCTGGCTAACTGCACCTAGAAATCACATGTCGGTGCAGATGTGTTAGTCCTAGTTCATATGGACAGAGACCTGTTTTGTTTCAAGTTTTCATTGTTTTACATGTAAATATTTACTGTCAAGTAATGATGGATATATCGAAAGAGTGAAATATGTAATATTTATATAATGATAGAGCAAACGAAATACCACACAACATATGTATATGACAACTTCATTTATTAAAGAAATCATGTATGAATTTATTGAGCATGCTTGAAAGATGTTTAAAGTTTTTAGAAGCCATTCAAGCTGATAGTCTACAAAACAATATAAATTATGACCTGAAATTTAATCAGAATAAGTTTCATTTTCTACCGTATTTTACATACATTAATTGCACACATCACTCACTGAGAAATAGTAGTTAGTTAATACCCAGTTTCTAAATGATAGTGTCATGACCTAGAAGATAGCTAGAGAGAACTACCTGTGCATGCAGGACTATTCTACTGTTTGAGGAAACTTTCAAACCACTGCCAAGACTGATTTGTCTCCCTTTGCATAAGTTACCTCCCTTTAAGCCTATCATTTTCCTATAATCATCTTTAGGTTCTCAAAATAACTAAGAACCTTTCCACTTCATAAAACCAGCATAAAAACACATGCATGTTGACTATGGAACAAAATCAATGAACCAATATATTTTCAGAAAGATAAATTATTAATGGTGTCTCTTGCACAAGTAAAATCCTGACTCTAGACATATGACCATCAAAGTTGTTGTACATCAGAAACATAAGTCTTTTTAGCAGCAATAGATAATTGATTTATTGAAACATTAAGAAAATTGTTGACAAAATTATTAAAGTTTAATTTGTTTTGTCTGGATTTCTAAATATCAGCTTACAAGAAGAAATCTTCAACTTCAGATCACTGTTATTTAAGAATATTATTTTAAAACCTCTGTACAACAACTTTGAAATGCCAATACATAATAATGACTTTCAACAATCAAGTTGTGATTATTGTGATGACTACTTACTTGGTCCCCGGTGGACAAAGACCTCAGTAACATAATGTTGTTGTGTTTGAGGAGCAACAGGCTCTGGCGCCTTCTGAACTGGAGGCTGTTGCTGCCTGGTCATGCTATCATCATCCTGGTGTATGTGCTTGATGGTGCGGTATGTCGTGAAGGATGCCTGCTGAAGACCAAGCTCCTCTGGCGACAACGCTCTTGGTGAATGACTGGCACTGTATGAACGAGGGATTGATTGAGGAGCAAAGTCCCGGTCATAGAGTGTCTCTGATGCCTGACGCTGCAGAGGACGCTGCTGCTGCTGCTGCTGCTGCTGGGGTTGCCAGCTGCTGCTGCTGTTGGATCGAGATCTCATAAATTCCTTGCTACTGGTTCGAACTGGAGGGGTTACTGGGGGTGCTGAAATCATAGACCTCTGAAGCGTTGGGGAAGGGGGTGGTTTGTTAGATACGCTACGGTTGTAAGACTGACGTGATTCTGAGTAAGACTGAGAGTATGTGTTGAAATGGTTATCTGTAGGCGACATCTGCTGGCGCATATTGTATGGTTGAGTGTCATTTGGCCAGAAACCATCGTGGCTATGACTTCGCTGAGGGGGGTTGTACGATTGGACATTTGTAGGTGAAACTGGGCCATTGGCTACAGGTGTTTTGTAAGTTTCCATCACAGCCTGCTCCTCAGCTTCGTTCTGTGTGCGCCGTGTATAGTACTTGTTCTGGGCAGAACGCAGCTCAGACACAAGCTGCCTCTCTTGAGGAGACCGAACTTCCTTCTTTGCCCTGAGCTTCTCTTGCTGCTGCTGAAGCCACGATGCGTTATCAACCTCCCGCTGCTGCAAACTTGAACCATCTAACGTGTGATAGGAATATTCATTGTACTTATTCTCATAATCAGTCCTATATGGCAGAGTATGAACACGTCCAGGAGGACTTTGCATTCTGGGCATATTTTCCGCATTTCGGATTAGGTCTTTTTCTAAAGGTTGCACAGTTTTCCCCTCATTTGTTGGGGAGGTAGCAGTGTATGAAAATGCATTTTTAGGAACCCCAGGTTTGCGGATGTCCTGTTCACCACCAGCTGTGATCGTAATGGTGCTTCTCCTCCTTGGCTCCAGGAACTTTGTAAGTCACTTCCGCTCTCTGAATAGAAACATTCTGATTTGGACTTCGCTGATTAGAGTCTATTGTATTATATGTAGTGAATGTTCGTGTTGTTGTGGTAATGGTTGAAGCACTGGCATCTTTCGGACTTGTTGGACTGGAGGATACAAATACCTGATCCTGTAACAGGTCACTTAATAGTTCATCTAGCTGTGTACGCTCGTCTAATGCTTTCACTGTTTGCTTGGGCATTGTGCTTGATCCGTAACTTGTCTTAGAAGACTGCACACCTGACCTGTAACTTGGGGAAATCACTTCGTTCACATTCGAGTTGTACTGCGAATGGCTTTGGTGGCTTTGATGGCTTTGATTGACAGTTGTTGCTGGAATACAATTATCAGGATCATAAGCAAAGTGGAGATTAAACTTCATATTTGATATTAAAATGACCATACTTGCAGTGGTATGCGGCCGTTTCAATGTCAGAAGACCCATAAAAGCATGAAACCTTCATTTAAAAGCACACAAGGACGTTCCAGCTACACATAATTCTTTTGAGCTTCATCTTTCAGAAAACAACAGAATCAGCCATGAAAAAAACACCAAAAGAGCTATATCTATTTGCTTAGCATTTCATACAATATATTTGATTAAAGTCAAAAGAGGTAATGTTCACCAATAATGATATGTTCTTCAGTGATTATAGGTATCACTATTCTCAGCATGGAATACTGGAATCTACAATAAGACCATGTCTGTTCTATTTGGGGCAAAACATGATCATATGTATGGAGATGAAAAATCTGGAAATACCAATTTGTTAGCTACCCCATGCATTCTGTATGGATTATAAAGAGAAGTATTATCAGATGGGATTTCTCTGTCCAACACACACAGACATACATTCAGACACACAGACAGACAGACACACAGGCTTCAGTTGTAAATTACATTACACGTTCAAGCCCTGAACAAAAAAATAACAAGGGTAAACATATTTTTAACAATGTGGACACCACAGTTAGTTATGCAGCTATATGGTTGGTACTTGACAATAAATGAATGTTAGACATTGACAGGTCTACGATGTGCTACCTGGGCCAGTATTTGACACAGGGCTGGTAACACTGCTTTGATCATGTCAGAGTTTCCACATCTGAAATTATCTTGAATTATTACCATAACATATGCATGTAGGCCTAAATCGGAACTAAAGACAGAAGTGTCTGGGAAAACATTTTTCTGTAATTATGATGACCGGATGAGCAGGTGTAAAAGATATAAACAAATTTGAATGAAAGCTGCCTCTTAACTACTTTGACAGGAAAAAAGAATTACGAGAGCTTGGCACTGGCATCGTAAGATTAAGGCAAAAGTAGCAACGGCTAAAAGCAGAACATAACGAATGCTTTATACTTCGCAGATTAAAAGCGCAAAAATTATGTGTAAGAACGTAACAGCATTTTCACAAATAACAAATAAGTGCAAATTAAATTTGTAAGAAATATAATGTACAAGGACATGCTGCAATTAAGATTATATCCATTTACAAAGCATTACTTTTATATTTTATAATGATTACATACTATTATAAGTATGATGAGGTAATATTTTGACTTAGAGGTACATTTTTCTCAAAATACGACAATTAAATATTTAGTTTAAAGTGTGAAAATAGATGGAGATTATTAATAGCTACTAGTAAATTAGTAAAACGTTACTAGGAATCTACCATGAATACACAGGTATCCATGACAGAAACGTAAACGCAGGGCAATAAATGACTGTTCATGCAACATGTCCTTTTTTTTTTGACACATAAGTGCAAATTAATGTTGTAAGAAACCATATAAGACATGCAGTCACCATGGAGATCAGAGGATGTGGAAATACCAGAGTCGAGGCTGGATGTCAAGGAACCATTTTGCATGGGTCCATTATGAAGCACGGAGGATGAGGTGGATTGGTTCTCGATTCGTTTCTTGTTTACCGTGGCATACAAACTTCCATCTATTGGGCCCTGCTCGTGCTCGACCTTTGACACACGAACTTTGCTTATTCCTTCGGGTGGTATTCCGTTTTCATTAATATCAGCTGAAAGGATTAAACACCATGCGGTTATGGATTTTGGAAATTTTGAATTCTGTAAACAGAAATTGGTTGACTTTCATATTCCTGTTGACAGAAACTTGACCAAATTTGAAATTAGTGTAAGAAACGAATTCATGGCTGTTAAGTGTAAGGTCAAGAGTCGAAATATGAAAAACAGTTTTCTGCGGTCAGAGCATGCTTGTTGGAACATATAAAATCCTTAAGTTGCAATGAACATTTGTTAGGCCTAACAAGCCAACAAAGCAAAAAGCCTTATCTAGGCTACAAAAGCTACCAGTTAATGATCAAATGCAATTTAGATGAACACGAACGACATTAATAGTCAACATTTACATAAATATTAATAGAATGATTGGACCATTCAAATGACAGCAACATTTATGACGTTACTTGTTCATATAAAAAACTCTTGGGAGATTTCCTGAATGCCTTACATGAGATGATGGGACAGATTTTGAAGGATGGCGTGTTAACAATGTGATGGTGCAGATTGGTTGCTGAAGCAAAACAGATTTGATCCATGCTAAAGTTTGGTCCGGTCTTCCCAAAGTAATGTGCAAATGTCACCAACCCAACAAGACTGTATGAAGGTGAAATTTGAAATAATAAGATGTTAGGAGAACTATAATAAAAACCTGTGTTGGTGCAGCGATTGAAACAACTACCTCATTTCTGCTAGTTACGAAACCGTTTTGAACCAGCAGGAGCCTTCAGAAGACACTAACCCCCTCCCCTGTCACTGTCCTTACTCAGTATATCTGTAGTATCTGACAGAGATGAAGTTTCAAGTATCAATCACTGCATCACTACAACTTCTTAGAGTAAACCTCCTCTACAGAGAGCTACATACTGTCATCGATGACCTTGCGGAAGTTCTCGTAGCTGTCTGAACGGATTAGGTTGTCTTCGCCATCATCCACTGGCACTGTCACATCAGATTTAAACCCTGAGACTGAAAGGGAAGCATTCGGGTTTATCATCAACATTTCAAAATGAAGCAGTTAGAAACACATGCCTGTAAAATAACTGAGCCTGGACCAAACAATCCTGTGTACTGACCATGTAATCAGAGTGAGTGAGTATTGCTTTATGCTGCATCAGCAGTTTTGCAGCTAATCATGATGACTATCCCATCAGAAGACATGAGTGGACAACCCAGCCATCCTAATGATCAGCGTCAACAACCATGGCCATTGAGGGGCAGGGGTTAACAAATAAGGCCATCAAGGGACAGGGGTCAGCAACCAAGGCCACAGTGGAACAACAACCAAGATTAAAAAGGGAAGGGTCAATCAAGGCCATCAAGAGATGGGTCAACAACCAAAATCATCAAGTGACAGGGGTCAGCAACCAAGGCCACAGTGGAACAACAACCAAGGGACAGGGGTCAGCAACCAAGGCCATCAAGGGACAGGGGTCAGTAACCAAGGCCATCAAGGGACAGGGCTCAACAACCAAGGCCGTCAAGGGACTGGGGTCAGTAACCAAGGGTATCAAGGGACAGGGGTCAGCAACCAAGGCCATCAAGGGACAGGGTCAACAACCAAGGCCATCAAGGGACAGGGGTCAACAACCAAGGCCATCAAGGGACAGAGGTCAACAACCAAGGCCATCAAGGGACAGGGGTCAGCAACCAAGGCCATCAAGGGACAGGGCTCAACAACCAAGGCCATCAAGGGACAGGGGTCAGCAACCAAGGCCATCAAGGGACAGAGCTCAACAACCAAGGCCATCAAGGGACTGGGGTCAGTAACCAAGGGTATCAAGGGACTGGGGTCAGCAACCAAGGCCATCAAGGGACAGGGGTCAACAACCAAGGCCATCAAGGGACTGGGGTCAGCAACCAAGGCCATCAAGGGACAGGGGTCAGCAACCAAGGCCATCAAGGGACAGGGGTCAGCAACCAAGGCCATCAAGGGACAGGGGTCAACAACCAAGGCCATCAAGGGACAGGGGTCAGCAACCAAGGCCATCAAGGGACAGGGGTCAGCAACCAAGGCCATCAAGGGACAGGGGTCAGCAACCAAGGCCATCAAGGGACAGGGGTCAGCAACCAAGGCCATCAAGGGACAGGGGTCAACAACCAAGGCCATCAAGGGACTGGGGTCAGCAACCAAGGCCATCAAGGGACAGGGGTCAGCAACCAAGGCCATCAAGGGACAGGGGTCAGCAACCAAGGCCATCAAGGGACAGGGGTCAGCAACCAAGGCCATCAAGGGACAGGGGTCAGCAACCAAGGCCATCAAGGGACAGAGCTCAACAACCAAGGCCATCAAGGGACTGGGGTCAGTAACCAAGGCCATCAAGGGACAGAGCTCAACAACCAAGGCCATCAAGGGACAGGGGTCAACAACCAAGGCCATCAAGGGACAGGGTCAGCAACCAAGGCCATCAAGGGACAGGGGTCAGTAACCAAGGCCATCAAGGGACAGGGGTCAGTAACCAAGGGTATCAAGGGACTGGGGTCAGCAACCAAGGCCATCAAGGGATGGGTCAACAACCAAGGCCATCAAGGGACAGGGGTCAACAACCAAGGCCATCAAGGGACAGGGGTCAACAACCAAGGCCATCAAGGGATGGGTCAACAACCAAGGCCATCAAGGGATGGGTCAACAACCAAGGCCACTAAGGGGCAGGGGTCAGCAACCAAGGCCATCAAGGGACAGGGGTCAACAACCAAGGCCATCAAGGGATGGGTCAACAACCAAGGCCATCAAGGGGCAGGGGTCAACAACCAAGGCCATCAAGGGACAGGGGTCAATAACCAAGGCCATCAAGGGATGGGTCAACAACCAAGGCCACTAAGGGACAGGCATAAATAACCAAGGCCATAAAAGGATGGGTCAACAACCAAGTCTCAAAGGGACAGGGCCCCATAATAATCTGTCTGGTCTCTTTGTCACCAGTGTTTCACATGGTGGTATGTCACAAGACATTTGTTGTATACTATGTCTTGGTATAACTGAAGAAAACAATGCACACACTGCCTCACTTCAAATGACAAATATTGTCAGTATCACAGTAACAGATGTAACTTCATCACTTCTGCTGACATTTTGAGTTCTGATTATCAAGTGAGCATTATGTGACATTAGAGTTTCAACTGTTAATCTACCTACATAAGGTCACATTATCTGGCCTAATAGTCCAATTCTCATTATAATAATTGCTCAATTAAACTTCAACATATTACATACACTAAGTTGTACCAGAAAGGACTGAATGTTCCATCATAAATACAACCAAACTCCAGCCTGAATAACATGTTCACATACAGGCAATATATAATGTTCAGATATTAATGTCAAGAGACAAGTATTGGTATCACAGGTACAATTAGAGATTTGAGAATCCATGGCTATAACAGTATATAGGCCATATCGTTCTGTGTGAACTTTCTTAATATTCATAAGCATAAGGATGTATTGTAGGGCCAAGAAACATAGTTGGGTGACTTCAGGATACTAAGCTATCTAGCCCATGATCCTAAGTTTATGGCATGTCTAAGGGAGGCAACTCTGCACAGCAAATAATAGGTGCCTTGACCCTGGAACCAGACTCCCCCCCCAAAAAGGTTCAAGATATCAATGTCTTTGGCCTATTTTCCTTGAGCCCATTTCATTGTCTTTAATTGATGTTGATGTCTGATGAGGAGTGAATAAGTTTGTTCATTACTCCAGGCTAAAGAATTTCTACAATGTTAAACTTCACATAGGCTCAAGACAACTACAAAGAATAGTGCACAGTGCTTCAGTTGGCCATTAACTTCCAGTCAGGTGAGCTAAAACTATAAATAACCAACTATGTGTGTTCTAAACTATATCATCAGATGAACTATCAAATTCAGTAATGAAGCCCAAATGTTTTGCAGACCCCATACACCTCCCCACTATTATCATCTTCTTCTCTTGCTCTAATCATATCACATTTCTCAGATACATTTGTTATGCCACTTCTCAAGACCATTGTACCCCTTTGTAAATGACCTCAAATCTTGAAACTGTTCCAGATTTACTTTCAGCAGAACATACATGTACACTGTGTTTAAACAGTTGCAAACTCAAACTAGCAACCTATTTGCACACAAGACATGTGTTAGTCTTCATGGATGCCTGCCATGAAAAATTCTACATAGTTGGGCAGCCAAGCAGTAGAGAAGACTTCATCAGCCCCGGAATCTAAGGACTCCTGAAGCCAACTTGTCTTATCTGGCTCTCTGCTGGGGGCCTCTACACCTCAACCCTACCACTCAACACTTCCTGCTTGGTCTTACTAGTGGTCATTGCTACTAGGAAGGTGTGTAATAGCTTAGTCTGGCTGGTTAATTAAGGAAAGCAAATGAGTTTGTTTCAGACAAGCCAGACAACACTTGGCATACAAAGACCCAACTTCATGTACTTGAACTTCAATAGGACCTTTGGTAAGTCAGTTAATTTTGATTGAGTGTAAACTATTCTGAGATAGACATTTCAATATTAACACTGGAAATTTAAGGTTTTCATTACATATCAGAAGGTTAGGAAGATATTCATAAAATGTTAATCTACTCCACAAGATCTAACGTCTAATGAACTTTACAAAGACTACATTCTATACTACTGATCCAAAATCATCATATTCTCAGATCAAAATAACAATGAACAGCCCTGTATAACAACAATGTCATTCAACCTTTAACTTAAATTCCAAAATGATGTAACTATGGAAACTGCAAATGGTCCAACTCTAGAAATGTGGGTTTGGCTAACCTTGATATATTGCATGTGGTCACAGGCCATATCAGCTGCCTACAACATGGGTGGTTCTCATATCTATATGTGGGTCACATATATTATCTACATGAGTTCCACTGCTAGGCAAACATATATTCTCCCTTAGTTCACGATGCAGGAGCCTCTGGTTTCATATGGACCTCACTTTAATGATGATAGTAACAACACCACAATATGGGAAATTATTTTGGGAATGTTTTAGGAATGTTTGAGAAAAATCTTCATACATTTTCATCAATAACGTTTGGATTTGTCAGTTTCACAACTTTGAATTGATAAGAAAACTAAGAACCAGCGTATCCATCTTATCCAACACTCGATCCCAGTTCTTTAATTTTTAAAATAGAATCCATATGAAGGCCTTAACAATGGTTAATGTCCAAGAGCTGGGTCAATACAGACTTGCCAAATCATTCTAGACCTGAGTTGGATTGTAATTTTTCTCAAGAGTCTGGAAGAGAATGTATAACACCTGTCTACATGCTGGCATTCGAACAGTGACGATATTACCCAGAGCCAAGCACTGTGCTCCAAATATGGGCAACCACCTCCCAGGAAGGTTACTACTGTGTGCAGCCAAACACTTAGCTTTAATAGCAGTCTACATAAACATACTTTATCATTTACTTGTAGATTTCATATGTAGATTTCATTCTGAGTGACAAGCCAAATCCCTGACAAGATTCTGAACATTCCATCCAGTACCTTATCATGTTTATTTCACCTCAGCCCAGCTGTAGTTTTTCTACTTCTAACGATGTCCTAATACTGCTGGCAGGAACACAATCAGAACATACCACCACCCAGTGCATCTTTGTAAACCAATCTATTCACAAAAAAAGTGCTGCTAAAAATGGGAGAGGCATCACCAAGCTTCACCTTCATTGTCAAGGTGAGTCAGCGCTGGGAAAAGACTGCCACTAATAAACACTTGCACATTTATTTGAAGTGTTTAAAAATATATTTGCCAGGATTCAGGAATGGTGGGATGTGTAGCTCATGCTTCTTCATGTTGATGTGCAATAATTAGTTTTTGCCCACTTCAACTCTTCCATGTCTGTTTTATTGTTATTGGAAGCTTGACAAGCGGCTCACTAAACATGCCATGTCAAACTGCTGTGTTGATTTATTTCACTGGGGATGTTAGGTGCTACTTGAAGTTATATTCAGTTTCAGTTTTATAGGGTGAGGTCATGGTATAAACATGTAGATGCTGTGCTAGTAAGACAAAATAAAAAGGTTCTTTGGCAATCACCACTAATGCCAGAATGATGTTTGTATGGTAACTCAAAGCATGGGTTATATTTTTGGGTCACTTTGACCATGTAGGGTCAGGTGGTATTTGAGGTTGAACACCAGGAAGTAATACTGAAGTAGACCTAGCTTGTATACATTTTTAGATATTAGATTAGGCTTCTTAACATTAGTTTCCAGGGTCCATTCCTAAAGTTATCGAAGTGCTAAAAGCGTTTGTAAACCTATATTGAACTAAATGAGTCATAATGGCCTAAATGCTGTGGTCACTTTGAGGACAAGTTACACATTGTACTGTAAAAGGACATGGAAGTTCCAACCTGCGGGACAGACTAGTCACACAATATACAGTAAAAGGACATGGATGTTCCAACCTGCTGGACAGACTAGTCACACAATATACAGTAAAAGGACATGGATGTTCCAATCTGCTGGACAGAATAGTCACACAATATACAGTAAAAGGACATGGATGTTCCAATCTGCTGGACAGACTAGTCACACAATATACAGTAAAAGGACATGGAAGTTCCAATCTGCTGGACAGACTAGTCACACAATATACAGTAAAAGGACATGGATGTTCCAATCTGCTGGACAGACTAGTCACACAATATACAGTAAAAGGACATGGAAGTTCCAATCTGCTGGACAGACTAGTCACACAATATACAGTAAAAGGACATGGAAGTTCCAACCTGCTGGACAGACTAGTCACACAATATGCAGTAAAAGGACATGGAAGTTCCAATCTGCTGGACAGACTAGTCACACAATATGCAGTAAAAGGACATGGAAGTTCCAACCTGCTGGACAGACTAGTCACACAATATACAGTAAAAGGACATGGATGTTCCAACCTGCTGGACAGACTAGTCACACAATATACAGTAAAAGGACATGGATGTTCCAATCTGCTGGACAGACTAGTCACACAATATACAGTAAAAGGACACGGAAGTTCCAATCTGCTGGACAGACTAGTCACACAATATGCAGTAAAAGGACATGGAAGTTCCAACCTGCTGGACAGACTAGTCACACAATATACAGTAAAAGGACATGGATGTTCCAATCTGCTGGACAGACTAGTCACACAATATACAGTAAGTAATAGGACATGGAAGTTCCAATATACTGCTGTTCCAACTGACTGGACAGACCAGTCACAGAATATGCAGTAATAGGGCACAGAAGTTCCAATCTGCTGGACAGACCAGTCACAGAATATGCAGTAAAAGGACATGGAAGTTCCAACCTGCTGGACAGACTAGTCACACAATATACAGTAAAAGGACATGGATGTTCCAATCTGCTGGACAGACTAGTCACACAATATACAGTAAAAGGACATGGATGTTCCAATCTGCTGGACAGACCAGTCACAGAATATGCAGTAATAGGGCACAGAAGTTCCAATCTGCTGGACAGACCAGTCACAGAATATGCAGTAAAAGGACATGGAAGTTCCAATCTGCTGGGCAGACTAGTCACACAATATACAGTAAAAGGACATGGAAGTCCCAATCTGCTGGACTGGACAGAATAGTTCCACACTGCTGGACAGACTAGTCACACAATATGCAGTAAAAGGACATGGAAGTTCCAATCTGCTGGACAGACTAGTCACACAATATGCAGTAATAGGGCACAGAAGTTCCAATCTGCTGGACAGACCAGTCACAGAATATGCAGTAAAAGGACATGGAAGTTCCAACCTGCTGGACAGACTAGTCACACAATATACAGTAAAAGGACATGGATGTTCCAATCTGCTGGACAGACTAGTCACACAATATGCAGTAAAAGGACATGGAAGTTCCAATCTGCTGGACAGACCAGTCACAGAATATGCAGTAATAGGGCACAGAAGTTCCAATCTGCTGGACAGACCAGTCACAGAATATGCAGTAAAAGGACATGGAAGTTCCAATCTGCTGGACAGACAAGTCACACAATATGCAGTAAAAGGACATGGATGTTCCAATCTGCTGGACAGACTAGTCACACAATATGCAGTAAAAGGACATGGATGTTCCAATCTGCTGGACAGACTAGTCACACAATATACAGTAAAAGACATGGAAGTCCAACCTGCTGGACAGACTCTGCTGGACACACAATACAGTAAAAGGACATGGATGTTCCAATCTGCTGGACAGACTAGTCACACAATATGCAGTAAAAGGACATGGAAGTTCCAACCTGCTGGACAGACTAGTCACACAATATACAGTAAAAGGACATGGAAGTTCCAACCTGCTGGACAGACTAGTCACACAATATGCAGTAAAAGGACATGGAAGTTCCAATCTGCTGGACAGACTAGTCACACAATATGCAGTAAAAGGACATGGAAGTTCCAATCTGCTGGACAGACTAGTCACACAATATACAGTAAAAGGACATGGATGTTCCAACCTGCTGGACAGACTAGTCACACAATATGCAGTAAAAGGACATGGAAGTTCCAATCTGCTGGACAGACTAGTCACACAATATACAGTAAAAGGACATGGAAGTTCCAACCTGCTGGACAGACTAGTCACACAATATGCAGTAAAAGGACATGGAAGTTCCAATCTGCTGGACAGACTAGTCACACAATATGCAGTAAAAGGACATGGAAGTTCCAATCTGCTGGACAGACTAGTCACACAATATGCAGTAAAAGGACATGGAAGTTCCAATCTGCTGGACAGACTAGTCACACAATATACAGTAAAAGGACATGGATGTTCCAACCTGCTGGACAGACTAGTCACACAATATGCAGTAAAAGGACATGGAAATTCCAATCTGCTGGGCAGACTAGTCACACAATATGCAGTAAAAGGACATGGAAGTTCCAACCTGCTGGACAGGCTAGTCACAACAACAATAAGTAGCAGAGGTACTCACCTGAAACCAAACCATCGGACCGTGGACCAAACACAAATTCTACTTTTCCTGAGTCGGGGAACCGTGGATCTGAAACATAAATAAATAGATGGAATATATGCTGTATTTTGATGACATACAATATGATCTGCACAATACAAGATGAGTGTTGATATGCGAAATAATACTGGTAAACTAACCATTAAAGTCATGCTTCCATTTGAACTTCCTGTTATGAACCTAACCTATCAAAGCTTTGAATATGTCCATATAAATCCAGGATAGGAAATCTCTGGTGTAAGTCTTGAAAATATCAAATTATTCACTGAATCCCTAACTCATCATAGAGAAATAAACAAGAAATCTTGTCCACAACTATAATGACAGAGAGAAGAGATATCCCGGATGGATACATGACAGCAAGGAGGAAGTCAGCGGGGGAAAATAATTGGATCCTGTAATGATGGTACTAACCAGACATTCCACACTGAAACTGTCATAGGATTATTAGATTAGTACCTGTAGTCTGTCAAAGAGTGGAATCGATGCACAACATGTATTTGATTTATCAAAACATTATTCTAATGCCATTTTATTCAAAATTATGTTTCCATCCTGAGGACTATCAGCCTCTGTTTGATAATGATACAAGTTATGTGATATCATGTTCTACTTTTATCATTAACCTCTGCTCCCAACACTGCGTGCACAGTGAGGGTAATGCCAGCAGCCTCACTGCCCATCCAGAGTCTGGCCTTTACCTCACATGTGCATACACACTGACATCTGGAGAGGCAGGGTGGGGGAGGAGGAGAAGGGAGGGAAGGCCCCTTGCAGATTGCACAAATCAGGTCACATGAATCACATTTGACACCATCCACCAAACTTTAAAACAAATCTTAGCAACAGTTCTTGCAAGAATCGGTTGACCTGTTTAAATGTGATGCTCATTACAATTGAGATGTCTTTCAGATTGTGAACATCAAAGAGGTTGACTGTATGCAATGGGAGTCTGACATTTCTGTGGGTGTACTTGTTTCAACCTGTAGGTATCAAGATCACATTCTGCACAACCCATACAATTACTCCACAAAAACATCCCTGGCAGACACCCTGGCTTTGAGTATTCTACCTAAATCTGTTTTGCCACATGTCTATATACAACATTTTAATGCATCAGGCATATAATTTTGTGTGGGACCTTGGTTTAAAACGTTTTCAACCAATCACTTTGAAAGAAACATGTTTATGATTTATAACCTTCATATAACTATGTTCTTGCTATAGATGTTACTGTTTTCAGTTTATGATTACAACATTACCTGTTTCTTCATGAACACACCAACGAGAAACTTGCCTTCACTCCTGGAGGTATCCCAGAAGGCACATACGCAATCCAACGAACTTGTCATAAAACACACAATTTATCACCCAATCTATCCACAAAATACATGATATCACTTCACATCCTTCGAGCAATGAAGAAATAATCCCAGACGAAACAAAACTACTTTATCCCAGGAGTTTAGGCTCTGAGCAGAAAAGCCTAAAGAACTCACAAAACTTCCCCCTCTCAGAGATAGTTCCAAGATGGCCGACATCCGTGGATCACCGTGGCAACCCCAAGAGTTGCCACTTGTGAGGAACCTGTTGATAGTGGGATGGTGTCAGGCATGGGGAATGCTGCTGTAGAGATCTGCCTCCCATTCTGGACTCGGCAGAGAGAGGCGATTATAGCTCCCCTTTATAGCGCCATGGGCTGGGCAATCATGTCTCTGGCCAATTCTCCATCTGCTGTTGTCAGTTATTATTACAATAATGGCTACTAGCTCTGCGATAACAGATCACAGGATTGTGACTTTAGGTGTTGTGTTTTAGCCTCAGGTGGGTTCATTTGTGGGGGAATGTAGACTTAAAGGTGTGTAATACGGAAAGTATGGTGAAATCATGGACCTGATGAACTATCCCTCAGTTTTTAGAAGGAATATATGAGATAAGAACTCTATGATGCCTGACAGCATCTATGACAGGAAACTATGCTGTTTGTAGATACTCCCACTTGGGAACACTCATTCAAGAAATGTCATTATCAGTCATCAGTAACACAATATTTATTTACATCAGTACTATATTTTCCGAAGATAAGCTATTTCCTTGATAAATCATTTCACCAGATTGTCAATCTAACCAGAATGCAATGGCCACTCTCTGAGAAGCAGCAACAGGTGATCTCACCAGGTATAAATCTCAGTCAACTGGTAATCCTCAAACTATGTTGATGGCTGAACCACCCACATATATCGACTTTCCTTGCACATTGAAAACACTACATCAGATTCTGAACCTCCCCGATCCTCCAACATTTTAAGTTAAACATAATAAGAAGGGATCTAATTAAAACAAGTATGTGTTCAATATTCAATAACTGCTGCATGCTGACAGAAATAGCATGCCACCAAATTAGCTCATGTCTTGATGAATCAGTCGCTCTTCTGCCCCATCACTAGCTTAATGGCACAAAAGGTCATAGCGAAGGAGCCATTTATTTCCTGGAGGGCCAGCTTCCCTCCAGCTTTGATATATATGTAGGTATAGCCACAATCCATAACATGATAGAACATTCCAACACCCCAAACTGCGGAACCTGTTGGCTTTGTCGGAACTTGTGTGCTGACGTTGCCAGGATTACCCACTCTAAAGTATTGTCAGAGAAGGCATTTCCCCACCTTTATTTCCTGACCAAAGCTGGCTGACTAATAAGCTGCTGAAATGATAAGAGCTGACAAAACCAAACAGAGACTTACAGAGGTTACTGGTTATCAGAGTCCTGCCCTCCTGCAGCCCCATTTAATTCAGAATCTAGGTTAAATGAAAACACTCAGTTTGTTGGGATAGTGGTGAAACCTAACGCTCGATTCATTTTCTTACAATTTGAGCATCTGCTGGAAGATTTATCATGGCCAACAGTCAAACCTAGCTACTATACCCTCTAAATGAACATTGATGGAATACGTCCCCTACAGATTCTCACACAACATCAACTGCAAACTATCTGAAGCCCATGAAATGAAGCTGTGAGATACCTTATCCAGAATATGTCAAAACTTACTGGATTACAAGTTCCAAGTATAGCAACTGATCAAGGCAGGTGGTCATACACAGGCTTTTAGTTCCTCAGTATTCAGCTATCTCCAGCCAGATAAAGGAGACAGTAACTACAGTATGTAGAGGCAGGCTGGGCCACATTTCCCCTTGTGTTACACTCAGCTACCCATCATCACCAGCACATTTTATTGCACCTTGGGTGAGAGGTGAAAAAGAAAGGGCTCAGTGGTCCCTGCAGACAAATCCCTGTAACCCGATACCAGAGTTGCTATTCTGTCTTGTTGGGTGTTTGTGCAGGCAAGTGAACCATACAGAATATGCAAACCTCCCTATGTTGCAGGGACAATGTTTAGACGGCTGATGCCAACCCATCTTGAGTACACTGTAGAACATAAATAACTTGGTGTTACAGATAACTTTACTGACAGGCATTTCAAGTGCTAGGTAAAGATACAATATATTGATGAACAACTTATTTATTACAACATGGCTCCTGATTGTAATAAAGAAGCTGTTCATCCATATATCTTATCCCTACTTACCTGTTACAGGACAATGTGGAGATGGCTGATGGGCAACACACAAGAGAATTGTGAGCTGTGTCCCGTGTAAGGAGCAGAAATAACTACCTGTTACAGGACAATCTGATGATTGTTGATGAGCAACACACAGATTAAGGCACAGTGAAGAGTACAGATCATACATACTAGAGCAATGGGTACCATGTGTGGGTACCATGTGTGCAACTCCTAGAACAGTAAGTGCACCTGTTTCCCTACAGGGGACAGTGGATGCAGCACATGCAGAGGATAGGGCGAGACCAGACCTGAGAGGTACGCAGGGTGTACCAGTAGCTAGTCACCAATACTGACAACTGACTCACATACAGTATGGCTAATGGCTTACCTATGGATAATAAAATACCGTAATCTAGGGAAAAGCAACACAGCTTTGAACAGAAATCTTGGTTTTTCATTTTAACACTTGTCAATGGGGTGGGACAATAATTCATACGTCTGAAAGAAGGTGGTCTAACATTTCACACACATATATGTGAATGGAAATGTTTTTGAAAGGTCAATGAAGAAACCAAAAATATGCATCTTACGAAGCTTCCAAACGACCCATATCGAGGTGATTGTATTCATTCTACTCAATATGAAATACAAGGATATGCTATAACAGGCCCTTTCAACACATATGAGCACTTTAGGGTTATTGTAAATACCTGGAGTCAATGTATTATGAACATTTTCTGCGTGAGTGCAGTGAGCACATGTTTGTAAGTGACCTGTTACATGAATGTCACATAACATGCTCAAGGCAACCTACTCATGTACGCAACACACAGTGACATAATGTAGTGCATACTGGGGGCATGCATGTGCATGTCAAAGTGCCAAGGTGTGTGTTACAGCCTAGTTGAGGTACTAATCAAGTACAAAGGGCAGATGTTTGGTGAATTAACATTCCAGGGTAGAACTCATGATATTGAAAGTAGAACACAGTTGAGATTGTGCACATGCTATACAGCAAATGAGGATTCCATTTAGAAGAGAAAGTGTCTAATGAAAAGACTGTACCCATATTGGGTGAATCAGGGTAAATGATATCTTTCTAATGTATCAAGTTGAGTGAGTGTGTGAATGTGACTTGCCAGTGCTAATGATAACATCTGTGGAGTCTATTAGGAAAGCAGCTCATTACTAAAGGGTTGTCCAAATGAAGCGGATCCTTTCCAGAACACTGGCCTTGTTCAACAAGTATCAGTGGACCATTCACTTCAACATAAACACACAAGAAAACAGCCATGTTCTCATGTACACAAATCATGTTTTCCTGAGTAGCCACAGTGTATAGATAGATGTGGTGCACACTCAGTTATGTGCACTTACTCTACACTGCATAACGAGGGGACAGTGGGTGGTGTGCTCAACAGGCTGCAGTCACACCATGACCAGAACACACTCAGATAGGACCATGATGAAATCAGTCAGTGAGTGAGTGAGTGAGGTTTTATGCTGCTTTTAGCAATATTCCAGCAATATCAATGCGGGGGACACCAGAAATGGGCTTCACACATTGTACCCATGTGGGGAATCGAACCTGGATGTTCGGTATGACGAGCGAACACTTTAACCACACGGCTACCCCACCGCCCATGAAATCAGTCAAAGGTTAAAGCAGCAATAAGATACAGCAATCTGGACAAACTGTGGAGTGGGAAGTACATCTGTAGATGTTGTGACTTTGCAATATATGACACAAGTCACATGAACACAAGGTAAAGATAATCCACACAGAATGGTCAATAATGACGCACTGGGTCACAGGACATTTTACACTAGAATCTGCACTGAAAATGGAAGTAGGTCAATTACTGCCCTGCCCAGTTTCACATTTGATAGAATAAAGTCTACATGATGCACAAAGACACTTTAATCATGGTCACTGGCTTGGCAACAGCAGTGTGTTAGGCTTACATGCCTGCTCCTAATCATGCATGAAAACATACACCATCCTGACGCTAATGTGGTGGCTCAGGTCAGTCTGACAGGCAGTACATTTATAACTGCAGTGTACTGCAACATGCTTGAAGCCAGCATGAATATGGGCAGCACGCTTGCAGTGTGTACTACCAAATGATACATTCCTCCTTTAAATTCACACACTAGCATCCGTAAGCTAACTTATCACTTATTCTAAAAGTAAAACTAATTCTTTCTTTGATGCACATATAAACTTATCAGACAGATAATACTTTTTGTTGTGTGTATAATGGTAAAACAACAATAATCTTGTCCAAAACCGATTCACTCTTCATGATAGACTAACGCTTAGTCTCTGAATATATATAATTTTGATTGTAACAAATAAATCCATTTAAATTGAAAAGGAGCCCCAGGGAGACCAGAGATTCAGAACCTTGAGAAATCTAGACTTGCTCCATTTAGGGCCTTAGTATTGCAGGGAGGGCTGGGCTGTACGGAAAATAATATGGTTCAGAGACTGTGAGACAGACTATCTTCACGAGTACTTCCCAAATATTGGATGAACGTGTATATAATTCTGTGGTACTGGAACCTGTAATGGGTTCCTTCTAAGACATGTATCTCCCCGCCCAGCAGTATACAGATGATGTGACGACCAGCACGAGCCACACTGAAGATGCTGGGGAACAACTTCCTCTCTATCACAACTTTATCACACAACTCTACGCCTCAGATATAGCATCCTGTCATTCATCGATCAATGTCAGACCTCAAAAGCTTCCTCGGTATACATGTATCAGGTACAAGCAGTGCTTGCAACAGATGTCATAATATTATTTCATGCAACATTTCCAGTAGTTCCTGTCCCATATTTAAACTTCTCCTGATATGTCTGATAGAGAAGGGAGTGTTTTAGCATCACGTTTCATGTTTAGTGTTTGCCTGTCCAGGAGAAGAGCCGCCTTCAGGAGTGTCATCAGTGAGATAAGTGACTAGGCAAGTACTCAAGCCTCCCACACCCTTGGAACACATGGACTGTTCAGTAGAATTTCAATTTTAAACAAACAGCTACAGTAACAAATTCTTTTAAGGAATTACAGTTGGTACAGTATCAAGTAATGAGTGTAAAATCTGAAGTCTTTCCTTTTCATTAATCTATTAAATTCTAAGCTCAAGAGTCTTGATTAACACAATTTTAACATATTTTTACAAAAGTTAAACAAAGCTTGAAGTAAGTCAGTGGCAGAAACTAAACTCATGATAATTGATACATCAGGTTAGTATTGTACATCCCTGTCACTCCTGAATGGAGAATACACGCAGTGTACAGTGGTGGGTGAGATGAACACAGTACAGACACCTGGCTGATGTATCTGGCCCCATCCCAATATGATAGCTAGTTGCAGATTCTGGCAGTTGGAGGATCAGACAAACCAGTGATGTGCATTGTTCCCCCGACTGGAGGCTCACCAGTAGAGGCTCACCCAGTAGAGGTTCACCAGTAGAGGTTCACCACTAGAGTGAGAAGGCTAACCAGTAGAGGTTTACCAGTAGGGGCTCACCAGTAGAGGTTCATCAGTACAGGCTCACCACTAGAGGCTCACCAGTTGAGGTTCACCAGTAGAGGTTCACCAGTAGAGGTTCACCACTAGAGTGAGAAGGCTCACCAGTAGAGGTTCCCCAGTAGAGGTTCCCCAGTAGAGGCTCACCAGTTGAGGTTCAGCAGTAGAGGTTCATTAGTAGAGGCTCACCAGTAGAGGCTCACCAGTAGAGGTTCACCAGTAGGGGCTCACCAGTAGAGGTTCATCAGTACAGGCTCACCACTAGAGGCTCACCAGTAGAGGTTCACCAGTAGAGGTTCACCAGTAGAGGTTCACCAGTAGAGGCTCACCAGTAGAGGCTCATCAGTACAGGCTCACCAGTAGAGGTTCACCAGTTGAGGTTCACCAGTAGAGGTTCACCAGTAGAGGTTCACCAGGTTAGAGGCTCACCAGTAGAGGTTCACCAGTAGGGGCTCACCAGTAGAGGTTCATCAGTACAGGCTCACCAGTAGAGGTTCACCAGTAGCTTCCTCACCAGTAGAGGTTCACCAGTAGGGGCTCATCATCCAGTAGAGCTCACTCACCAGTAGAGGCTCACCAGTTGAGGTTCACCAGTAGAGGTTCACCAGTAGAGGCTCACCAGTAGAGGTTCACCAGTAGAGGCTCACCAGTAGAGGTTCATCAGTACAGGCTCACCACTAGAGGCTCACCAGTAGAGGTTCACCAGTAGAGGCTCACCAGTAGAGGCTCACCAGTAGAGGCTCACTCCAGGTAGGGGCTCACCAGAGGCTCACCAGTGAGGTTCACCAGTAGAGGTTCACCAGTAGGGGGCTCACCAGTAGAGGTTCATCAGTAGAGGCTCACCAGTAGAGGTTCACTCAGTAGAGAGGTTCACCAGTAGAGGTTCATCAGTACAGGCTCACCAGTAGAGGTTCACCAGTAGAGGCTCACCAGTAGAGGTTCACCAGTAGGGGTTCACCAGTAGAGGTTCACCAGTAGAGGTTCACCAGTAGAGGCTCACCAGTAGAGGTTCACCAGTAGGGGCTCACCAGTAGAGGTTCATCAGTAGAGGCTCACCAGTAGAGGTTCATCAGTACAGGCTCACCAGTAGAGGTTCACCAGTAGAGGTTCACCAGTAGAGGCTCACCAGTAGAGGTTCACCAGTAGAGGTTCACCACAGTGAGAAGGCTAACCAGTAGAGGTTCACCAGTAGAGGCTCACCAGTAGAGGTTCATCAGTACAGGCTCACCACTAGAGGCTCACCAGTTGAGGTTCACCTGTAGAGGTTCACCAGTAGAGGTTCATCAGGAGAGGTTCACCACTAGAATGAGAAGGCTCACCAGTAGAGGTTCACCAGTAGAGGTTCATCAGTAGAGGCTCACCAGTAGAGGTTCACCAGTAGAGGCTCACCAGTAGAGGTTCACCAGTAGGGGCTCACCAGTAGAGGTTCACCAGTAGAGGCTCACCAGTAGAGGTTCATCAGTACAGGCTCACCAGTAGAGGCTCACCAGTAGAGGCTCACTCAGTAGAGGTTCACCAGTAGGAGGCTCACCAGTAGAGGTTCATCAGTAGAGGCTCACCAGTAGAGGTTCACCAGTAGAGGCTCACCAGTAGAGGTTCATCAGTACAGGCTCACCAGTAGAGGCTCACCAGTTAAGGTTCACCAGTAGAGGTTCATCAGTTGAGGTTCACCAGTAGAGGTTCATCAGTACAGGCTCACCAGTTGAGGTTCACCAGTAGAGGTTCACCAGTAGGGGCTCACCAGTAGAGGCTCACCAGTTGAGGTTCACCAGTAGAGGTTCATCAGTACAGGCTCACCACTAGAGGCTCACCAGTTGAGGTTCACCAGTAGAGGTTCACCAGTAGAGGTTCACCAGTAGAGGTTCACCAGTAGAGGCTCACCACCAGAGAGGCTCACCAGCTGAGGTTCACCAGTAGAGGCTCACCAGTAGAGGTTCATCAGTACAGGCTCACCACTAGAGGCTCACCTAGCTGAGGTTCACCAGTAGAGGGTTCACCAGTAGAGGTTCACCAGCAGAGGCTCACCACAGAGGCTCACCAGTTGAGGTTCACCAGCAGAGGCTCACCAGCTGAGGCTTCACCAGTAGAGGTTCATCAGCAGAGGTTCACCAGTATGTCTTCAGAGGGGCTCACCAGTAGAGGTTCATCAGTAGGGGTTCACCAGTAGAGGTTCATCAGAGAGGTTCACCAGCAGGGGCCTCACCAGTAGAGTTCATCAGCAGAGGGTTCACCAGTAGGGGAACTCACCACAGAGGTTCATCAGTACAGGCTCACCACTAGAGTGAGAAGGCTCACCAGCAGAGGTTCACCAGTAAAGTTCACCAGTAGAGGCTCACCATGTGAACAAGGTTCACCACTAGAGGTTCACCAGTAGGGGCTCACCAGTAGAGGTTCATCAGTACAGGCTCACCACTAGAGGCTCACCAGTTGAGGTTCACCAGTAGAGGTTCACCAGTAGAGGTTCACCAGTAGGGGCTCACCAGTAGATGTTCATCAGTACAGGCTCACCACTAGAGGCTCACCAGTTGAGGTTCACCAGTAGAGGTTCACCAGTAGAGGCTCACCAGTAGAGTCAGAAGGTACACTAATGTAGTCAGACATTTGAGGATAGTCGAACATCAGATTGCCTGTTAGGTCAAGAACTAGCCACATTCAACTGTTCCTAATGCAGATTACAGTCTGACTTCACAGCAGTAACATGTACAGTTTTCTCAACATTGTCTGTACTAGTTAGCCGTACTGTTAGCGCAGAGAATCCAGGGGTCCATACAAATAAAAGATACATGATATATGCTGTGATGCTGTGACTCACCATTGATTGCATCGTCCAGCTCCTGCTTGGTGAAGACAAGGTTGTAGTCGGAGATGGCACACGTGTGGAACTGACACCTCCAGATCATCTCGCGTTGTCCTCTGCGGGTCTTCTTGTGGTAGCACTTCATCAAGATGTCACCTCGCAGGGGGATGCCAGGTGATATCGAGATGCAAACCTTTTGCATGTTGTCTGTCACATTGCTGCGGAGGAGAAAATGTTTTATTACATAGATGCCATTGATTCGCGATGGTGACACAAGAAATCAAGAGGTTTTAGTACCTCACAGAAAGGTCAACCAGGGTTGTGTGCATCAGAAGACAACACATTTATGTCTGTGCTATCCAGATGGTCTGCGCTTGTTTCATCTTTGGTTGACATTAATATATCTCAAATCTATTTGTCTAAAGAAAGAGTCAACAGTTGGTGTGTTCTTGCCCTAAAGGAAACAATATTCATTCTACATTAATTCATGATTCACTGAACTAAGTGGTATTTGTAGGAGCATTAGCCATTACTGTCATGAAGACACGTAATCTGCAACTTCCCATAAACTGGGGCCACAAGTTTAATATTACACAGATTTCTTACATGTTCTAGAATGTGGCAAAACCTTGAATACTTTTGCTACAATACAATAGGCTTGTATATCAATGCTGAAGATAAACACACAGGATATTTCTACACTTAATTTGTCCTGTAAACAAACGCAAAACACATACCCTATGTTGTCTATAAGTATCCTATAGATGTAAAATTGTAGAGTGCACGTCGGATTTAGTTTTAAATATCCATTCATACCTACATTCCTGAAATCATTATGTGACGAGGGACACAGCATACACCAGTGGTATGTTTCAGAACAAGAGTAAAACACTAGTAGTTGATACAGAGAGGTAAGGAAAGAATACCAGTGTGAGCAGCCTAGTGGGGTACAGCCTGGGGTACAGCCTGGGGTACAGCCTGTTTCTTGTCATAATCAACCTCTATGGAAGAATTGTAACAAGTGTACTCATAGCGTCTATGGATCTCTGCATGAAACATAATTAAAGTGTAGTAAAAATAACCAGATACTATCAAAACTGATTGCATTTATTGATTTTTAACATAAACTCTTGAGTTACATCTTGTTGCTATTTCCCAGATCCAGCACAGTCAGCCTGTTTTATTTCACACACGGAGTGATCCATCATAGCTGATAGTTCTTCATTGTTTAAGCATCCAACTTGAAAAGACTGGCTCCAGAAAGAAATGACAGTCGAAGTTTGCAGTTTCACAACAAGACAATGCGAATAAATCAAATGAAACATTCATCTAAACTGAGATTGTGTTGATCACATAGTACTGTTTCTATAGAGGATGCAGTGTGAAGAGAATGTTATACATATGTATATCATTCACATGCTAAAGGTTGCTGTTGACTACCTGTACACATGCACACATGAAAACAAGAAGTGGATGTTTTAATGTGATGTTCAAACACAAGACTCCCCATGCCTATATTCCAGTGACCATCTACCACTTGGTCACTAAGCACAACCATACACCTTCTCAACCCTCCTTTGTGTCTCCTGCAGTAGTTTTATCTTTCCAAGTAAATGCATGTATTTTGGAACTCTCCTCCATTATAACAATCTACTCCACTTCCTGAATAAAACATTACTACCGTAACATTACTACTTTGGAATACCAAAATACTTCCTAATCAACTCTTGACTGAAGGACCGTTTCAATTTGATTTGCCAAGTAATAACTGCCCAAAATCCAATACCAAGGAAGAACTTTATAAAAACACCTTGTTTCTCCTTGCTTTGACAACTGTGTAATGAAGATGAACGTTTTCACATTTTTAAGGTAATCCAATCCACAAGGCAACATTCCTAAGGTACTCTTGTGATGTGACAGCAGTTGGGGGTAGCAAATCAGCCAGGTGTTGTACCTGCAATGTAACCCCCAACCACTGCTGTATTGGGTTATCCCCTCCAACCACTGCTGTATTGGGTAATATCACCCCCTCCAACCATTGCTGTATTGGGTAATCTTACTCTCTCCCCTCCAACCACTGCTGTATTGGGTAATTCCCTCTCTCCCTCCAACCACTGCTGTATTGGGTAATCTTCCTCTCTCCCTCCAACCACTGCTGTATTGGGTAATATCCCTCTCCCTCCAACCACTGCTGTATTGGGTAATCCCTCCCCTCCAACCACTGCTGTATTGGGTAATTTCACCCCACCCTCCAACCACTGCTGTATTGGGTAATCTCCCTCTCCCCTCCAACCACTGCTGTATTGGGTAATCTCCTCACCCCTCCAACCACTGCTGTATTGGGTAATCTCACCCCCTCCAACCACTGCTGTATTGGGTAATCTCACCCCCTCCAACCACTGCTGTATTGGGTAATCATCACCCCCTCCAACCATTGCTGTATTGGGTAATCTCACCCCCTCCAACCACTGCTGTATTGGGTAATCTCACCCCCTCCAACCACTGCTGTATTGGGTAATCTCTCTCACTGCTGTATTGGGTAATATCACCCCCTCCAACCACTGCTGTATTGGGTAATCTCACACCCTCCAACCACTGCTGTATCGGCTAATCTCACCCCCTCCAACCACTGCTGTATTGGGTAATCTCACCCCCTCCAACCACTGCTGTATTGGTTAATCTTCCCTCTCCCCATCCAACCACTGCCCTCACACCCCCTCCGCTCATGAAGCACCTGGGCTGTCTTCCTGAAACTTGATCCAGAAGACTTCTTCCCTAGTCAGTCCTAAATTAGTCATAGTGGAAGCTTCCCTCCCTCCTCGGTGAGGCAGCCAGACTCGGTGCAACACTCACTCAACTTCGTCATAGGGCTATTTCTAGCAAGTCCTGCTCACAGAGTTTTCACAGGAATGCTAACCTCAACATAGACTTTGCTTCCGCCTGTGTGTCATGATTCAAAATCAAAACAACCATTTGCCAGTCCATATATAAACTCACCATTGAAACACATATGGACACATACGGCTTAGACTGATACCTTTATCGTAAGATGTTTATAATGTAACTATTATTAATCCTTTTCATGTACATCAATTTGTTGTAGCGACCTAAGCAAGTGTATTATAGAAGCGGCTTCAGTTTTAGTCACAGCCTTGACTTGACGCTGAACACTTGTGTTGAAAGGAATGTTGATTTGCTGTCTGGGAGTTGGCTTGGATGTACTTTGTGTTTTCATGTCCTGGGTTTGCTAGCTGGCATTTTTATGTAAAAAACAACTGTGTTCTAAACATAGTGCTTTGAAGTTTGACATATTTCAGGGTATGATTCTTCAACTTTATCAGTGTCAGATACCTAAGTTTGTCTACCAGGTATTCAGGCATTCTGATCAGGTGCACTCATAACACAGACTTACTATCCACAATAACTGCCCAGTAATGCTGATGACTGAGAATGGTAAGACCATGGCTTGATGCAGGGAACACAGCATAACCTGTGCTCATTTTCCACAATGTCACAGTTGAATAATAGTTATATTGGCATAAATAAACCACATGATGGCCCATATTGACCAAGCAGGATTCTTGTTTAACAAAGTCCGTTTTACACCTTTTTTACAAAGGGAAGTATTTCTAGACGGATTGTTATAACTAATCTGACTAGTAATTTAGAAAAAGTAGAAAACGCAATTGTCACAGTCAACATTCTCAACTGAACAGTATTGATTCCAGTAATTTATTTCAAATTTACCACATGTACATGTAAACCTTTCAATATTGACTGGAGAATATCCTTTGCCCTTTCATTCACACTCTGGGGTCAAGTCTCACACTTCATCAGACACTGTAGTATACTGGTGTACTGTAGATAACCACCTTCCTGAATCAATTCCTCAATCTGCTGAGGTATGCCTGCCTGGTTACCATGTCATCATACTGCCTGCCTGGTTACCATGTCATCATACTGCCTGCCTGGTTACCATGTCATCATACTGCCTGCCTGGTTACCATGTCATCATACTGCCTGCCTGGTTACCATGTCATCATACTGCCTGCCTGGTTACCATGTCATCATAATGCCTGCCTGGTTACCATGTCATCATACTGCCTGCCTGGTTACCATGTCATCATACTGCCTGCCTGGTTACCATGTCATCATACTGCCTGCCTGGTTACCATGTCATCATAATGCCTGCCTGGTTACCATGTCATCATACTGCCTGCCTGGTTACCATGTCATCATACTGCCTGCCTGGTTACCATGTCATCATACTGCGGTGCCCTCCCATTAGTCATACGTCCCACTAGTCATACGGGTTAAAACAACGTATGGTATGGTTGGCTGCACCAACAACTACCTTGGTAATACCTTTGTAAAAATGGAATGATCCAAGAAACAAAAATACAGCTTCACATCACTTTAAACTGAATGGTATACCTACATAATCTGATCTTGAGCATAGTATACCTACATAATCTGATCTTGAGCACAGTATACATACATAATCTGATCTTGAGCACAGTATACATACATAATCTATACACTTAAACGGTATCACTAACACATCTTTATTTAAAAACTTCAATAACTTGAATTCACAGTTTCGCAATTAATGGTCAGTTGGGTAGAGGTAGCCAACAGCATCCAGATATTGAACTGAGTTTTTCTGGCCTGCTTCAAGTTGGTCCCACAATCAGGGAGTGATATGCTAGAGTCTATAACATGGAACTCTTATGCACTAGTTTATCCTTTTTTACTTAGATTGAGAACTCAATCAAACTCAGTAGAGTTTGACATTGATTTAAATGTTTTGATTATCAACGGTTGTGGTGTATTATGTTCATATAACTTCAATGTAATTTACTTTAATAACATTCGCTTATATGTTTTCATTACCAAAGACTCTGGCATTCTCAGTGTTAGAGATTAAACTCACCTCAAGCTCTCTAATTAGCAGGCTAGTCAATTTTGTGCAATGACCAGTGGGAGTAGGACTAATGGGTGTATGACTAGTGGAAGTAGGACTAATGGGACATGACCGATACTGCCTATCTATATGCAAAGAAGTGCTGACACTGGATCCCATCCTCATGTCGCCTACAGAGAAGTTTCAAACTAATGGAGTTCTTGCAGGGCCCTCACAGGTGAACCAGGGTATAATGAAGCAACATTTTAACCATGATCCATGGTATCATATGTCATCCACAGGATCATATTCCAACATTATACTATGACCCATGGTATCATATTTCAACATCAACATTTCCACCATACAATCTACAGTATATTTACACCACAAGAGACTACATGAGTCAACATTTCAAGACATTCCACAGTATATTTCAACATTTCCAATAGACAATCAACTGTACCATATTTCAAAAGCAAACCATAGTTCCATATGTTAATAGATATTCCACTGGACCATATTTTGACATGATTCACGGTATTATATGGCAGAATTAACATGTTTTAAACACACAATCCTAGTAGCATATTCCAGCATTTTTAACAAACTATCATAACGGATTATATTCTACTGAATCCAACCTACAACTGATCAGCAGAAACCAAAGCTTAGGTAAGTTATTTCTGTTTTATAACAGAAAACAAAGCTTAGGTAAGTTATCTCTGTTTTATAACAGAAACCAAAGCTTAGGTAAGTTATCTCTGTTTTCTTAACAGAAACCAAAGCTTAGGTAAGTTATCTCTGTTTTATAACAGAAACCAAAGCTTAGGTAAGTTATTTCTGTTTTGTAACAGAAACCAAAGAACAAAGTTATTTCTGTTTTGTAACAGAAACCAAAGCTTAGGTAAGTTATCTCTGTTTTCTAACAGAAACCAAAGCTTAGGTAAGTTATTTCTGTTTTCTAACAGAAACCAAAGCTTAGGTAAGTTATTTCTGTTTTCTAACAGAAACCAAAGCTTAGGTAAGTTATCGCTGTTTTCTAACAGAAACCAAAGCTTAGGTAAGTTATGCTGTTTTCTAACAGAAACCAAAGCTTAGGTAAGTTATTTCTGTTTTATAACAGAAACCAAAGCTTAGGTAATTTATCTCTGTTTTCTAACAGAAACCAAAGCTTAGGTAATTTATTTCTGTTTTATAACAGAAACCAAAGCTTAGGTAATTTATTTCTGTTTTATAACAGAAACCAAAGCTTAGGTAAGTTATCTCTGTTTTATAACAGAAACCAAAGCTTAGGTAAGTTATTTCTGTTTTATAACAGAAACCAAAGCTTAGGTAAGTTATCTCTGTTTTCTAACAGAAACCAAAGCTTAGGTAAGTTATGCTGTTTTCTAACAGAAACCAAAGCTTAGGTAAGTTATCTCTGTTTTCTAACAGAAACCAAAGCTTAGGTAAGTTATCTCTGTTTTCTAACAGAAACCAAAGCTTAGGTAAGTTATTTCTGTTTTATAACAGAAACCAAAAATGTTTCGTACTTTTATTGCATCCTCTGTATATATTAGTTTTAGTAAACAAAATGGACAAAGTCATCACAACATAGTCTGAATGTTTCAGTTATATGGTAACCACAGGAACAGGATAATGTGGCAAATATCTGTACATATGTACATAGTACTTTTATTAAGATTAGGTGGATTAAAATGAGTTTCTATTAAGTAGTACGGTGTATGACATTGTTAACAAAAAACTAGAATACTAATTAGAATATTACTTAATTTTATGGTAGAATATTAAGTATGTTTTGTATGCTAACATTTAATGCCTCTTACACATATTCCATAGCTTGGCACAGAAAGCTTAACTCAGTTTAACATCCACCAATTGTCCGGATATTTCCACACAGCGATAACACAATTTTTAATCCAACTCGAGCTGTTTCGTGTGCTGAAATTAGGTGAAATGTGATTGGTTGACGCCGGGCTAATTATCCAATGAACACTGTCGAGTTGACGATGTATTTCACGCTAAAAACGTTGACTCACTTGACCTCTGAGAGTTAAATGAAATCTGATGTTTTTTTACTTGTATGAAGAATAGAATTAAAACTGATCGAATCGAGGGTCCAAAATTGAAAACTGAATCGAATTGAGGTCTGGGTGAATCGTTGCAGCCCTAATGATCATGCAATTAAGAAAGCATTGCCATCATCAGTACATACAAGTGATGATATGTGATACATTCTATACTATCACCAGTAGAAACTGAATACTTACTATACTCCTGATGTGAAGATGGGCTGCATGCCCTGGTACACCTTGATGTACGGCCGACACCCACCGCTGGTGTCAAAGTTGGGGACGCCGTGGATCAAGATGTGATGCAGGTAGAGGGCATTGCTGTTGATCTTGATAGCGCCTGATAGTAATCCTGCGAAGTAGTGTACATACCTGAAAAAAATACATTTATGAATGAGTATAGATTAAAAAGTGGTTTACATATATTTCAATTAACTTAAAATCTTGTCTGGCCAAAGCAAAATTCAGAAATAAACCTCTTAAGCAAAATATTCACTTTAATTTAAAAATGAAATCAACAATAATATTTATACATTGCTGCATATAGAAACACTTGAGTAGAAAAATAATTGCTGTATGTAGATTGCCTACCTCCTCTGAGAGGGTTGAGGGAGGCCGCCCAGTTTATCATCGTAGAATCTCTTCATTGCAAATCTATCGAGGGCCTGGTCAGCACTGCAGTAAAACATCAATGGACACATAAACCAAGGGGTAGGAGGTATTCTTAATGAACAGACATCACTTCCCTGTAATGAAACTAAAAAATTCATCTTGTCCTGTTTCCCAACACAAATTGAATTTACTGTATTTCAAATCTAGAAGTAGTTTTAAACAGATTGTAAAATAATTTAAATTAAAGAAAATGATTTTGAAAAGCCCAGTTACAGATCTCAGCATGGAACAATTATTGGTTGTGCTTGAATACACAAATGATCCAATGTTAACTCTAAGCAAGAGTTACTCCCCCTTTGACCATAGACAACACATTTGTGAACGCATTTTGCTTTGTGGAGAATCACAGAGGGATCAGATTGGACATTTTGTTATACTGTTCAACCTCCAGGGTAATATTCTACAGTAAGTGATTATATTCTCAAAATGATAGGCAAACATTCAAAAGACAACAAAAACAACTGGTGTTATCACCTATGAAGAAGTATCTGCTGGGTTTGTGTTTTTTAATTCATGTATATAGTTCCCTCTGAATACATAGGTAAAAAAATAATATTACAATACATATTACTGTTTCCTTACATACAAGGATATAGATAATTCTATTATCTATTATCAAGAAAACGGTTTTAAAATCCTTTCTCTTCACTGATTATTAGAGGATTATTCATTCCAGACTATCCTTATTGATTTCTTCACATGTAATTCAATGAATTCTACCTTTTACCAGAGTCTCTGTTTTGCATGCACTAAATCTAACTAAAAAAATATTTTTTTCTGAAATTGAACACTTTCATATACTTAAATATATCCAGGATATTGATAATGTGCTTCCTTTATTAGTGGCTGTGTCTCACCTGGCACAGATGTTGCTGTAGTGCATGTAGGCTGCAATGACGTTTGCCATCCGCCCCTTGCCACCCTTACAGTGAATGACCACGACATGCATGGGGTCTGAGTTGAGCCAGGAGTCGATAGACTTGCATATACTGCAGAGACGCTCGAGGGGAGGGGCAACATGGTCGGGCCAGCCACAGTCCCGCAGCACTCTGGCGTGGAGGCGGGCCAGGTCCTGGCGCTTCTCAGAGATGTTCAGGATCTGTGGGGTACAAACAACCGGGTAAGTGGGGAAGCTGATGCCATACGCATACATGCAAAAGTAGATCAACCTGTTCATCTACAGGTAAATCCTCATAACAGTCAATAACAGGCAATGTGGTTAATGTATTCAACTAATGAAGGTTTGTATGAATAGATGTTCGCCTTTCATTCGAGAGTCAAGAGATTGTAACAGTAAAATGTGCATGTTGGTTCCACGACCAATACACACATTAATTTAAAATTACAACATTTATCATCATTTAATGAATCTGTCTGATATGAATTGGATATTGAAAAAAATATCTGAAATATGATCATATATGATCTTGGTGTATTGTTATTAAAAAAAAATATGGTGTTTTTTTGTAATTACAGCTGTAATACTTATACAATGCATGTGAGATACCAATTACTGCAACAGTCTGTTAACTGTCCATTGAATGTGTAGTGTTTCATTACAGGAATGTAAATGTAGTCATGTATATAAACATATATATCCCACCAGTGAGTTGTCGCCATGTCTAGCCATCAACATCTGTATGACCTCTTTGAGGTTGGCGCGGTATGTTGTGTCGTGACCTTCAGCGATGAAGGCCATAGCTGGAACAAAGGGAAGATAACTTTAAACTTCAAAATAAACTGAGAATGAATTATATGCATGGATCAGTCATAAATTTCTCAAACATTAACATGTAAAATGTAACAATACAGGCCTCTAACAAAATTCTAAGGTCACTTAAATGATGTTTTAAACTTATATACTTATAGCAGTTAAAATATCACTTTATCTAGCTTGTCCATACAAATTCGCCAAGCGAGTTTGGACATTGATTGAGTTTTAATCAATCCCACTCCCACTCCCAAACCCAGAATATACAGGTATTCACATCTACTTACAAATGATCCTCTCGGTGATGTAGGTTAGGTCCAGAGCCATGTGGTTTTCACCCTGGTCCTGGCCCCTGGAAACAAACAACAAGCAGTATAGTCACCGATTTGCGGCATCATCAGCTCTGATGTAGATACAGGTACTCATGGCAGTTCAACATGAATCATGGGGAAAATATTACATCACGGACAACTCTCCCCTTTTGACAAGAAAAAAATAGCTATTCAAATTTATCAATGTTCACAGACAATTAATAAACATGCTATCATTCACGTGCTGCCAAGAACGTTACTTCAGTTATCACAGAAGGGTCAGCTTAATGGGAGAGGAAAGTTGCTTGTTGCAGGCTGGAGACTAACATTTCAGTACATCACATAGGAATGCACAATACTACCGGTTTATCGCAATACGCTTTTCAAACAATACATATTGCAATATTTTTTTCTAAGAACCGGTATATTGGGTGATTATCTTTATGGTTTAAATCAAAATCTACACAGACTTTCATTCACAACAAATGTTTTCCTTCGTTATTCAATGACAAAACGTCGTACTGTAATACCATAAATTGAATCCCTGACTATGCAACCTCATTTTGAGATTGCTGTTATCAGAACCATAACATATATGTTTATGGGCTAATAATGTAGAAAATAGGATCGACATGCACAAATAGTGTCATACTATCAAACACTTAAGCTCCCAATATATCGCAATACAATTTATTTGCCAATACACAGCCCTAACGTCATACAAGCACAGGTATGGTGCTGACAAACCACAAACTGTAACCAGAGTCAATCTGGGATCAGAACTCATTGTTAGCTTATCCTGGCTCGTCAATGAGACATAACTGTAAACTTGTCCACACTGACCCTCTTACCCCTTTAGTTATTATAGAAACCAATTCAGTGGGAGCTTTGGTACTGGTGAGCTAAGTAAGAAATCCCTCGGATATGCTCTTGATGTTTCCTACATATACCATATGTTGCTGCTGACACACACATCTAGTTACAGTTCAGGAAGCTCTGGACACTCACCTGTTGATCATATCTCTGAGAGAGGACATGATTCCCTTTGAACCAGGAGAGGATATCGGTGGCTGCAACAGACACACAGACATGGTAACCTTCGGATGATGTACACTGTATGATATATTGATGCTACGCAGGTGTGTTGCCTCGATGCCAACTGAGAGGGCAAGCTGACCTGGGTGATCAGAATTATAATCTATCGCTCAAAATTCAAATTTATTGTGACTAGAAATTTGAAGTCTTTTGCCATCGTTGATATTTCAACACTGGGCAACACGTACTTGAATCAGAATCTGTGTTCCTCAACTTATCACTCACTGTTAACAACATAAAGAATATACCCGGTCTCAACTCAGCGGATCTTAAAACAGGACATTTCAGGGTTAAATAAAGATATATGCTACATGGATGAGATTTCTGGAGGACGTTTAACCCAAATGAAGGTAAGTAGTAATATAAGAGGCACTTTGCATTGTCATAAGCAATAATGCTGCAAGAGGATATTTTCAAGGAAAACAGGATACACATCAGTGAAAAACATGAGCTGTATTTCATCCATTTCCAACCTTATACTGATTACACATGGATTTAACAGAGGTGTTGTCATGTTCAAGGTTGCTACTTACAGAAGTGGTTGCCTGTTGTCTTGTTAGTGTGTCATTGCTCTGAAATAAGAAAATGATGCATTAATGGAATGGCACCCATAGCTGCTGTTCTCCATGAACTGATGCATGTAACACTTGACACAACCATGGGTATTTGTTTACATTCTGGAAATTCCTCACATTGTAAAGAAATCAGAAAAACACCCCCAGAAGATCTGTGACAGGGGGCAAAGCTTCGCTACACCTACCTCATGGATTTCAAACTCAGATTCTAAACAACGAAGGACAGCTGGATCTAGTGTTCGTCTTTTACTCCTTTCTATAATTTCTTGTATTTTGGGCGAAATTGCATATTTTTTCACCATTTCTGCCTCCATGATTTTGCGGGTATGCATTGTGGTCGTGTTGGAGGTGTTCCCCTCATACGACTTCATCACCTCCATGTTGATGTTAACGATGACCTCAAACACACCACTGGTGATCACTAATCCTTCAACACAGCGTAATATCCTAACACAATGTCATTGGCAACGCAGACAAGGTCATGTGTGTATTCCTGTACCACACATCAACACAGACTCAATGAACATATCCCAACAAAATACCACCATCCAGCAGCAATAGCAGCGAAAAGTCAAACTCAGAAAAAAATTAGATCCTTTTTTTCCAACTCAGGATGGCTCCTAGTTTCAGCATCAACCGAATCGAAATGACACTGACATGTAGGCAGTCTTATGACATTCCTGAGTCGAAGAGTTCGCCCCCAATAAGATTGATGACTTTGCCATTTTTTTCAGGCAGGTATCCAGTCCTTGATTTCTTGATCATTCGGGGCCCCTTTTCATGTCCAGGGTCATCACTATCCATCCAAGACACAGTTGCTTTGAAACCAGTTGACGGCAAGTTTCGACATCCTCACAACAGAGAAGGAACATTCGTCAAGCTGTAGACTGTCAGGGTTACAGGGTTGAGAATCTGGGTGAAACAGTTTGGCATACTCCCTAAACAAAGTTTCTATTTGTACCTAACATATGGTTTTACTTGTTTTCATGCATGCATGTTTTCTTTTCTTGAAGAGCTCACAGGCAAGCATGTTTGACAGAATATTATAATATGCCTTCCCTTGAACTTATTTGGAGCAGATTTATTAAATTAGAATGGAACAGCACGTCTATCTTTGTTTCCAGAGAAGAATGTTGGCCAAATACACCTGGTTTGGAAGTAATCTGCAATTCAACTGAAATCTGATGCTCAAAAGCATGAAACCTCAAGGAATGTGCTAAACAACTGTTACATAATAACTTGACTTCCATGTTTTCTCTAAATCCGGAAAAAAAAATCAAACTGTTTCCTATATTCTAAAAATCTCAAATATACATTTGATCCCAGTAAACCTTTTTCTCTCTCTTATGTCTGTACAATCTACATATTCTTGCAAAATAATCAGACAACGAAGGTCCAGTACCTTAGGCCTTTCAGGGAAGGTGACATTTGTTGTATTTGGGAGCTTGTCAAATTTCTCTAGAATCCCCCCACCTAAGTAATGAAGTGGGCTTGTTGGTTCTGTGTTAAACATAAACACCTCCACCCATCACAAGTCAAGCAGCCTGTTGAGGTAGCACTTCAAGCATTTTGATGACTTCTTAACATTTTCTGAAAACAGTTTGTCCATGCAGGACTCCCATTTTCAGCTGTTTCAAGAATTGCAGAATTTCACATCAAGTTGAAATACCTGTACTAGCAATGTAGATTGCATAAACTTCACCAAGTGAATTCACCTGAGAGGAGTTCTTCAATAGTTCATGTCATTTCGTCCAAGAAAGTCTTAAATGATTATCACAGATTTCCCATCAATTGTCATTATAAACAACTCTGTCAATATCCTCACCATTGCCATCTTATACAACTGTCAATATCCTCTTTCTCCCTCAATCACCCAGGGTGATAACATGACAATTACCAGCAAGTGCCTGACTATGACCCTTGAGGAATGGTCCCTTGTAAGCGCTAGCAGAAAGATACAATCTCCCTGTACTGAACCCAGATCATAGTGGGAGGAAGTCCACAAGTGGACAGTTAATGGACAACTTCCTTCATTCATTACATCAGGTGCCTGTCGTGGCCAACATGTCAACAGAGCCAGACAAGGACACCATGTCGCACACATGGTCAAGTCTTCTGGTTTGTAACAGATATATGAGTGACAGAACAGCAAACCCGGTAAGTGTTGTTCCAGGTAAGTCATTGGACTGCCATATCAGTCTTGTTGAGTCTAAGTGGGTGCTATACAACCATAGGTAATCACCAACAGCTCTTCAACAGATATAAACTTAGTTTGATAGTAGTTAGAGTATATTCAACATAAAAGTGCAAATCAATGTCAAACTCACAGATTTAGCCATGCTTCCATCAGGTGACATTTTACTAGTGTCACAGGTCAACGTGACCTGAAGGTCAATATGATCATCTACTGTGATATTTGATAGAACTAAAAATGTCTACACATCTGACCTGTTAATAGTATAATGTTTAAAAGAGCAAGAATACAGGAAAATGATTATGAATATGATTAACACTGACTTTGAAATCATGGTTGTACATCACTGACAGTCCTGGTCATGAGCCATGAAAACTTAACCCTTGAGACGTTGATGATCATTACGGCCTGGACTGAAAACATCTGCACCTGATCAATGCTAACACTGTGAAAACCTTTCTTATACTGGTTCTTGCTGTCATGACACTATTGTTTACATGTTTGGTATGTGAGGATAATATTTGATTATCTTTTGAAGCAAGATGTTATTGAAGGTAATAGCTATACCAATTCTCCCAATATCATCCTTGAACGTTCACGATTTCAAACAAAACTTTGTCAACATAAATATGTATCAAATAACCTTTGATCAGTATCATAAATCATTGTATTTCCTTTATTACTAAAACAATTTCAGTATGTCACACAATATATATACCTCATAAACGTCCAGTATTTTTTAGAGATCTTGCAACAAAAGGAATATTACCCTGGAACACTGTCTGACATTTACACCACTGACTACCCTCTCCTATTACAACAACAGAACACTTTGTAAGCTTACCAGCACACAGCAATATTCATTAAAGATTCAAAGCAATAGCCAGTTCCCTGACCTATACAAACATTATAAACTGTGTAGCAGATGTGATCACAGCCAAATCAAGAAATTCCTCAGTTTTTAACATTAATACTTTTTTCATAATACACAGTAAGTTTATTTGTGTAAATAACCTTTCTAGCATGATTACTATAATTATGAATTGTTCATTATCTAGAATTAAGTTAATTTTGAGAAAAATATTTCTTTACACAGAAACAGCATGTTCACTCTGTGGACAACTGATTAATTCTAGATAAAAAGAATTCATAGTACCGGTATATCTACACCCAAAATTCCTTACATTTCCAAGTTCAGCATTCTGGTCTATCCAGTTTAGATATTTGTGACTACACTTGTATTAAACTGAACTTGCCAGCGTGGAGTTGGAACACACAAAACAGGTTTTTCCATAGATTAAATCAGCTTTATGCAAACTTTACCTGAATTCACGTGACTCCGTAAAACGTCCTTAGGTTGAACGAGGTCAGTGAGCGTCCATGCATGAATGTCCGGCATGCAGGTTCGGGAGATTGACTGACCAATCACTTACCAAAAGAGACCATAACAACCAGGCTATATGAAGCAATACACTAACGTGGTGTGGTATACATGGCAAACGCTCCACACAGCATGGTGACCCAGAAAGCTAACGTAGCATATCTGAATGTTATTAATCAATGGAGGCTATTAACATGCAGTTCTCCTCCGTCTGTGTGTAGAATCTGCCTTGTGTGGGCATGGGTCAAAACTGTTAGCCCCCATTGTGTCATAACGATACTCAACCCTGTGTCATAATACCATGTATCTTACATGACAAAGATATTTTTGGTTTTGGCACAATATGAAACGTTCACATACATGTCATTTGATATCCTGTCATAGATGTATGAGGAAATGTATGCATATACTAATGACATTTTGGGAAGGTCACAGTTGAACATCAAGGCCAACCAGTAGCAAGACAACATACAATTATTGTTTTTTCACAAGCTTTGAATCTTTTACCAAAATGATAGGTTAGACAACCTTCCTGAATTGATTATAAGCATAGCTTGTTATTTGCATTCTGAAACATGATATGTGAATGTATGTCTCACAAAGATTGCGTTAATTCACACCCTTGCAGCGTAGCCAGGCAGGGATTATTCCTATCATGCATATGTATGAATCTCTTGTCAGATGTCTACATGCTACAGTGCAGGAGGTGTACAAAGAGGACAACCTTTCAAAAAGATGGGCTTTAGCATATAAAACTGATGGTGTCATGCATATTTCACATTGAAATGTTTGCTAAAAAACCCAGTTGTCCAATGATCATGCAGCTAGCACTTGGATGTCCACCACGCCTATCTGTCAACCACTATGATTTCTAGCATTGCATACAGCTCTTAGGGCAGAAAACGTATAAAACTGGCTCAATTCCAGATAAAAAACATCCACTCTGTTGTACTGCATATGAAAGTGGTAAGTGGTATTTTCAGCTGTATCACCTTAGCAGATACCAAGAATGGGCATGAGACATTGTACCCATACAGAAACTGAAACCAGGTCTGCGGCAAGACGTGCAACAACTTGAACTACTGGACTATCTTCCTCACACACCCTCCATATGAGAACATCTGTGCATGTGAAAAACAGGCCTTTGAAACTGGTACCTCTGCATTGTAAATATGGCCTTATTATGTATATGACATGATATATCCTAGTGTAACTTTGTATATTGTTTTAACCAATAGCACATTTTGAGATCCCTTCAGGTAAATGAACAGGAGGTGAGAAACATGGACAACTGAAACAGAAATCTGTCATAAGAAAGTAAGATACGTTATCGATAACAACTTCTTTATAATATACGATGCGACGTTTCAGTGTAAATTCTTAACCGCTGTCAAGCAGGAGTGAAGTATTACAACACAGAAC